TGGGAACGATTTTCCCTTAGTAGTCAGCTAAGTTAGCTGCGTTTTCGTATTGTGTCTCTGCTATCATAGAATTAATCGCTGCGAAAAATTAGCTGGAACCTGTCACGAACTAAAACGAGCGAAACTAAGCTACGATTTGAATCTTCGTTCATATATTTTCGTTTAGTTTCGCTCAAGTGGCCACTGATACATTTAAAAGTATGGAAGCTGATTTTTACAAATCTTATTTCGTTTGGCTTAGTTTAGTTTCTAAACTAAACTAAGCTAAGAATATAGAAAGAAACGGTAACTAACGAAAATAAGTTTCATCGGCCACTGGGAACGATTTTCCCTTAGTAGTCAGCTAAGTTAGCTGCGTTTTCGTATTGTGTCTCTGCTATCATAGAATTAATCGCTGCGAAAAATTAGCTGGAACCTGTCACGAACTAAAACGAGCGAAACTAAGCTACGATTTGAATCTTCGTTCATATATTTTCGTTTAGTTTCGCTCAAGTGGCCACTGATACATTTAAAAGTATGGAAGCTGATTTTTACAAATCTTATCTTCGTTTGGCTTAGTTTAGTTTCTAAACTAAACTAAGCTAAGAATATAGAAAGAAACGGTAACTAAACGAAAATAAGTTTCATCGGCCACTGGGAACGATTTTCCCTTAGTAGTCAGCTAAGTTAGCTGCGTTTTCGTATTGTGTCTCTGCTATCATAGAATTAATCGCTGCGAAAAATTAGCTGGAACCTGTCACGAACTAAAACGAGCGAAACTAAGCTACGATTTGAATCTTCGTTCATATATTTTCGTTTAGTTTCGCTCAAGTGGCCGCTGATACATTTAAAAGTATGGAAGCTGATTTTTACAAATCTTATCTTCGTTTGGCTTAGTTTAGTTTCTAAACTAAACTAAGCTAAGAATATAGAAAGAAACTTTAACTAAACGAAAATAAGTTTCATCGGCCACTGGGAACGATTTTCCCTTAGTAGTCAACTAAGTTAGCTGCGTTTTCGTATTGTGTCTCTGCTATCATAGAATTAATCGCTGCGAAAAATTAGCTGGAATCTGTCACGAACTAAAACGAGCGAAACTAAGCTTCGATTTGAATCTTCGTTCATATATTTTCGTTTAGTTTCGCTCAAGTGGCCGCTGATACATTTAAAAGTATGGAAGCTGATTTTTACAAATCTTATCTTCGTTTGGCTTAGTTTAGTTTCTAAACTAAACTAAGCTAAGAATATAGAAAGAAAGGTAACTAAACGAAAATAAGTTTCATCGGCCACTGGGAAAGATTTTCCCTGCGAACGATTCGCGGTTGTTTCACAGCTTCAATCTACTAATACTAATGGACTATATTGAGATGTTCGTTGAGGAGAGAGTGTTCTGTTAGCAACCCCGTGACAATCCGAAGTTTATTTTTACTTAAACCAAGCAAAATCTTTGATTTTTCTCAGTCGTAAGTTCCGAGGAACTTTTTCGAGTGTCTTGAACCCTTATTTTAAGAATCGGCATTCCGATTTGAATAAGATTTTAGGTGTCTATTTTTTACTAACTGCTTTAACATTTGACTTTCACAAAAATCAGGAAAGAGTTCGGTAAGGATGAAAACTACCCCCACTCCTACATAAATCTATACAAGGCTAATACATATATAAAATCCTTAAGTGGCTGACATACTGATTAATCACGATCCTGCTCAAACCACTCAACGTAAGAAGCTCAATTTTGGCATACAGGTTGATTCTAGGGTGTAGAGGTTCGATAAGAAGGGATTTTTCGAAATTCCAGTTCCAAGAGGGTGAAACCACCCCTCAAATATTGCAATATTTTTTATTTCAAAAACGGTCAAGTTTCCGAAAAAACGCTTAAATACGTATATTTTATTTTGTTTTTTTTACATATTTTAAAATTTTTTAAAAATGTATACAGGGTGTTTCGAAAAATCTGGTCATTGATTAATTACGATCCTGCTTAAAGCACTTGACGTAAAAAGCTGATTTTTGGAAAACAGATTGACTTTAGAGTGTAGAGGTTCGATAAGTAGGGATTTTTCGAAACTCGAATTCTAAGGGGGTGAAACTATCCCTCAAATATTAAAATATTTTTTATTTAAAAACCGAGAAGTTTTTGGAAAAACTCTTAAACACGTATATTTTATTTTGTTGTTTTACATATTTTAAGATTTTTTATAAATTTATACAGGGTGTTTCATAAAATTTGACCATTGAGTAACCACGATTCTGCTTCAACTGCTTCACGTTTAACGCTGATTTTTGGCAAACGGATTGACTGTGGGGTGTAGAGGTTCGATAAGGGGGGTTTCTCGAATCTCAAATTCCAAAAGTGTGAAAAGGCCCCTCAAATATTACAATAATTGTTATTTAAAAAACGGTTAGTCTTTCGGGAAAACGCTTGGACAAGCATAATTTATTTGTTTTTTTTTACATATTTTGAAATTTTTTAAAAAATCATACAGGGTGTTCCAAAAAGTTGGGTAATTTCTTAACCACGATTCTGCTTAAACTGCTTGACGTAAAAAGCTTATTTTTGACAAACGGATTTTTCAAAAGTCAAATTCCAACGATATGAAACTACCCCTCAAATATTGCTAAGTTATATAATAATATAACCATATTGTTTTTTCTCATGCTGTCATAAATGTGAGAAAATTTTATCCAGTTTGTATGATAATGGAAATTCTTGCTTTGCTTTATCATCACCATTACAAATGATTAATTCGACGCGAACGAAGTCGCTGGTACACGCTAGTTGTAGTATAAATTTTTTCCAGCACAACCGACGACCAATTTTTTTTTTGTAAAATGGTCCTTCTAGTATTTACTAGATTTTTTGCCTCTTTTAAAAAACGCCATCGCGCATACTTTTTGGGGAAAAAATTATTTTTCCGAAGGTGATTTTCAAAAAATGTTTTTTGTCACATCAAGCTATGGAGGCGCATAAAATCTATTATGCTCTAATAATCTAGTTCGAGAAAATATGGAATTTTATGTTAGTATCACAAATAATATTTGACAATAAGCTTCATAAAAAACTTAAAAAATTAATAAATTTAAATTAATTAACGTTCGGGTTTATTTTTTATTCATGCCCTCTAACGGACAAACGAAGAACTTTTGTATAAAGGTAAATTATGTGCAATTAACTTATTTTGATTCAGAAAATACGTAGTTCTTCTATGTCCACGGAATATTGTAACTCCTTGTATATTTTATAGGTCTGCTTTGGAAAAATAAATTCTCCAAAAAAATTTTCTCAAAAACTGCATATGCTATGTGGCCTTTTTATAAAAGACAAAAAATGTAGTAAATACTAGATTTTTACAAGAGACAAAAAATGTAGAAAATACTAGAGGGACCATTTTACGAAAAAAATATGTGGTCGGTAGAGTTGGAAAATATTTATACTACATCTTATGTAGGGGTAGGGTAAGTTTTCACCCTTCCTGTACTTTTTCTTGATTTTTGTGAAAGAAAAATGTTAAAGCACTTAGTCACCCATCTCATTCAAATCGGAATAACGGTTCTTAAAATATCTTAAAATTTGTTTTTTTTTAAGTTTGATGCCCCCTAGCGAACAAACGAAGCCTTTTTATATAGAGGTAAATTGTACCCAATGAACTTATTTTGATTCTAAAAATATGTAATAGTTCTATGTCCACGGAATATTGGAGACAGCCTGTATATGTAAATAATCGAGACAATTAACTGAAACATTATGTCTGAGACACCTGGTATATATTTATAACGAGTGAATCCATTTATTGACACATATATGTGCACGGTTATTATGTACACAGCTAAAACGTGCTATATTTAATTTATTCAAAATATATAACTATTATGTGTTACAACATACATCGAATGTCACCAACACCATGCATTATCGCTTTTCCTATTCATTAACAACCTATAACATTCGCCAGTATATTATATATATATATATATATATATATATATATATATATATATATATATATATATATATATATATATATATATATATATATATATATATATATATATATATATATATATATATATATATATATATATATATATATATATATATATATATATATATATATTTTTTTTTTTGTTTCGTTTCTTTGACCTGTATACTATATATTTTTTTGTTTTCACTCTTGGCTTTAGGTCGTTGGGGTTGCAAAGATGTTTCTAGATTTTGTTCATTATTTTTTTATTTTGTGACGACGTTTCGACAGTATATGTCTTTTTCAAGCCTCTTGAACGTAGATTCTTACAGAGTTAAAATTTGTTAAACTGGACAACACAATAACACATATTAACTATTGTTTTTAATTGTTTTTGGACATTACACTTTACTACGAGCACGTGCGTATTTCCTTGCAGATCGCTCTGTATAAAACACATTTATAGGTTCAATACCCGATGTCTACTCAGTATATATATATATATATATATATATATATATATATATATATATATATATATATATATATATATATATATATATATATATATATATATATATATATATATATATATATATATATATATATATATATATATATATATACGTGTATATAACTACCTATTACAGGCACACATCGCAACTCCATATTTAACAGTAAAGTCCATTTTAAAAACGAGTTTCTTATTATAAGAGTCCTTATATCCTTAAATTAATCGAGAAAAAAGCTTTCTTTGGACAATGGATATTATGCGTTCGAAAAGCAGGTTAAGGACATGGGCTATACCGTTTAAACAACATATTAAAAGAAAACCCGAGTAGGCTTGGCGCGCGCCTTCAGCTTTCTTTCCATAGCCGACTTGATATATAGACTATACAATACCCGGCTAAGATGACAATAAAAAATACGCAATTACGATGAAGCAATTACTTTCAGTTTTAATGCGTCGGATCATCGCCCAGTAGCGAAATTGCACTTCCTCACACTTTCCGTCCTTTCTAAATCTAAATCGACCGCAAAAGAAATGAATAATCCTCTTACCAGCCACCAGAACGTATCCTACGATAACTATCACAAATTTCGCACAATTTGTCCTGAATAACATATTTTAAACTTAACTTAATTTAACGTTACGGATAATTAATTATATGTGTGGCAGTAATTGTCGCACTGAAAATTAATAAAACGTGCGCTTAATGTGGACCGCTGCAAGTAACCGCATCGCGTTTTGCACTGGTACGACTTTAAAGAACCTTCTGTATACATTCGTAATTTTCATTTCGAACTGTGGAGGGAATTGTCGATTTAAATTTTACCGCCAACATCGACAAATCGTAATCACTCGACTGTAGCGCCATCAAAACAGATTTAACTGTTGCCAAGTTTAAAAAATTCCGTCCGATTTTCCGAAACTTAATTATAACCTGAACTCAGAGCAGCTCACAAGCGTGAACCATGCGTGAACTTTATGTAGAATATTAAAACTCGTTCTAAACTAAACCAGTGTTATTAGATCAAGAACGGTAAACTAATTAGGTTAACTGTTCTTGTTATTAGCGTTATTAGATTAGGGTTGCTAACTAACCGTCCCCTATTTCAGAGGACAGTCCTCTTTTTGATCATACTCTTCTCTTTTCTCTTGCGTATTTAAAAAGGTCTTTTTTGCATACCAAACTCAAAGGCGTCACACAAATAAGTGTCTTTTTTCAATGTCACTCTCCAATCGGAAAGAAAGGAATATTTACGTAAGAAATATATTTATAGATGCGATTAACATCTTTAGCTTTTTTGTGTTTACTTACAGGTAGCTTTTAGATCACAGTTTTAGATTTTGTAATAAAAACAAAACAAAGGTCATTAACCGCATATCATTTACTTATCTTTTGGGTAAATTCTTGACATTTGGACGAGGTTTCAAAAAATGATTCACCTGTAGTAGCGCTTTTTTACCCACTCGTCCTCTATTTTTTATTTTGGGAATATTTTTTGAATAAATTATTTAAAAAAAATTTAAGCAGTTTTGAGAAACATCACTAAAACAACGTTTACTTAATGAGATAAAATAGATAAAAACACACTAACAAAAAATATTATTTTGCCCAATTTTATTTTATGATAAAAGAAACAAAAAATAAATAAAATAAAGTAAAACTCTTGCAAAAAAAATCTTAATCATCAGAGTATGTTTCATTAAGTTTCATAATCAAAAAAGAGTAAAAAAGTAAAGTTTCAATAATGCTTATATTGCGAGGTGATTGCGAGTAATAACAAGTAAAAACAAACTTGTATAAGATATTTATGTTCATGCGACGCGACATAAACAATATATCGATTACCGATTGCCATTATTTTCAGATTCGGGAAATTACCAGGGGGCAATGCCAGGGGATAACCGTTGCCCACGACCAAAGAGTAGTAACTAGACACTTAACGAATGCGTGGGGTTGCAATTTAAACACTATCGAATGATGAATCCTTAGACAGACCTTAGATGAATCTCGTGCTTTTTTTCCAAATCTCTTGCTCTCCAAAAATCTCTCACATATTTCACAGAAGGCATTTCTTTGAGAACTGGCAACACTGGTTGCAATGATAATTTTCTGACATCTTTCAACGCCGGTTCTAAACATTTCTGCGAGATTTCGAGATTTGTCAATTTGTCGATTTGTGCCTTGTGCTGCTTGCCCATGTTTCTGCGTTCTGGGTTTTTTTCTTATCCTTTTGTTGTAAACCGGTAAGAAAAGCTATAAAATAGGTTTTTAGCCATATACTTTTTGTGCATTGATCGACTATTTTTTTATATAATAGATAAACGTACATTTTGTTTCAATCTCGGAATTGTTTTGAATTTTCAGGTAGTTGATGTAAAAAAAAAATTGATCTTACAATGTGGCCGGCGGGAGCATCCTTTGGACCACCTCAACCCTCTCGATTCTATCAATCCACTAATCATTCTTCGACGTCGAATTTCAACGATTTTCGAAGTCCCCATCCAGCAAGAAATGAGAGACCAAGAGGAAAAAGGGGTAGATTGCGGGCCAAGCAGTCTGATTATTCGTTTTATAGCGACAGAGAATCGTTTTCCGACAACTCCACCTCTATGGTAACCAGAACAGTTGCCAGAGGAGCTCACAGAGGAACTAACAGAGCTAACGTATTCAATGTAGCTCTTCAAGATATACAGAGTCAGAATACACCGGGCGCAAATACAAATAATTATGATAGACAGCTTCAGAATGCACAGGATACGAATAGAAATAATTATGAGAGACAGCATATGAAGGCACAGGATACGAATAGAAATAGTTATGAGAGACAGCATCAGAATGAACAGAATGCAACTAGAAATAATTATGAGAGACAGCATCAGAATGAACAGAATGCAACTAGAAATCAAGAGAGACAGAACAGATCTGATCATAGACGTAATGGAAGAACTGAACCTAGGGCCTCTCGTGATGACGAAAACATACATGCAAAGTTATATGTCTGTCCAAAATGTGATAATAACTACTCCGTTAGATGTAAGTTACCAAATTATGTAAAATATTAATTTATATTATATTATTTCTTTTAAATTAGCTGGTCAAAAGGGAATCACTGGGAAAGTTCCTCTAATACTAAACTGCAACCATACAGTATGTCAGGAGTGTATATATAAAACTATAATCAACAGTAAAGTAACCTGCCCTGTATGCAATAAGCCTTCTACTTTGTCACAGGTACTGATTTAATTCTATATTGAATGTTTTCTAGTAATTAAGTAAACTATTTTAGGAACCACCCGATATATCTCAGGTAGACCTTCAAACTGTGTTTTTACCAAATTATTATATTATTGGTATAATGTCATGTAATAGACCTCAAAATGGTAATTTAAACAATTTGGACAATGTAAAATTTGTATCTACCACTACCGCAAAAAAAAATAAGGCACCTGCACAACCAATAGGTATTTCAATCTAATCGAGTGTATATGAAAATGTATTTATTATAAAATTTGTTTTAGAGAGGTGTTCTTTTAACCAATGTTCCAAGAAAGCAACTATGTTTTGTCCAAGTTGTGAAGGTAAGCAAAATACTCTGATAATAAAAATCCTCAACTTGGACTGGAAATGATTGATAACATCAGATAATATTCACTATATGATTTTACATATAAAGCCCCATCTACACAACTTTTGCCTGTAAAGTGAGATGGGATAAAAACTTTAGAGAATTTTACTTCAAATTTATATTTATGGTTTAAATTTTATGGCTCAAGTTATTTAGAAGCCTTTTCGAATAGTATGTCATAAAAAAAATTCTACATATCTTTATTTTCTACATATTTTGACAGTTAAAGACAGAAAAAGCTGAGTTTAAATTATTGATTAAATTTTCTTTATTGGTTGCATGGAAATGAAATGTTATGAAATTGATAGCGTTATTTAATGATTTTAATTATTTTTTTTATATTATAAAAGTGCTTTTTTGTCAGTAGTCGGACAGTGCTTGCCAATGTCCGGCCAGGTAATTACCATAAGTCGGACACCTGTGATTGGCTGATTCTGCACAGTCCCATAAGTTAATGTGTATAATTTCATATGGACGTTTTTTTTATATTAGAGTTTTAAAAAATCTTTTTGTGGCAATCACTTCTGCTTTGAACACAACTTAAAATGCACCAAGTCAAAGTTGATAGCTAACATCTGGGAGCTGTCAAATACAAAATATTTAAAATAAATTTTTAAAAATTGGTTAAATTATTATTATTTTAAAAAAGGTGACTAACAAAATTATGTTTCACCTTTGACTTGGTGCATTTTAAGTTGTTTTTAAAGCAGAATTGATTGCCACAAAAAGTTTTTTTTTAACTCTAAAACCAAAAGAAACCGTCTATATGGATCCAACTTTACGGCGAACACTGTATTTATTGAAGGGCTTCCCCGAAAAACGTAACCGACATTTTTTTCAAAATAGAGAATTCAGTGAAATAAGGTTGTAATTTTCATAGGTATAACGTTTTTTCCTCGGTTTTTTCACTGAAATTTCGATATTGAAAAAATTGTTGGTTACAACCGAGGAGCCATTCAATTATTACATTAATTATTATTACATTAATGTTTACTAAGCATTATTAACCAAAATAAATTTGACTTATTTATATTACTAACTTTACTAATTTTTGTAAATCAGCTCAATTTTTCATGTTTCAAATTGCACACCAAGTCATTGATTGGGTTCATTTTTTAACACATACACACACAAAACAGTTTTAAAACACAACAACGAAACAAACAGCAAAAATTAACAAGTGAAATCAACAAAAACCATTAACAAACAACAATAAATAATCAACAACTTTACAGTCTTTACACGGTTAATTACTCGCCGAAGTAGCCGAATATTAGCATAAAGGAAGACGAAGCGAACTGCCCAAAAACTCATTCACATCGGTCGCCGATAAACAATTTCGGGGCGTGGAATTTACATGCGGCCGCTAGGCTCACGTCACGTTACCATGGAAACCATGCAGCCGCTCGGCTCACAAATATTTTCATTTCACTTGTGGCTTCGTGGAAACGTAGGCGCGTGCGGGCCAATAGAGAACAACGGTATACGGTCGAGTCGGCCTACAAACACGTAAACGTTTACGTACGCATGCGCATTTCTTTTATTTTTTATTTTTTATACGTAAAAGATTCTTTACGTCTACGTATACGTGCCAGCAGCGGCCAACTTTGAATTTTGACCGTTATTTTTTACCAAGATGGCAAATATAAAATCCCTCTGTTAAAAAAGTTACTGATATTCTTTAAATTGAGTGTCTGAACGAATCAGATAGGTAACTCTTTTTACTTTCGTGAAATAGAGAAGGAAAATAATAAAACAAGTCACAGTTCTCCATCTTCTTGCAAAAATCAACACTAAATGTCATTTCGGCTTTTGACATTTCTAAATATCAGACAACCAAGAAAAATGCATGGCCGCCAGTTGCTATCCTAATAAAATTAACACTAGAAAAGCCCGCGGGAACTGTCAAATTCACACGTTCGTTTCACAGACTATACATGTAAATATATTAAACTAAATTAATATTTTAAGCAGTAAAGTTTTTCTTTAATTTGAGTATTTTTTTTCGGTGAAGTGCCCCTTCACCTACTGCACCTAACGAACCGCCACTGGAACAAAGCGGAAGAATTGGCAGAATTGGATTTTTTATTATTTGAAGCAGTACTAAGCCATATTTTTAACTTATTTTCCAATAAATACGTTTTGTCCGACTACTGATACATTTGATGTCCACCCTACTTAATACATTTTGACTAAACAGATAAGGCCGGCAGGTAAAACGTTATGTGTAGGCGGGGCTTAAAAGGAAAGCAATTTTTATCTCCAGGCCAATTATGATTTCTATTTTTTTTTCAATCCTGTGATAGTATTGTTTTTAACTTCCTTATTATTATTTGATAATCTTTTGTAGCCATTTATTGCATTGATTGTTGTACGGTAATACATAAAAGTATCAACAAGTTGGTGAGTCATGAACCAGTGCCTTACAAAAAGGCCAAATTTACCCTGGTCTTGGATAAATGCAAGGAACACAAAGAGATGAACGTAGAATTCTACTGTAAAGACTGTGACATTAAGGCTTGCTGTTATTGTGTTTTAGACACACATACCGACCATGAAAGAGAGCCCCTTTCAAAGCTGGTAAGTTCTTATGATACTATATACTCATATTCTTGCAAATATTATTTTTATAGATATAAATCGATTTTTAGTAGGCGGATTTTTTTTATATTAATATTAAACCTGTTTGTTTAATAACTTTATATACCAATATATCCGGCAAAAAAAAAACGGCCACTAAAAACTAGACCTAATTTCAAAGTTGGATTTCTCGCGAACCACTCATTAGATTTTAATGATTTTTTTTTAAATTATAAATTAATTCCTTTTTAGCGAATGCTACGTCAGAAATTTTTATTCCGAATTTATTTTGAGCATGTACAGGGCACAACAATAAGACAAAGTTTTTTGCCCGAACTTTGTAACACCCTGTAGGGTGCAGTAGCGGTAGTAGCTATTGCTAAATTAAATCACATTGTAGCCTCATCTTTTGTGTGCATGTTGTTTTTTTAATCACCACATTATCTCTTTTTGTATTGGAGATATGCTGTTTTAAAACGAACGTCTCGGAAAAATGCTTCGCAGGCAGAAAGTTTTAAGTATAAATAATCAAGGCGACATACAGTGGGCAAAAATCCAGAAGTATGTTGCAAAAATTCTTTTATTGTACGTTTTCATTCAAATTTGGTAAAAACATTCTATGCCAGTAGCCCGTGAACCCAGTTAGTTTTGGCTGACTTGAGATTGGCTGGGGGTGGTGGGGGGGATTCATAAAATGGAAAAATCATCTTTTGACTAATACAGCTACCAAAATGCGGTAAGAATATTTTACATTCCACTAAATTTTACGATTTTTGGCAGAGCCAAGATGAAACAGACAAATATTGAGCAATTATTATTCCTCCGGCATATACAGGGTTTGTTGGTTAGGTATATATATTGACATCCTCTGTATCTTTTTTATTCGACGTTTTCGAAAAAAGTGTCTTCAATAAAAGTTTAATGGTCTGGAATACATTTTTCAAAACAGTCTTCTTTGCATATACAGGGTGCCCAACTTTCTTATTTAAAATTAGTACCCAATTTTTTATTTATTTTTTTTTATTTTCTCCTAAAAATCCTAACTACTTTTATGTAGCATATCCTATACCTAATTTGAAATAAGATAGTTGAACCACGCCCAGATTTTTTGAAGCACTTTGGATATGCGAAATGACTTTTTTGGCAAATTTATTCAAAACCACTTTCATTTGAGACAGTTTTCGGAAACGTCAAATAAAAAAGATAAAGGGGGTGTCAATGTATAAAAGAAAACCCTAAGTATACTAATCCAATCGAACTTTTATTCAAGATTGTTTGTCATTTGAATAAGTTGGATCTCTAATAATACCAGACAATATGTGAACAATATTTTATTATTATATTTTAAATAAGTAACAATATTCTGAGACTTAAACAATGACGATTTCGAAAATAACAGAACTTATACCTATTATATCTAAATTTGATTTTACCACCTACTATTTACTGATATTTTGTTTTATAACAGCTGGAAGCGATGGTCACGAAGTGCACATTTTTAAATCTGAAAGAAAAATCCATTGCATTTAATTTAAAAAATTAGGTACTGTCAAAATTTGTCAATTTGTCAAAAAATGTCATTTGACATTTATGACATACCTCGGAAATCTTGAGAAAAATTACTTAACTTTATATTTCAAGTTCTTCTCTAGCTACTATAACAATTAATTTATGAGAAGTATCCACATAAAGGATCTTACTATACACATACTTTGACATGGAGACATACGCTTCCAATAAGTTTAAAGTTGCGATTTTTTGCGATTTTTTTGACTTAACTTTTCTAAGATAGAATATATGCCACTATCAAAAAAACCTTAAATGATTATGTTCTACTTTGACCTTTACCTAGTTTTTATCCAAAAAATCAAAATAAAAGATCCTTTTTTACTTACCTTGACATTAAATTTACCGCAACCGGGAATCTACTTACGTAAAACACATTATGACAATTTCACAATAATTATTGACAGCAAGCTAAGGTCGTCCGATTCAATTGTTATAATACTGTGTCACTTGAATGCAACGCCTACTATTTAAAAAATTGTAGAAAAAAGGCAGTTATTGGACACAAATTAACTGAAAATGTAGGTTTTGCGCAAAGTTCGTTTTACAGCCCCTCGAAAGAGACTCCGAATATGTTTTTTTGTTAGTTTTATGTGATTTCCTCTTAACTAATATGTTTCCAATCTAATGTTATTGCCATAAATGCTAACTGTGGATGTTATTTTTTGCAACTTGGTTTGGACATATTGCCTACTGTGCGACATAAGCGAAAACGGATTTATGAGTATTTGCAATATGACAACAACGGTTGTCAAATTAAAAAATGCCCTTATCTGTAACGGATGTTGCTCGTATTGTGGCTTTAATAATTGAGGATGGGCGAAGTCAACGTTATGTCTCCGATACCCTGGGTATATTTCGAACAACAGTCAGGGCCCGTATTCTTTAACTTTGAAAACGCTAAGCGCTTTTAGACGCTCAGCGTATATCAAGTTAATTTTCGCTGAGCGCGCACTTAATTAACGATTTCGGTATTGTCGTCTAACGCGCTTAGCGTCTTTACTGATTGCGCTGAGCGCTTTGAAAATGGTTGCCTTTCATAAAGTGTGGTCCATAGCATGTGTCTCCAGGGGTCCGCGATCCGCATAACGTCAGTTAACTATAAACATAGTTATTAAGAAAATAAATAGTGTAGGGCGGCGAATTCAGTAGGTATTTAATCACTAAACACTACGCGATGCGCGTAAGGATCCAAAAAAACAAAGTTGAAGCTGTTCCCTTATCAAACGTTGTTATTCATTCTAGAATTGTTGAAATGTCGTCAAATGTTTTACAAGTTGTTGAAGAATTAATTGCTTCACTGTTTCCATTCAGTATTAAATTGGATGAAAGCACCGATGTGTCACAATGTAGCCAACTCTTGGTATTTGTTCGTTACGTACAACAAGACACACGTAGTATTAAAGAAGAGTTTCTTTTTTGCATTTCACTTTTGGAGACTACAAAGGATGTTTCGGATGTTTTTGAAATGACAAAAAGGTTTTTCATCGAACAAAATGGAAGACTAAACTTGTGCAGACACCGATGGAGCTCCCGCAATGCTTGGTAATACGTCTGGTTTCGCGGCTTTAGTCAAGAACGAGATCCCTCATGCCATAATAACTCATTATGTCTTGCATCGACATGCCTTGTCTTCACGGACTTTACCTACATTCGTGAAGGAAGTTATGTCTACTTGTGTCAAAATAATTAGCAGAGCAAGAGCCTTAAACCACCGCGGCACCGCCTGTTTAAAAGATTTTGTCAAGAAATGGGGTCAGAACATGAAGTGCTGCTTTACTGAACAGAAGTTCGTTCGCTGTCAAGGGGACAGGTCTTAAAGCGATTGTTTGACAGAAGTGTTACTTTTTCTAAAAGATAAAGAAAATTCACTATCTGAATATCTAGAGAGCGAAGATTTTGTATGGGGGCTAGCGTATTTGGCGATATATTTACCCAATTGAATGAGATTAACTTGTCTCTTCAGAGCTCTGCGGTGACCATCGTGGATGCATCTGAACGGTTGAAAGGTTTTATATGTAAAATGTCACTTTGGAAAAGGATGGTGGAATCTGGTAACTTTGCAAATTTTCCGATGTTTGAAGAGTTAATAGCACAAGGTGACGGCAACACGATATCAAAAATGCTACAGAAAGAGGTGTCTAAGCATTTGGATACATTGCAAACTTCTTTTGAAGGCCACTTTAACTTAGAATCGCCTGAAAATGAAACGTGGGTGCGGGGTCCATTTATAATCGATACGGATAATATCAGCGATGAAGATCTCATTAAAGATGACTTAATTGGCATGAGATAAAAAGAAGTTTTAAAAGCTGAATTTAATGCAAAAGATCTTGGCGAGTTTTGGTGTTCTTTAAGTCAAGCTTACCCTCTTCTTGTCAAGCGAGCTATGTCCGTTCTGATACCATTGGCTATTACGTACCTTTGCGAGGCAGGGTTCTCTGTTCTGGTCTCAATAAAACATAAAGTCGCAACCGATTGAACGTCGCAAATGATATATGCGCCTTGCCTTGTCGAAGATAACCCCACAATTTAACGTTCTCATTGAGGCTAAACAGCAGAATCCTTCTCACTAGTTTACTAGTGTATGTGTTAACAAACTTTTTTTTTATGTAAATAAGGCTTTTTTTATTTTCCTCTATTTCTGATAGGGGTCCGTGGAATTGTACAAATTGCGAAAGTGTCACGGACCACTTTGCAAAAAGTTTAAGAAACCCTGCCTTAAGGATCATTTTGCTTGTCGAACTGTCAGTGAAAATCGAAAAAATTGTGATTTTGTGCGTTATCTTGCTCTTTAGTGAAAATTACTACTTCTATAAATTCCTCAATAAGTAATTGATAATTTACGACTTGGCAGCTATAAATATTGTTCAAAACATCGAAAATGCTGAAGGACGGTCCACACTTGCTATATAACACTGCTATATAGCAAAGTTATATAACATGTTATATATTTTTTAGTTATATTTAGCAAATTTCGATGCTATATAACTTGCTAGATGTTATCCATTTGTAGTCGGTAAAGATCAAAAGATGTTGTGCAACATTGCTATTGTAACATGAAACAACGCGTCCACACTTGCTAAATTTCTTGTTTAGCCGCTCATATTTTCAGGGACGTGCGCGACAGAATCTTAGTGTGGTGAGCTGATATTGGTTTGTTTATTTACTGGTCCATAATACCGTATGATCGAAAAAAAAACTGCGTCCCGTCGGCCTCCCGTCCAGTCCAGTTGGCTTGGACTGACGATCGATGACATTCCCCATATAATTTTCCATATAAAATGACAGCGATTTTCATTTCACAGTAGGTATTTGGAAACAGAAAAAGTTGAGAAAAAATGCGTAATCTAATAGGCCAGTTCCAGCGGGAACAAAAGAAATGCAAATCAGGAACTGCATGGTTTAGATGAAGTGGATAATTCAAAATGGTTTGCTTTTGCTTTTACAGTACCTCTGTCCGTTCTGTGGCTACGGGGTATCCGTGAGAGGGGAAACGATATTCTCTCGATGTTTTTCGTAAAAAATAGACGACGCGTCCCATCAATAAAAATTCGACAAATTTGCAAGTAGCCAATAAAGTGAGTGGGCGGAGCGATTTGCGGTGACGCACTCGTCAAATCGACGTATAAAATATATTGCTGTTTATTTAAATGTTTTTTGTCCGCATTCCTTTCATAGACACAGATCCAGCCAGGGTTCGGAAGTAGTTAATTAAGACGTAATTTACCTGATTAACTACGTGTAGTTTTTCTTCAAAAACTGCGTCTTTTCCCGTTCAATAACTACATGAAAACTACGTAAATAAACTATGTATTGATATTATGGATAATTTTCCTTTGTATGAGGTGTAATAGAGATAATATGATGTAAATATTATATTTAAAGGCATATTTCTTCTGTTTTCTTAAATACATTATGTGTTGAAAACCTCACCTCAAACCTTTGACATTTGAAAGTTACATACATAGGTTACATAAACTATACCCTCTACATAAACTACATTTACTACATGTAATGTAGTTTATGTAGTTTTTAAAAGTATCATGTAGTTTTCCGAACCCTGGATCCAGCAGACGAGACGTACTGTAAATTATTAATGTTTTTAAATGACAGAACGAGAAACAGCCGAGGCAAGTATTGAAAAGATAAGCTAATTGGTTCAACTGTATCTAGATCTTGCTGGTAGGCTATGGCGGACTGAAAACCGCTTTTTTCTCGACTTTCTTTCCCTTAGTTCAAAAATAATTACGCACGCCGCTGCTGCGAGCTGAACCTCTTTCTCGCCAAAACGATTCATGACTACGAAAACTATAATGTGGACGGCTCCCGGTTTTTTAACATGTTACATGTAGCTTGTTAAATAGCAATGTTATATAACATGTTACTAAATGTGGACCCTCCTTGAGAAGCGTCTTGAACACTTCCCTCGTATAATAAGAATAATGACATATCCATAGAAAAACAGCTTGACATAACTCAACAATAGGTTATAAAATTCACGTAACATTGACATTTTTCATTGTTACATCCGTCAGTTATCAACTTTTGACTATTAGCTACGTTAGAAATTGTGATATTGCCAATATGTGCTCAACGCGTATCCAGAACACGATGCATGGCAACGAGAATACCAAAATCGACTGCCTTGCGTTTCGCTGATCGAATACTTGCGCTCATCGCTTTGAAAGCGTAACGTTTTTATGTCAAAGTTACAGAATACAGGATGCCTTGGATCGATATATGGAAACGGGAAATTTCACCAGGCGAGTGGATACTAGATCGCCACTAGGTCCCTTAAAATTTCTTCACCTTTCTTTTTTAATTTTCATGTTTTAGTTACTTTTCAGATTAAACTTACCTACGTTCTGATGTTTTGTTTGATTTGTTTTTAAAGCTTTTTTCGATGCGTTTGTTTCAAAGCAGCGTATCTCCAATACAAACAGAGATAATGTCGTGATTAAAAAAACAAAATGCTCACAAAAGATGAGGCTACAATATGATTTGATTTAGAAATAGCTACTACACCTGCTGCACCCTACAGGGTGTTACAAAGTTCGGGCAAAAAACTTCGTCTTATTGTTATGCCCCGTATATGCTCAAAATAAATTCGGAATAAAAGTTGCTGACGTAGCATCCGTTAAGAAGGAATTAATTTACAATTTTTAAAAAAAAATAAAATCTAATGAGCGATTCGCAAGAAATCCAACTTTGAAATTAGGAGTAGTTTTTAGTGGTTGGTTTTTTTTTTGCCGGTGAGTGTATTACAAAAAAATAGCATGCCAACTCTTTCAATGCTCAGTTGTGAACGCAACGTTTATCGGCAGCCGGACGCCCCGCACGCTGTTTCAGAGAGCATAGCAAAAGTTATATTAAAGAGCCAGCTTTCTTAAAATTCTCGAAAACGTTGCTAGCTTTTAGACTACAATTTTTTTCATATAATTCCAATGTAATTTCTCATAGTGTTTTAGAATTATGTTCATTATGTTCAAGAGAAGAATAGTTCATTAGAATATATGTTCATACAAAATGCTTGATTGTAACTTTTTTATCATTCTTATATTTTTTTAGAGTGACTTAGAAATGATAGAATTTACAAGTTTGAAAAAAGATGCTGAAAAGGTCTTGAAAGAGCTGTTGATATGTCAGAAGGTAAGTGTTATTTTATCACATATTGTATATGATTGAATAGAAACGGCGTCATGTATGGATCGATTCTTAGAATTTTTCTATTAAAAATTTAATAAAAATATACCTTAATACAGAAAAAAGTTAAAAGTATATAAAGAATAGTTATCTTTGTAAAAAAATAAGTTTCTAACTCATTGGTTCGACGAAATTATCATTTTTGCTATTTTAAAAGCCATTACGACGCTGTTTTTTTTTATAGAATTCTAGTTAGAACTAGGTAATTTTTGATTTTAATTGTAGAAAGCATCAAACCTAACAAGTTATAGTACTGACACTGTCAGAAAGGAGATTCGAGATTATTTTGCAGACTTACATGCAACAATATCATCAATTGAAAACAAATTACATAAAGAAGTGGAAGAGTTTCAGGCAGCTATTGGGTAATTATATTTGAAAAATGTCTAATAGTCGGTTTTAATTTTTGTTTTGATTGTAGAAATTTGAATCCTATTCAAGCATCTTTGTGCCAGTCCATTGATATGCTGAAGCAACTAGTTGCTATTGACCACAAAACGTGTAAAGACGTAAAAATGAATCTAAAAGGCGCTTTAGAAAAACTAAGAGATGTATCCAACATTCCTAGGTTTTTATTAAATGAAAATGGCAATTCCGACCCGATTAGGTATGTACAAAAAATACTTAAATATTAGGATGGGTCAAAAAAATCAACTATTTTTTTTCACTTTATACTCTGAAAAAAGGTTGGTACACACCTCAAAAAACAAATCTTCTACAAATATCTGTGACGACAATTTTTTTCTATATACAGGGTGGTCCGAATTGTATTCCGGAAACTTCGGCAGCATTCTGCAGATACAAATAAGTAAAAAAGTTCGTATAAATGTATGTCCTAAAATGCTTAGTGATTACAGTTGGGGGTTGGAACCTTTGGTGTTATACAGCAAAATAAAACACTAAATCGCCACAATACACCAAAACACTTTTACTTTTACACTGGAGGCGCGTTTTGCTAACCATGTTAGCATCATCAGCAGATGATCAAGACTTCAGTCACCCTGTATACAGGGTGGTCCGAACTGTATTCCGGAAACTTCAGCAGCATATTCTGCAGATAAAATAAGTAAAAAAGTTCCTATAAATATATGTTCTAAAATGCTTAGTTTCGGAGATACAGGGTGTAGAAGTTTCATTTTTATTTCGATTTTTTCCAAATAATTTTTGAAGTAACGTCAATATTTGGATGAAAATTGGTGTCTGGGAGTTTTTTGACATGAGAAATTTGATTTTGATGTCAATATGACTCCAATTTTTAGGGGGTGCCACCTACATGTGTTTTAACTGTTTTGAAGAGTAATAAGTTTTCGTCCGCACCTATATAAAACTATTGGAGTGAAAAAATATACATTTCCGTGACTTTTTTCGTAAAAAATGTCTCTTGGTAAAAATCGCTACGAGCAACCGTTCTCAAGATATTTAGAATGAAAATAGTCAATTCATGTCATTATTGACAAAAATTAAACATGTTGAGTAGATAGTTACTTGACTGAAATAATAAATTTCGCAAATTTTTATTTTTTTAAATTAATTATAATTTTTTCTGCGAAAAAATGAATATAAAACAATTTCTGTTGAACTTGTGACACAAAAATATATCAATTTTATGATTTTAGTCGAATAACTAATTAGTCAACTTTAGTTTAATTTATGTCAATGATGATAGATATTGATAATTTCGATTCCAAATATCTCGAGAACCATTACGCATAGCGATTTGTACCTAGAGACCTTTTTTACGTAAAAAACTTCGTAAATGCATATTTTTATACTCAGTAGTTTTATACAGGTACGAACGAAAAGTTATTACTCCTCAAACCAGTTCAAAAATATGTAGGTGGCGCCCTCTACAAGTAGGAGTCATATTGACATCAAAATTAAATTTTTCATGTCAAAAAACTTCCAGACACCAATTTTCATTCAAATATTGACGTTACTTCATAAATTATTTGAAAAAAATCGAAATAAAAATGAAACTTCTACACCCTATATCTCTGAAAGTAAGCATTTTAGGACATACATTTATACGAACCTTTTTACTTATCTTTATCTGTAGAATATGCTACCGAAGTTTCCGGAATACATTTCGGACCACCCTGTATATACGATACCGAGATATGATTTTTTCTTTCTAATAATAAAGGAAAAAATAGAAAACTGAAAGGCGTAGGACCTTTCTATTAAAATTGAGAGCTCTTACTTGGATAGATTTTTTTTGACGTGTCCATTTTTTTCAAAGTATAAAGCGAAAAATAATAGTCGATTTTTTTGACCTACCCTATTAAATATTGTGAAGAAGAATTACTGAAAAACTAAACTTTTTTCATAACAAATATCCTGATATCTTAAACAAGCTATATCAAACTTTATTTTTTAGATTTACAGTTGACTCCGGTATATTTGATTCGTTAGAGTCGGCTTTTGACGTGGAAAAATGTGAAAATTCTCAATACCGATTAGTTACAGAAAACGAATTGGATGATGACTATGTTTTGGAAAATGACCCTGAAATTGAAACTGAGCTACAAGAAATTATTAACAAGTCTGAGCAATTGGTTTTGAGTGAAGAAAATAGCAGCCCTAGCACGTCGAGAAAACCATCAAAAAATCTTCAAAAATATACAAAACCCAAAGACCAAAAGTATAATTCAGGTAATTATATTATTATTTGTTAATAATGAATCAAAAACTTATAAACCAAGAAGAAAAATATTGAAAAATGTTATTCTATTTTTATGCCTTTGTTACTTCTAAATAAGAATTCTCTTGACAAAAAGTGGAAACTACAAGTTATTTATTTTTAGGTAATATGGGGAAAATAACTGTGCAACACATTAATTCAATGGAAAGCTTCTATATTCAATACAAAAATGATGAACCGAAATTACAGCAACTAAATTCTGACATAGAGAACTATATCAAGATGGGTGGAGCCGAGTCGGTTGAGGAATTCCAACTCAGTAAGTGTTTTTAACCTAGATCTACTCTTGGGTGCAAATTATTATTTTATATTTATTTTTAATTATTAATTAAGTCATAAATGATCTGCAAATTGATAGTAGAGGTTTGTAACAAGATTTATATCATGATAGCTGATAGGCTATTATTATCCACCTGTATCACACAGAGATGGATTTTTTTCTTCTTATTCGTGAACATTATTTTATTTATTAAGTATAAATACAAAATATATTGACTTGTTCCTGTATAATTCATAATAAATGTCATAGTTGAATAATAGTTTATAGGCTTGGTACATTCTCCGCCGATGCTGCCATCGTCGGAGAATATCGTAAACAATTGATATATAGAAATACACGGGTTTAAATAGCGAGTATACGAAAAATGTATTTTACAGGGTTCTACAAATTCGAGGTACAAGCATTGGTATGTCGGAAACTGTAATAGATACGAAGATGGTTAAATTGGGGCCAAGTTGCGCTTTGATATGTTTACCAAGATACCATCAAAAAAGTTTTAAAAATTTCAAGGATTGCTGAGTTTTTTTGGAAAAAACGGATTTTTTTGAAAATCAATTTTATTTTTCCCTGTCGTTACTTTTTAGCAAATCAAAAACTAATTGCACATTCTCATAGCCAGTTTATTAGGGCTATCTGATAGTATTTTTAGATTTTCAAGTTAGCCGATAATTTGTGAGATACGGAGGCCAACTTAATTTTTTTAAATACGGATCTGCATTTTTTATTTCAGTTTTTGAAAGAACTCGGTCTCCTAAGTACAATGATATGCCACACTTTATACTTTTATTTTTGTTTTTGGTACCTTAACAACAACAAAACTATTTAATTATTATTTAAAATAATTTCAAGTCCGAGTCTGTTTTTTTTAAATTATTTAACCTGATTATATTCATCGCAATAATATTGATCAGCGCTAATTAAAATTGAAAAAGAAAAATCGAGCTAATTGAAAGATTCAAATAAATAACCAGGTCAGCAATTTAAAGATATTATTTTCAACTTTTTTATTATGAATTTGAAATCTCAGTATGATATAATAATATGCATAATATTAATCGTTGTTATTATAAATAAATCAACTTCTACAAACTAGTTTTTAATGCTCTACATGTTCGAAACGGCTACCACTTTGCCTATTGCACAAATCTATTGTAAATGTTGAAAAATAATGATTTCACTTTTATAAATGACGTCAACTAATGCAACACCCCCCTTGGCCTCTTGGCGACAGGTCCAGGAACCTCGATGGCCATTATACTGCTCTACCATTTCCGATTCATCTTACGGGGAAATTATTTGATTGTTTTTATTATACTAGTTGAAGCCTGGCGCATCCGCCACATCAGGAAAAAAAAAACTTTTTATTTTTTAATCAAATGAAAAACAAAAAATCCGGCGACGACATTTTTTACAAATCTTTTAGTAAAAAAAGCAACTTTCTAGAGCAAGTCGTTACTTCGGTAGAGACGGCACAGATAAACATTATCTAGATTAGCATTATATGTAGATTATATTTATATTATTTATTTTTTATTGCAGTTGATTTTCAGTATCCAATGTTTTACCCCATGTCATTGTTAAGTTTGAAGGCTTATCAATATTGTAACGATGAATAGATTAAATATTAAAAAAAGCAGAGCCAGACTTAAAATTAGTTTAAATCGGCTAATTTGAAAATCTAAAAATATTATCAGATAGCCCTAATAAAGTGGTTATGAGAATGTGCAATTAGTTTTTTGAATTTTTAAAAAGTAACGACAGGAAAAAAGTAAAATTGATTTTCAAAAAAATCGTTGGATGGATAAATACTTTTTTTCTTATAGATGTAATATCCTTGTAAAATTTAACAAATTTTGATCTCATATGCTACCCACAAAATTACCCATTTCTATACAAACTGTATTTAAAAAGTTCTGTAGTACTTCAGAAGATATTAATGAAATAGTCACTCGTTTTCTCTTTAAACCACACTGTTTGTACTGATCAGTAGCATCACCAGATGAATTTTCTTTTATAGATATTTTTTTTCTCCAAAACCGTTAATTTTAGTAGCATTGGTTTATTAGAAAATTGGTGACGACCACAGTAACTTCTGCCATACTGAAATATAAGTGAGAGATCTAAAAAAATGCAAAAAACCTACATTCCTGGTATTATAGTTTTCTAAATTCTGTATTGCAAGTTCAGCCACAGATACTGTATAGTTTGGGGTGGATAATTACATGTACCGCAAGGTAAAATGTAAGAGGTCTTATTTTTTTTTTCTTTTAGATCAACTGTATCTAGCTTTATATATAGCCGACTACCAAAAAGACAAAGACGTGAAATGGTGTAGAGCTAGATTAATTGATATTATAAAAGTTGATGAGACAAACACATATGACATGTTCTTTATTGACTATGGAAAGAGCCAGGTGGTCGAGGCGAATAGGTATAAAGTTCACCATCCGTTTTGAAATTGAAATTTTAACAGTGTTATTTTTAGAATTAAAGACATGCCTGCATTTCTTGCTGCAAAGAGACCCTTCGCCATTCATTGTTCATTGCATAATCCCTTAGGAGTAAATTGGAATAAAAATTCCCATTTTGCTTTGGCCAGGATCTTAAATGGGTAAGTGAAACTAAAATATACACCAATGGAGATATCAAATCCAAATAATAGGAATATACGGTCATCGCAAAACATTTTCCGGTGCACAATCCGGTCATCTCCTGCGGTCATCAATCATATCGAAATTGACACTAAAGCCTGACTAAATGAAATTTCGGCAAAAATGTTTAAATTTGTTGTATAATTTAAGATACCGAGCAGCTCTTTATTTACTTTATAGAGCACATGATTCTAACAGATATTTTATTTAGATTAAAGCTTCATTCAGAACCTCGCAATTAGTGGAATAAATTAGTGGTTTCAATTACACTTTTTACTTTTTAGTTTACAATCATTCACAATGTCAAAAAAACACCATTAAAATGAATAGAATAACCCAGCAACAGCTTGCGGTTGTCAGTTGTATCCATAGAGAGAGCTTATTATTTGAGTTATAAAACAATCAGCTTTTGATTTCTAACCATAATTTTTCTTGACGGAATATAATCAAAGTCATTTAAATGACATTTCTCGTAAATTTTGAAGTATAATTAATGGAAAAGTTAAGTTTGATAACTTTTTCTACTAATTTAAAATGTCTACCACTAATTTTGACGTTCTGAATGCTTACATTGAAAATAAAGGAACAAACTTCTATGTTAATTTAATCCACTAATTTATTTCACTATTTGCGAGGTTCTGAATGAAGCTTAAAGGTGCAAAAATTAGTTTAAACCGAATTTTATTATCCCTGTGTTGGTCACATTGCGCCGTGTTGCAAGTGCGCAACGTTGTCGTTTATCATTTGACAATTATCATAATCTCACTCATTATTTTGTATAATATCGTGTTGTTGAATCTTTGTGAGTAATTCTCGTTTTTTATTTTATAAGTGTTTTTTTTTAAATTGTACCTTTAAGCACAAACAGTTCTTTTAAGAATTAAATTTTTGTACTGCATTTCTTGAGATTGTGTGTTGAAAATATGCCCAAGCATTTAAACAGTTCAAGCAAAGAGCTTGTAGCTTCCCTGATATACTCTTTTGAAGGAGAACGTGACAATAAAGGTGCTTTATTACCCTTGATTGCAGTCAGAAAAGTAAGTTTGATTGGTAAGCACATTATACCACTTTCAAACTTATTTTTACGATAGTTTTTAGTAAATTCTGTGATTATTAGCACAGATTATAAACTTGTCAAAAGCATTGTTTTTCGTGGTTCCAATTTTCGGAGTCGCGCACTAGTTAGGTTACTAGTTTGCGCACATAGCACGCCCACTTATGGTCTCCAAAATTGTGCACAGCGCCTGACCGGCCCAGTTATTACGCTGTTTAAACGCGAGTTTATTTTTGCGCACAGGAAATTTTACTCGTTTGCTCATCGTCATAAAAAATAATTTTCGTACCACGATTTAGGGACAAGATTTTTATCTGTATACATATATAGTATACCTAATCTGTGTTATTAGTGTGTTTTATTTTATTTTACTTATTCATGTTAGTCCAATGGTTATATATATCAAATATAAAGAATAAATAATAAAATTCTGTAAATAAACATAAACAATTTTCAAAAAAACATTAAGATAAAATTATTATAGTTTAATCACAAAATCTACTTGTGTAATTGATCCGCAAATTACGTCAGGCGGTAACGTTATTAGCGGGCGTGGCGTTAAAAAGTGACTCGCGCATATCGTAACTGTCAAAATAAGGTACACGTAAATACTGCATGACGCTATTCTGTTTACCGATATCTCTCTAACTGTCAAAATAAGGTACGCGTAAATACTGCATGACGCTATTCGGTTTTCCGATATCTCTCTAATAACTGGGCCGTTCAGGCGCTGTGCACAATTTTAGAGGCCATAAATGGGCGTGCTATGTGCGCAAACGAATATCCTAACTAGTGCCCGATTCCGAAAATTGGAACCACGAAAAACAATAAAGAAAAAACAAAGTTTATAATCTGTGGTATTAATGTGTGCATTAATAGCACCCTCTTACTTGTTATTACAACTTGTGGTGTTGTAAGTTGTACGTCAATAAATAAATAAATAACCCATAATAACGCTTAGAATAATTTTCATAATGGACTAGTTTTTGTCAATATGTAATAAGTTAAATAAGCTATAAAACAAATAAATCAATTAATTATTAAAACATCAACTATTAAATTAAAAATAAAACGTAAAAATCTTTAAAAAATGATATAACAAATATATATGAATTTGCAATTTTACTTAAGATTTATTACATAAATCCATAACAATCTGGCAGCGCTGTCGCCATCGCTTGTCACTCAAGTTGATCACGTGCATCGGAAATTGTTTTGCGATTACCATACACTTATGGAATCAACCTCTAATTTTTTTCTTTCCTATTCTTTTACACCTTGGAAATATATTTTAACTTTTTAGGAAAGATATCTGTATGGTTGTGAAGAATGTCGAGAACGGTATTCACGATGTCGATCTTATGTTAGCATCGTCAGATGGCAATGTCACTTCCGTCATTGACATTTTGGTACACGCCACTCACTCAGTTGCTCCAGCCAACGATGATAATTCCAGCCTTGACGAATTGCTACCCCCTAAAAAGGTAATGTCAATTGTAATTTGTAACGTATTGTGTATTTGACAGTAATATTTTATTAATTTTCAGGGTGCCTATTTTCCGGAATTAAAAGTTTTCCCAAACAGTGCCAAGTTTGTTAAGAATCAATCTGAAAAAGTGACTATAGCCAATATTGTGGACCCCTACCACATATTTGTTCATGTGGTAAGTTATATTATTTTCAGGGGATTATTTAGGGCATTACTTTAGGGAATGTCTTGGATATTAAGTATGATTAACATAATTATAATTATGTATGATTAACTTTATTTCCAACATTTCATATCCTTTCAACTTCCCAATCAATTATATTGATCTTTCTTTTTGTTTGGTCACTGATTACCTTAAGATTCATCCATAAATTTGTTCAACTTATATTATTCTTATAAAATGTGACTACGCTACAAGATGTAAACATAACCTGAATAATTATATGAACAAAAACTTTGGAACTTTGGATTTATTATTTAGGTATACTGTGTTCCGCAAACTTCGGCAGCGTATTCTACAGATAAAAATAAGTAAAAAAGTTTGTATAAATGTAAGTTCTAAATTGCTTAGTTTTGGAGAGTCGTCAAGTAACGTCAATATTTGGATGAAATTGGTGTCTGGGGGTTTTTTGACATGAGAAATTTTATTTTGATGTGTGTCAATATAACTCCTGTTTGTAGGGGGCGCCACCTACATCTGTTTTAACTGTTTTAAAAAGTAATAACTTTTCGTCCGTACCTGTATAAAACTGATGAGTGAAAAAATATAAATTTTCGTGATTTTTTACGTAAAAATGTCTTTCGGTTGCTACGAGAATAAACATGTTAAGTAGATAGTTATTTGACTGCAATGATAAATTCGGGAATTTTTTATTTTTTTAAATTAATCATAAATTTTTCTGTGAAAATATCATGACAAACAGTTTCTGTTGAACATTTGACACAAAATCTTTGATTTCAGTCTAATAATAATTATTTAATCAACATGTTTAATTTATGTCAATGATGACAGGTATTGATAATTTTGATTTCGAATATCTCGAGAACCATTACATGTAGCGATTTTTACTAACAGAGATTTTTTACCTAAAAAACTTGGTAAATGTATTTTTTTACTCAGTATTTTTATACAGATACGAACGAAAAGTTATTACTCTTCAAACCAGTTAAAAAATATGTAGGTGGCGTCATCTACAAGTAGGAGTCATGTTGACATCAAAATCCAAATTTCTCATGTCAAAAAGCTTCCAGACGCCAACTTTCATCCAAAAATTGACGTTACTTCAGAAATTATTTGGAAAAAATCGAAATAAAAATGAAACTTCAACACCCTGTATCTCCAAAACTAAGCATTTTAGGACATACATTTATACAAACTTTTTTACTTATTTTTATCTGCAGAATATGCTGCCGAAGTTTCCAGAATACAGTTCGGACCACCTTGTAGATGTATACTTATCTGGAGTATAAATTAACTAACCATATGTGTTACTATCAAACTTCAAATAAAAATTTTGACTTATTTATTTAGGTTGCCTATCAGGAAACATTTAAATCAACCCTTAAGTCCATCAAGAAGGCGTACAGGCAGTCAAAGGCACAAGGATGCGTTCCAATTGAAGGTAAACTTTCAAAAATAGTAAAACTTTTTAAAACTATATTAAAAAAAACATTAATAACCAAAAAACATTAATAACAATAATAACATTTGGAACTCGAACCGTATTCTATCACATACCGCGTAAATCTGTCATCATCGATTTTTGCGGAACACTGTTCGTGATCGCGATAAAATATAAATGGTTTTGACTCCCTTTATTTAGATGTCTTTGGTTATGCACTGCATATTTATTGTTTCTAGTATAGAATTTCCAAAGTCAATAGGAAGTACTGGGACTCTTAATTCGTTCGTCCAGACTTTGTCAACCAACAGTGCTGAAATTATGTGTTCCAATCTATTCCAGTTGGCTTCAAAAAACTATAACTGTCATTTTGGTTTTGATGTTATGAGCTTGTTGATGGATTTCGATCAGTGTCATAATTAAAAATCGACTGTCCCGCCAAATAAAATTCAAGTCTGTTTGTTACTAAAATGTTTATTACTAAAACTGATATGTTTTGTTGCATGGAAATTTCCCGTTAAAAAACGGCCATTTGTACACTATCGAGATATATATTATGTCGCCAGTTATTTCGTTACAATCTTCCCTTTAATATTTTTTTATTATTAGGAACGTACGTTATGGTGGAACACAAAGACCCCGTCCGTTCCAACTACCACAGAGCCTTCATCAAGAGCGCGGACCTCCTCAACGACAAGGTGTACGTCCAGCTGGTCGATTGGGGCGTCAGCGTGGTGGTAGGAAGTGCTCAGATCAAACCCCTGCCCCAAAACTTGACCCGGCTCGAGTGTCAGGCCGTTTTAATTAAACTCACCGATATAGCACCGTACAACAAGCAAACCACATGGAGTCCGGTGGCTAATCGCGTGTTGGAGACCTATTACCGGTCTCAGGAAGTCCTAAAGATGATCGTGCATTATGTAACGCCTGAATTCGAAGTTGCACTGTTTGACATTACGAGGAACGTCGATGTGTGCCTAAATGCCATGATGGTCGAGAATAATCTAGCGGATTCTACCGGATATGTGTAAGAAAATTCATTTTTTTAACGATTTCTTATTGTTTTTATACAGTAATCCTCAAAAAGCTTATTACAGTATAACTTCAGTAGTCCGGGCAGATATCTTTCCAGCATACATCCGGGTTACTGGAGGTATTTAAATATATTTATTAAAAAATGTGGCCGGCCGTAGCGCAAGCAGTAGTGTGTCGATCTGCGGTGCGAGAGATGTGATGGTACTGGGTTCGATCCTCAGCCAGTACGGTCGCTTTATTTATTTAAATAAAAATATTGATTTATCTAAATAGAGCGACCAGCGAGCCGCCACCTCAAGGAAGGCAATGGCAAACCACCTTGAGTATATTTGCCTTGTACAGCCTCTCAAATAATGCCGTTCGGGTTCGGTGATAAACTGTAGGTCCCGTGTACTTGTGAAACACTGATGACACACATGACAAGTACATGCGAGAGGTAGCCGACGCTATGTATACAGTATAAGAAGGCACAGTAAACAACTCAAAAATTGTCAAAAATAACGTTTATTAATCTAAATTATTGATAATTTCCCACAAAACCTGATTCCTCGCTGGTTTGCAGCACAGTATAAACAGTTAATCGGTCTTTCGATCTTTTAATATGGATCTTATTATTCATCTTGATGAACTCGTCTGCGTTGTATATTTGTTCTTTGCTTGGAAAGCAGTAACATTTTTGGCCACATATCGTCAAAAGACTATTTTGTACCCTAACTTGAGTTTATCTAGCAATGCTAAAAAATCTGTTTTCGTTTATGAAATTTCTGATGAAATAGGTGCGTGATCATTTCGTTATTGTATAAGTCAGTTGTATAATGATATAGTTTGTCCAATGATTCAAATATTATCCAAAAAATGATAGACACTAGTGTCATTGTCACGAATCGCCTCATTAGATATACAGTTCAAGTGTTGATTATTCTTCTCTTCTAAATTGTTTTTATTTGTCTTTAAAACGATACGTCATCGATAATGGTATTCCTACCTGGCCTTTGAAATTATTTTTATATAAAAGTCTGCATTTTGAAACCATAATCTGTTCCGCAATTTGGCGAGTTTTTTTTTCAGAATCTAGATACTCTAATATTTTCAGATTTTTCGGCGAGTGTAAGAATCTTATGTGCTTGTTTGATTGGAACTATTACGTTTAACACGCTCTAGAATCCAATGCAGAAATATAGACTCAGTTTATTAACAAAATGTAAACGTTTCTGCTTGTCCAGATTGGAAAATTCTGAGATTTCGCGTATGATTTTTTTTGCGCCCGGATTCCAGGGGCAAATGTTTTAAAATGCCCAAATAATTGCCGTGTTCGGATTACTGGAGTGCCCGTTATAGAGAGTGTCCGGACTATTGAAGTTGTACTGTACTTATTAAGAATTTCTTGTTAGAGTTCTTGTTAGAATCATATTATGCTACATTAGTTTTTTACCCTATCTATGATTTCTAGATCTACCCAACTAGAATGGTCTCCTTTGAAGCCAGAGAATGTCAAATATTCTGAAGAAGATGGTCTTCTGTCTTCTTTGCTGAAAAAAGTTGACTGTTCAGATAAAGAATCTGAAGGGTCTGATGATGAGGCAGATAATAGCAATGTTACTCGCAGACCACTGGATATAATCAAGGTGGAAAGTCCGGAGGCCATATTTGTCAAGTTTATTGAATTGAGAGAAAGGTAAAATTAAATTGTTTATTGATATTTTATGATAAGTATTTACTGTATATAAATGTATATGTCGCATCCATCTTTTTGCAAAAAGACTAGGCATATTATAAAACGCCGGCATTTTAAACAAAATAAGGAATTTTTAGAAGAAGCCTATCTATTTTCAGTCACTTTGCAATAAGGCTAATCAGAATTAGGCACATTAAACAATGCCAATATTTTCTGTACACTTCTGTCAACAGACTGCCTGGATTCAGTCTTTCTAATAATCGTCCTTGACCACGCGTTAAGAGAATCGTCACTATTTTGTGCCATTATATCCTAATTTTGAAAGAGTTCAAGAAATGTCTTTGGATAAAATTAGGTTAGATATACCAATCCCGCGTAAAATATTTTGTTCAATCTGATTAGTCTTCATTGGGCATTTTAAAGATTAACTGATATCAAGCGGTCTTTTTGCAGAAACGTACAGCAAATATCATCATTATTTAATTTGTCTAATTGTGATTAGGCACAAAATGCCTAATCACAATTAGCCAAACCAAACCAAAGCAATTAAAAACAGATAGGCTCTTTGTAAAATTTCCTTCTTTTGTTTAAAACGCCGGCGTTTTTTAATATGCCTAGTCTTTTTGCAAAATTCTGAAGTATTCGATAGCCCTCGACTTATATATATTGTTACGTTTTTCGTCGGTTCCGTGTGGATAGAAAGTCACAATTTATTTAAACACAATTTATTCTACACTAATTAACAAAAACAATAACGATAAAAGACTTAAAGAACTATTTACCAACGATTTATAACTATTTATCTAGAAAGAATTTATTTTGAATTTAGCGCGGCAGCTGTACTCGTCTATTTATTTCTGTCCTCTTCAGACCCCAGCCGTCGGTTTATATATCCACAGCTAAAGAGTTCTCAAATAATTCATAGATCATTAGGTGCATAGAGAAGGTTTCGAATGTTCTCGTATGTACTACGCCATTCCAGTGGAACTCGATTGTTCTCGAACGTTCGAATGAATCATTACGGTGTCTATTCTTTAAGGCGATATTTAAGGTCATATGGGGGCGGGACATATCAGTTAGTTAGATTATGCCGAGTCCACACGGGTCCGCAACAATATATTTATCTACGACTAGAGTTAATGAAGGATATGTTTTTAGGGACAGCAATATGTTCAAGGAGCTCCAAATTCATTACAGCGAGTCTCAGGAAAAAAAGGATAATTGGAACGTAGAGGATCTTTGCGTAGCAGAATTAGAAAAGGAGTTTTCTCGTGGAAAAATCGTTGAGGAAAAGGACGGAGAATTTTTGGTTAGCTTATATGATAAAGTACGTATATATTTGTTAACTTGCAGACAAAAATTGTAGTATATCAAAATATACAGGGTGCTACAACATTGGAGTAAAAAAAAGTTTCAAGAATTTTAAGAATTGCTGAGTTCTTTAAAAAACAACTTTTTTGAAAATAAATTTTAATTTTTCCTGTCTACATTTTAGAAGATTCAAAAACTAATTACACATTCTCATAGCCACTGTATCAAGACTAGCTGATAGTATTTTTAGATTTTCAAATAAGCTGGTAATTTGTGATATACATAGGCCAACTTAATTTCTTTAAATATGGACCTGTATATTTTATGTATAGGGCATCCATATAAATATTTTTGAACGAATGTTATACATTCTATTCATAATTTTCATATGGATCTTCATGTTTTTTTTCCTTTTTATAGGGCACCGAGGTGATGCTTCCAAGGGAAAAATTGTATGTATACAGTACATATTTTAATAAGTTCCCTCCAGTAGCGTTAAAAAGTCATCTGTGTAATGTCACTCCAGCTGGTGACACTGGAAAATGGAGCAATTCATCTATAGAATCCTTGCAAGAAATTCTGTCTAAACATACACGAATATATGGTACTATACTTAAAGAGCATTCCGACTGTTTTAACAAGAGTGTACCCATGGAATTATGGTAAGATTGTAACTTTTTTAAAAAGACAATAGATTATATTATTTGTATTGATGAGCTTAAAATCAAAATCAGTCAAAATATTCGTAATAGGGACCATAACGCAGGGTTCACCACTTTGCATAAAAAGATTAAGGAAGCAGCATATCAAAAAAACGGGACTCTTAAATGGCTGACTTAAATTCCGGTTTATCAGTGCCGTTCTAATTTTATTCAAAACATGTAAACATATATTGTAGGATCGACGTAGGGTAGACTCATTAATTTGTTGTTTTATTTTTCGTTTTCAATAAATGTTGGTAGTAATTAAAATAGATAAGTTAAAATAATTATTTATTAGCACAAACATCCGATACGCTACTGAAGCAGGTAACTCGAATTGACTTATCTAAATTCTTTGACATGAAAAAGTTTAAATACGATATATTTTTAATTGTATTATAGCTTCATTAAAATAAAAAATTACCCGCCTATGACACGGAGAGTTCAGGTGTACTGAGAAACGAAAAACAGCGTTGCATTTCGCGGCAGAGTCGTCAGGGAACAACCGTTACGACGGAGACAACCTATCTATCGCTCGTGTCGCACTCGTTAGAACCTAAAACAATAACAAGACATTGTCTGACCGCATTTGCCAGCTATTTATGAATGAGATGCTCAGTCTATATTTTATTTTAAGTCTATGGTAGTTACGTGAAAAACTATACAAGATGTCAAATGTCTAACCAAAAAAATCTCATAATTTCTTCTTTATCCTTATATTTTGTTTATAGGTATGGTGTTGTTGTTCGTGGAGGGCCCTTAGATGCTGACAAGTTAAAATATGTGTCAATTAACAATATCCTGGTCAAATTGGGCTTTGCATACAGAAAACAACCGAAACCAATCAACATGGCCAAAGACGGTGAAGGACTATTAAAGGTATAATAATATTCTCCTTAACGTTGACATTCCGTTATATCAATGTTTTTCAAAATTCTTAGAAAATAATTTGATACCATTTTATAGAGTTTGATGGTAACTGAGGAAAAAACCGAAAAAATCGAAAGTAATGATGATCCACCATCAATTTTTGAAGATGCACCCAACGAAGATAAGGCAACTAAAAGTTGGGTAGATTTAGTTGAAAACGAGCTGGGAACCTTGGATCGCATTCAGGAAAAACAGACAAATCAAGAAATGCAACCTGAGATTTCCCTTCAGAAAATCGAAAACATTACAGATGACTGGTTACCGCCTTACAGATTGGGCAAGAAAGAATTTGAGGTATGTTTTTACTATTTAAGTTCCTCTATTCCTATTAGCTGTTTTTCCTTCATACCTCGTGGATGCCTAACCAACAACTAACTCTACCCATATTTAGAATATAACTATATTTTTTATATCCAATTAAAATATGACTTTATTATTATTATTTTTTCATTATTGGGAATATGGTATAACTTTTCTTGTGATAATTTGGAATAATCGGATGAGGGGCATTTAAATGATGTAAACCATAGAAGATTTTTTTTATACAATAATCTAGTTCAGTTTATTGACACAATCTATAATTTTAACAATTGGGGAGCAGACTTTCTAGATGAATTTTGTCTAATTTCTCTAATTTCGACAAACAAAGAAAAACTGCTACGCTTTTTGCAGGAAATTTTCCGAAAAAAACTAGTAAACTTGAAAAATGAATAAAAAATAAAAAAATAGTACACCTACATGTGAAAAATCTAGTTTTGATGGTAACTCAAACAACTGAAAAAATCTGTCAACTGTCTTTTACGTGAAATTTCTCTTTATTTTTCTGCTGCCACTGTCCATATTTCCAACTACATGGTTCCATTCATTATTAAGTAGTATTATTCCAAAAAAATAGAGAAGTTGTAATACAAAGAAAAACTCTTCATCATTAGCAGTATGTCCACATCTTACGGATATACCGGGTGCGTCTCAAAAGTGGCTCACCCCTATAACTTTTTTATTTTTTTCAGATAAAAAAACGATATTTGGTATAGTAAACGCCACGAATGTTTGGGAGTGATTAATCGCGTGATGAAATTAGAATCGACACGCGCGCTATCATTTTTACATTAAAAACGTAACTTTTTACCGCAGACATAGGTTTTTAAAGGCCTGGTCTAATCTGCCTGCGCTCCTCCTACTTATTCTAAAATTTTAGCGTGATTGACAAAGACGATACTATATCGCGTTTCGTTGATTGGTTAGTTTTTGTGCGTCAGTCCATTGGTGTGCTTGCAGTGCGACCAATGGGGCATTCCAGTTTATATTTATAACCAAATATGTGTTTTGACAAGACTTTGACAGTTAAAACAACAAATTACAACAGATTATATATTGATTATTATATGACTTGAAACACCACGGCACTGGAATTAAGTTTTATGTGACCTTGAGCAGATTAGTTCACATGGTAGCGATCGATGAATCACTCCCAAACATTCGTGGCGTTTACTATATGTAAGTATATGACTTAAATTAGGATTGACTAACGTATTCAATTGTTTTCGGTCACTTCCTGTTTCACCGGAAATGACTACAAGTTTTGATTTTTATATGGCACCTTCCGTATTTTTTCACTATTTGGTAGAAAATGACATTCTGAATAGAATGCCATATCCTATGTCAACTTTTGACATTCTCGCTTAATAAAAATTGTATTTTAAATTTCAATCTAGAGTGCCATGGCTATGTTAAAAACAATAATTTGTAATCAAGGAGCCTTGGAAAAATAGATTTAATCGTCTAATGTTTTTAGTGTCTTGCCCTGGCGTGTTAAAAGATACCCATAGAATCGTATTTTCAATCATATCTCAATTTTTTCAAATGGAACGAGGGTGGCTCATTAGCATATTTGGAAAAAGCATTTTTTTATGAATAATTTTTGATACCACACACTTGGGTATTTCGACTCAAATTGTCGTTATGAACCACTTGTTACAATTGTTACAAATAAACCATATTCGAAAATGTCAAAAGTTGACATATGATATGTCATTCTATTCAGAGTGTCATTTTCTATCGTATCAAATAAAGTAAAAAAAAATCCTAGGGTCTCATTTAAAAATCAAAAGTTGTAGTCATTTCCAGTGAAACAGGAAGTGACCGAAAACAATTGAATACGTCAATCCATCCTAATTTATGTCATATACTAACATACCAAATCTCGTTTTTCTAACTGAAAAATAAAAGTTATAGGGGTGAGCCACTTTCGAGACGCACCCGGTATAACAAATACTTCTGTTTGTTTGTCTACCGCCCATGGACATACAGCACATGGAAAGTCTGAGCTATTTTGGCCATTTAATTCGAATGGGATAAAATGCATTAAAAACGTCGTTTCTGGCGTAATTTTGTAACTCTGTGTAGGTAGTTTGCTATGCCACCTTTTTGGTTGAAAATCTTAAAAGATGGAAAAAATGCATTTAGTAAGTCTGCTCCTCAATTTATGGTAAGAGTTTTCAAATGTTGTATTGGCGAATTATTAATATAATTGTTTTGCTTGAACTAAAATTGAAACATAGTCAGAAGTACTGTATGGTAAGTAAAACGGCGTCTGTAACGGCTGGAGAATGACAATCGATGATAATTTTGGCGAGATCGATCGCTAGACGTCGTTTTCGTCGTTAACTGACATAAAACTTGTTAAAAATTATTACTACTTGGAGGATTAAAAAAGGATAGAGCGTTTCCAGACACACAAATCTATTTCCAAAAAATTATTTTGTTTCCCAATTTTAAACTATACCATTTAAAAATCTCTTTTACTCAAACTGAAAATAAATTACAACCTTCAGCCAGAGAGTTGGCCTTAAGAGTCCATTTCACTAGTCCGAAAAAGTAGCAAAAAATAAGCGTTCGGCATTTAACCTTTTATGGAAAACTGGCTAGGTATTTTTACACAAATGAAGAAGGAAACTAAAGATAAAGGATTATACCACAGATTAGGCATACTATATGTATACAGATAAAAATCTTGTCCCTAACTCGTGGTACGAAAATTCCTTTTTATGACGATGAGCAAACGAGTAAAATTTCCTGTGCCCAAAAATAAACTAGCGTTTAAACAGCGTAACTGGGCCAGTCAGGCGCTGTGCAAAGTTTAAGGGGCCATAAGTGGGCGTGATATGTGCGCAAACTAGTAACCTAACAAGTGCGCGACTCCGAAAATTGGAACCACGAAAAACAATGCTTTTGACGATAAGTTTATAATCTGTGATTATACTATTTCGGGATTGTAGCACATTTTTTTAGCCGACCATACCAATAGGTATGGTAGGCTATTAAGATTCGCAAAAAAAAGTTTTTTTAATTTCACTCAAAATAAGTTATTTGGGTCATAAATCTGGGTCATAGTCTGTCTGTCCGTCTGCCGTCTGTAACACGATAACTCAAAAACCGCTGAACCGATTTTAACCAAATTTGACACAAAAATACTGTGGCACCCGAGAATCTGGCCATTAGTTTTTGGTGGGGGTGGGGGGTTGGTAAGGGGGTATGGGAGGGGGTTAAAAATTTAAAAAAATCATAACTCCAAAATTACTGTAGCTAACGAAACGCGGTTTTCAATTTAAGATTAGGGATAATATTTGCAACAAAATTTGTAATAACATCAAAATCAGTGAAAGTCGCAGTTTTCGAGATATTAACATATTTTAGTATGGGTGGCTATACGTGCCTCCCGGCGTCAATTTTTTTATTTTCAAACCAAAGCAAACTTCTTCGCGTTCGGCATTTACCGTTTTTTGTAAAAATGGCTAGGTATTTTTACACAAATGAAGAAGGAATTAAAGAGAAAGGATTATAATATCCGTAGCACATTTTTAGACAACTTTTTAAGATTCTGATGGTCAAACATCAACAAGATATTCCTAATGCTTGGACTAAATTTTCTCGAAAATAAAGAAATAATTTAAAATTCTGTTACAATACCGACAAAGATATATAAGTTATATGGTGTTGTAACAAATTGCTCGCTATTTTATGGCAAACGCTGAAGCTCTGCAAACCTTAATCAAGCCTTTTAATCAAAGCACGTGTGTTTGGAATTTTAGGTGTCGCTTAACACGACAGGATCGGGCTAAGCCTTAGGTAGATTTCTGGAATATAATACATTTTTCCTTCGGCTGCACACCCGCTTTACCCGATCCCTGAGAGCGACCCGAACAGCACAGCGGCAGCGTAATAGACTCTTAAGGCCAATTGGCACTAAGCGCCATTAAAAGTAATGAAGCGTAATGACGTCTAGGGCTTGATCTCGCCAAAATTAACATCGATTGTCGTTCCCCAGCCGTATTTGACGCCATTTTTTCCCCCTTTTTTTTCGATCGTAGGATATTTGGCTTACCGTAAAATATAACCATGAACTTTATTGTCTTCTCCAGAATGTAGAGTTGGGTAAGAAGTAATGATGTTGACATTGACAACATTCTAAAATAATGTTCTAAAAAGTTAACTTTATATTTTTTGCTTTTTTATTTTTGGTTTAATGTTATGGGTATAGCCATATATTTGGTATAACATCCATTTAACGTGAATAAATAACCGGCCATTACAACGACATTATTTCGCGCGGTTTATCGTGTTATCTACAAAAACAAACATTGTGTTCTTCTATGGTGTGCCGTACATCAGTACACGCTATTCTACATCACGGTTTTTTTTTGGTGCTAGTGCGTAGTTTTTGCGGTTGGTGCTTTAGATTTCCGACATCACGTCATAAGTTCAAAGAAGATCTCGTCCAGCTTTGTAGAAGATAAAATCAAAGGAATATATTAATAGAAACTTTAAAAAATTGGTTTAAAAAATCAATAGAAGTGGCACTTCTGATAATCAGTATGTACCTAGTCCCTTAATGAAAATTGCACAGAAAACATCGAAATATCCGTCGTTGACGTAGAACAACCACCTTGGGAAAGAGAAGGAAAAAGGTTGTTGAAATGGTTGGTATATATAATAATATTTTATAATATTATATACCAGGTTTTTGTTTTTTAATATATTTATATACAGTTTTTTTATTTTCTTATTTATAATTAGTTATCCAGTCAAACCTTATAAATATTTTAATTTGTGTGAATATTCAAATTTTAAATGATTTGTTTAGGTTTAGGCTCTTCCCTTATCAGGGCCTAGGTCTCAGATGCGTAATAGCGTAGGAGGAATCAGTGTGTTTAATACTTTCAATTTTCTGTGCTGGGATACTGCAGTCTTGCCATGTTTCATTAAAATAAGTAAAATATTTATCGCTATTTGTTTTATCTTATAAGTATAGTCTGTCCAACGACAAGATCCTTGACAGTGATAGATGTGTCTGTCATTTTAATTTCAAAGAAGTTTATTTTATTTTACAAAAAAATAAGTTGGTAAAACTGGAACGCATAGCAGGAAATTATATTTAAAATTTGACTGACAAGTGATTACTTCAAAATATTGGGGAAAAATTGTATAAAACTAAAAAAATTTAATCGAGTTATTTTATTTAACAAAAAACGGTATGTGTTAATACAAAACAAACAAGAACAAGACATCACATACCAAAAAAATATAAAAAGGAACTATTTCTTACTTTCAAGCTTCATGAACCTTCCTGCATTTATGATTATATTTATCAATATAACTTATGTACAAATTCAAATTTGTCATATTCCACAGGAATAAATAAAACAACATAAATAAAACAAACTATTTTATTAATAATAACACTTACCAAATTTTATACCTTAAAGGTTGGTTAATTAACTTTAATCTTAATTTTTTTAAACCAGTACCTTTTGACATTATTTTTCTGCAGTAAGTACTAAAATCCATTATTTACCTATCGTGTGATGTCGATATTTTACAGCTACTCCAGTTTTTAGTATGTGTTTAGTATGGTCCTTCTACCATATACGAGATGCACTTATCTATGACGAGATGGTGTACGAACTTTATTGATGGTAACTTTATTGGTGTATAAGACTTTCTGCCTGGGCAGCGAGTATTAACTATAAACTGTGCTCTGGGTCTACAGTTAATTTTCACTCGATTTTTCCCCCATTTAACTTCAAAAGACCCAAAACACACTTAATAACACGAATCAAAATGCATCATCTTCCATAACGCAGGGTATTTGACAAAAGTTGACACAAACTTATAAGCTATAATTTGGCAAGACTTTGACAAGCGTCAAAAATCTAAAGGCGAGTTCATACGCATCGGCGTCCGTTTGTCGTTCATCGTTCCGTCAAACCAATAAAATTGAAATACGATATGTCATTTTTGAAATAAACCAATAAAACTTGTTAAAAACAACAAGAGACGACGTATGACGGATTTATATTTAAACCCCATCCATAGTTAACTTAAAAATTATTAGAAACTTTTTTTAGTAAAGTAAATAGATTGGTATGGGACGTCATCTGCTTTTTTCTGTCATCGTCTGTTGAAATCTTACCTGAGAAAAAAAAACAGAGTATAAGTACTCTGACGTATATTTTTTAGGCTAAGTTTCCACCTTTTCTTGTCATTTGACATTGTTCGAAGCATTCCCACCAACATACGGTAATCGCAAAACAATTTCTGATGCACGTGATGAACTTTGAGTGACAAGCGATGGCGACAGCGCTGCCAGATTGTGATAGATTTATTGGGATGAATCTTAATGTAAACTTGGGAAACTTTAATTATTAAATTAATAATAATATCTTTAAAAAATGATATAATAAATATATTATTATTTTAGTAATTAATTTATTTGTGTTATAGTTTATTTTACTTATTACATATTGGTAAAAACTAGTCCATTATGAAGATTATTCTAAGCCTTATTATGGGTTATTTATTTATTTTTTTGTTGATGTACAACTTATATAATTACCAGAAGTGGTAATAACAAGTAAGAAGGTGCCATTAATGCATAAACTGATAATTACAGAATCTACTAAAAACTAACTTAAAAATAACTTTAAAAGTGGCATAATGTGCTTATCAATCAAACTTACTTCTCTGACTGCAATCAAGGGTAATAAAGCACCTTTATTGTCACGTTCTCTATCAAAATAGTTTATCAGGGAAGCTACAAGTTCTTTGCTTCGACTGTTTAAATGCTTCGGCATATTTTCAACTCACAATTTCAAGAAATGCGATAAAAAAACTCCAGAATTTAGTTTTTAAAAGAACTGTTTGTGCTTAAAAGTACAATTTAAAAAAAATACTATGAAAATAAGCAAAAAACGAGAACTACTCACAAAGATAAACACGATATTATACAAATGACACATTATGATAATTGTCAAATAATAAACGACAACGTTGTGACCAACATAGCCATAGTAAAATTTGGTTCAAACTAATTTTTGCAGCTTTAATCTAAATAAAATATCTGTTATATAAAGTAAAATGATGAGCTGCTCGGTATCTTAAACTAAACCACAAATTTAAACATTTTTGCCAAAATTTCATTTAGTCAGGTTTATAGGCTTTAGTGTCGATTACCTTATTATGATCTTGCCGCTCCCTTTAAAAAATTATGAAGCACACATATTATAGCCATTATAAAAGACCAAACTTTCAATGGCTACATTTGTAGGTGTATGCAAAATTCGAAATTCAGTTGAAATTAAACACAATATTAATTAAATAAAATAACTTCTTCAGCAACATTTCTTCCCCTTGATAATCTGTAATTCTATATGCCCCTTTCATGGCCCAGATCCTTTTGTGGAAATAGTTTTAAAATATCATGTCATGTAAAGCAGAAAATATTTTATCTCGCGTAAACAAGGAAGTCCAAATCTGGAGTAATTTCTGCTTTTGTTAACTTATATAAAACTAATCCAACATCAAGTTGGTGCACTAAACCGCTACAAATGAGTCTTTTTAAACGTGGAATATTACCATTGATATTTGTTTTCCAGGATTTCAAAACACCTGCCCAAAGGAGCGAAAAAAATCCGCTAAAGACGAAAATAACACCTCATGAGGCGCAGGCGCAAATATTTAAAAAGAGTTGCATGGGTGCATTAAAAAGCCGCGGTGAAGAATCGGAAAGTACAGCTTTTGGAGAATTAGTTGCCACAAAACATGCAAAATTAAATGAAAACCAGAAGATGCGCGCTGAGAGCCTAATTACGAAAATATTACATAGATGGTTCTAAATAAATATAACTGAAGAAACTAGCACTCTATGTTCAGCCGCAATTTGGGAAGACTTATTCATTACGTAGTTTTTCATCATCACGGACAACTTATGGAAATTTTGACCATCAGCAGCAAGTTCAACTCTATCTTTAGTTAGTTTGTCATCTTCTTTACCTACACAATCACATGCAGGTGGGAAGGATCCGGAGCGCCCACATGATGCAAAATAGTTATTGACAAAGTTTTGTAATATGTAAATTTAACTTTTTATAATGTAAATATAAAATCTGTATACATAATATATTAATCTTGCCTTTAAGTGATTCTTATGTGTTATTTCATACAGAGCCTTGCACGTTTCCTGAGCAGATATTCCTGCAGTAAATTTAAGATTTTCACAACTGCGAAAGATAAGTCATTTGGATTATTGTCTCTCAATTCTCGCAAAAGCGAAATGTGAATATTTTTCTCTACCCCTTGGCCATAACCACACATCCAACAATACATATTATTTCTCTTTATTCATTCCACTTTACAAATCCTCAGAACTTAATCAAAAATAGCAAATGACTCAGACTCGAAGGCGCAACGTCATTTTTCAAATTTTACGTTGAAAAATCACGCACGAAAAGGAACTATTTCTTACTTTCAAGCTTCAAGAAATTTCGCGCATTTTATTTTACAATTTTGTGTACAAATACAAATTTGTATATTCCACAGGAATAAATAAAACAAACTATTTTATTAATAATAACACTTACCAAATTTTATATCTTAAAGGTTGATTAACTTTAATCTTAATTTTTTTAAACCAGTACCTTTTCCATTATTTACCTATCGTGTGATGTCGATATTTTACAGCTACTTCAGTTTTTAGGATATGTTTAGAAGGATCCCTGTACCATATATGCAAGATGCACTTATCTACGACGAGATGGTATACAAACTTTATTGACGGTAACTTTATTGGTGTATAAGACTTTCTGCCTGGGCAGCGAGTATTAACTATAAACCCTGGGTTTACAGTTAATTTTCCCTCGATTTTTTCTCCACTTGACTTCAAAAGATACAAAACATACGTAATAATCATCTTCCAAAACGCAGGGTATTTGACATAAGTTGTCACAAAATTATAACCTATAATTTGGCAAGACTTTGACAAGCCTCAAAAATCTAAATGCGAGTTCATACGCATCGGCGTCCGTTTGTCGTTCATTGTTTCAATGTTGTCATTTTTGAAATAAACCAATAAGAAACTGGTTAAAAACAACAAGAGGCGACGCATGACAGATTTATATTTAAACCCATCCATAGTTAACTTAAAAAATATAAGAAACTTTTTTAGTAAAATAAATAGATTAGTATGGGACGTCATCTGCTTTTCTTCTGTCATCGTCTGTCGAAATCTTACCTGAGAAAAAAAAAACAGAGTCTAACCGCCGATATGACTTCTATGTGTGGCCGGCTAATCGATAATGTCAACAACGCTTCCTTTCTCCTGTGATCATAGCATCACCGTGTATCTACCAAGTAGCTCTACTATATTATCGTTCATAAATATGTTTAAACTTTTTTTTAGGCGAGGGTAACTTGTGTCGAGACCGGCGGCCATATGTATCTGCGCGAAGATAGGCTAGAAAAAGTGTACCAGAAACTAGAAGAGAACATGAAGCTTTACTTCGAGAGAAACCCGCCTACACTCAACAACGATAAGTGGCAACCCGGCCAATTGTGCACTATCAAATACACAGACGACAATTGGTACTACAAATTTAGATTTCAGTGAAATAAGTAAACCTAAAGTAGTTATAAAATTATTTTGGATGATACAAGCGTAACATTTGTTTTCATCTTGCAGTGTTGCCACACTTTACGGGACCTTTTTAAGTTTAGTCAGGATACCATAAATTTTAACATAAAAATTCACTAATATAGTGTACACTCTGTTCACTTATTTCACCGATATCACTTTTTAATCTATTGAAAAAGAGCGTGACTTTATTATCATTATTTCTTTGTACTTTTCAGGTATAGAGGTAAAGTTTTACGAGTGAAGAGTCCCAAAGAAATCACAGTTTTTATGATTGATTTCGGTAGCGACCACGATTTGCCGCCGGAAGTTCTTTTTAGGGAACTCTTGTACACTGAGTACAGGTGTTTTGCTGTCAAAGTTAAATTAGACAAGGTAATTTTGAATTCCACAATTGCTTCAAAATATATAGACACATAAAAAAGACTCATCTCGTTGATGGAAGAAACAAGATGTGCAATATAGGCGATTTCGTCGCACAAAATATGTCTGAGATGTAGCAGGCGTTCCCGTACGAGGTTTAGTTTAGCGCAGAGCTAAACTAAACCCCTGCTTAACTAAACCTCTGCTGCGCACTGATAATCGTTTACAACACAGTGGATAAAGAATACTATCATGCAGTTCTGCTTTCAGTCGACAGAGTGGGTAGTTGCCGGTGACAGTGTTGCCAGAACTACGGATTAATCCGTAAATTTACGTATTTTGGGTACAGTACATTAATAATACGGATTTTCTATCATTAAACAATATAAAATTATATATGATTAAAAAAAGAACGGCGTCAGAGTTGGCTTGGAAATGAACAATGATGTTATTTCATATGTATAATATTATGGTAAATGTCAATAGTCGTCATTTCCAAGCCAATAAACGACTTTTTTCGATCAAAAATTCGAAATATTAAGTACCTATAAAAGAATTTTTATTTTTGTTGTTTATTAAAGATATTTTTTCGTCAAACCTATTACAGATATTACACATTTTAATGTGGCAACACTGTCGCTTTCAGTTCCATCCCATCTTCGATATGCCTTCGCTGGCCGAATTAGAGAAAATATGTGTTTTATGCGTTGGCCGCAGAACGAGTGGAGGCTTCACCGTACAACTCTTGAACCCATCCCAGATTCCATCTGTCGCATGTCGGTTGGAAGTGCTCCTCTTAGACCACACGACCTACCGCTTTTTAAATATATAACTTCGTTATACATAGTTGTTAAATGTCAAATTTATTTTCTATTTTTCTTTTCATTTCTTCATATTTTCTCACCACTTAAACCTTCCTTGGACTTCTACAAATATTTCAAAGGTTATAAATTGTATAGGCTTTGTGCATTTCAGTTGATTTCAACAAATTCCGACCGCAGCGCTTCAACGACAGAAATCAGAAATTATTAGTATGTATTTCACGCTGCCGTATGTTGATCGCGTTAAAAAAATATTGAAATCGTGGCTTGTCATATTATTTATAAGTATTTTAGTTTTTTGTTAGTGCAGATATTGACACTACAAAACACTCAGGTACGAGGTTTGTGTGATCGCTGTTTCGGGCAATAAAAAAATAAGTGAAAAAGAATTCGAACTAGGCGTCGCGCGTCGTGTTGTATTGTGACAATTTCAAATGTTAATAAAAGTGCCAAAAAAATGTTGACGCGTAAAGGAGAGCGTAATTAGGGCGTTGTTGGGTGCAATAACATTCAATAACTGAACTTTCCCGGATATTAACTCTCCCGAAACAACATTTTACAGCTTCATAGTTTCTCACACTGATTTGATCAAAAGCTAAAATGGATTCAAGCAGTTCGACGAAACAAGTGATTAAACAAAGTGATCGTTACATAATCAAAAACTAAATAGACATATACTATGAGGGGATAAAATATAATTTGCAATATTAATGGTATAATTTTTTTAATCGACTAGTGATTAAATTTTATGAATGATTAAATGTTCTAAAATTATAATTATGTACCTTTAAAAAAATTCGTAGTAGCCGAAATAGCCCCAATTATGACCCCACTAACAAAACCGATGTTTAAAAATATGCTTGCTACTCGCTACCGTAGTTGAACTAATATAAAAAGTTTTTTTAGCTGGAATAACAAACTATAATACAAGTTAGACCTTCTGAAGATATCAAAATATTTTTATTTTTAGAATTTTCACAAATTATACTTATAACTATATAATAGATTTTTCGTATACTCGCTATTTGAACCCGTGTATTTGTATATACCTACTAGTTGTTTACGATATTCTCCGATGGAAGCAGCACCGATGGAGAATGTACCAAGCCTATAGATAATAAATTCTGAGTATATTTTTTATGTGTATCGAAATTTCTTGAATACACAGTATATTGTTTTACAGCGATGCAATAATAGTGATAAATTGCAGATATATTCCAAACAACCGACGTGGCTTTCGTCCGATTATGACCATTTCCATGAGCTGGTCACAGACTGGTGTAGAATTGTAGTTCAAGGTCCCCTAGATGTAGAACTTCCACTAGTTGACGTATACAATTCGAACGATGTCTACGTTAATCAAAAATTGGTGGAGATATGCCCTAATTTGTCTAGGTAGGTTAGGTAGTTTTGTATATAGCCATTTTCGATTTTTTTTTTCAAAATGGCGAACATGACGTCATTTGAACTACTTTTCTTCATAATCCATTCCATAATGATCATCAATCGTTTCCTATAAGCGAAAAATAAATCGTCATCTTTTATACAATTAAAAATTTTTTCTCATATTAACCCCATTACAAGTAATAAAATCATACAGGGCGATTCAGCGTTCCCTAAAAGCTCTGTTTCTGGTTTGAGATTTTTACACCACACTTTTTCATAAAATATGGGGGCAGTGGTATCTAGCGCACATTTTCAAGTGAAAGTTGTATATTTTAAAATGGGGTGCTATATATTTTTTAACTCAATGGTTTCCTAATGAGATCCTATCCCATTCCAAACTATATTGGTAATTTTCTATATACTGAGTAGTTTTTGAAGTATGGTCAATTTAAACTGAATTTGTCGCCTATAAAAACGATATCTCTCAAAATTTTAAAAGACGAAAATTTGTAATGTCTTTAACCGAAAGTACCATGTAATGTCTTTACCTTAATTCAACTACAAAAATTTAGAATTTTTGATATACACTATATCCCCAGATTATCTTTACAAGAGGAGCAAAACTTTTTTATTATTGACATTTTGAGAAGAATGTACTCTTCATAATAATTTTTGCTTGTTCTAAAATGATTAATCCCGTTAATACTTGATCACACTTGCTATCGATTATGAACGAATATGCTATAATATGGTATTTTTGGAATGGGAATTTAATAGCAAATCCACTGAGCTAAAAATATACCGGGTGCGTCTCAAAAGTGACTCAACCCTATAACTTCAGATAAAAAAAAACGATATTTGATATGTTAGTATATGACATAAGTTAGTATTGTTTGACATATTCAATTCTTTTCGGTCACTTCCTGTTTCACCGGATATGACTACAACTTTTAATTTTCGCCCCTCGGTGTATTTTTACTTTATTTGATAGAAAATGACATTCTGGATAGAATGACATATCATATGTCAACTTTTGACATTTTCGCTTAAAACAAAATTGTATATTAAATTTCAATCGGTAGCGACATGGCTGTGTTAAAAACACTAATTTTTAATCAAGGAGCCTTGGAAAAATAGATTTGATCGTATAATGTTTTTCGTGTCTTGTCCTGGCCAGTTAAAAGATGCCCAAATCGTATTTTTAATCATATCTTATTTTTTTTCAAAGGGAACGAGGATAGCTCATTAGCATATTTGGAAAATGCATTTTTTTTTAATAATTTGGTACCACACACTTGGTATTTCGAGTGAAATTATCGTTATGAATCGCATGTTGCAATTTCAAATAAACCATATTTGAAAATGTCAAAAGTTGACATATGATATGTCATTCTATCTAGAGTGTCATTTTCTATTGAATAAAGTAACAAAATACCTAGGGTGTCATTTAAAAATCTAAAGTTGTAGTAATTTCCGGTGAAACAGGAAGTGACCGAAAACAAATACGCCAAACAATCCTAATTTATGTCATATACTAACATACCAAATCTTAATTTTTTATCTGAAAAAATTAAAAAGTTATAGGGGTGAGCCACTTTTGAGACGCACCTGGTATAGCATTCCAGTTAAAAATAAACAATGTTGGTTTGTAAATATTTTCAATCGTCCTATATATTGACAAAACTATTTCAAAAATGCGTGCTGCTATTGCCTGAACATTATTCAAAAAAATGGAGTTGTGAAGAAACTTAAATAGCCCTGAATAGTATGTGTATCGTAATCTAGAGTTATATTTGAATATTTTTGTATAGTTTGAATAAAATATTTGATTTTTTCTTCAAAGGTGTTCAAATTTTCCCACCGAATTGTCGTCAACAGAGGAAGAAAGTATTGTGATTGAAAGTATCGAGGTCAATGAGGATCCTGTAGTGGATGAGGTAATTCAAGTAAGAGAAGGAGGTCTGCCGCAAACCTTTGGGAATAATGTCACTAAAATACATGCTTTATAAACTAAAATATTTGTCTTTTGTAAAAAGCTTGAATTCAAAGAGACATTTTCTCCAGTTTCTTACTTTTGCGTAAATTTGGTTAACCAACCAAATATAAAGAATATAAAGACTGTCCAACCATCGTTCACCGTCACATCATCATTATTTGTCGTTATTAAATGTTAAGTACGTTCCTATATTATTGATTGACATTTTTTTGAACTCTTCCTCATTTACGATCCCTTTAATTCCGTTCCTTCGGACTGTTGAAATTCCTATTTTTAAAGCATGAGTAACTCGCTCAACAATAAAAAAATGTTTGAATTTTGTTTTACAGCAACAAATAAATGACAATGACAATAATTACTTAAAAGAATATGCAGTAATTTACGAAATGCCATAATGACGTCACCAATCGCTTTCATCTGGTTGGCAAGTGATTGAAAAAGTTCAACAATATTATGACGTAACGATGAACGATGGTTAAACATTCTATACTTTCCCCAAAAGTTTGCGAAAAATAAGCCCTTTACAAAAATGTGGCGGGTTCATTTTAAATGTTTATAATGAAGGAATATTATTATAGGATATGATCCAGAGGGTTCTTGCAGAATTTGATGTTATCGATTACATAGATGACTATGAAAATTTGACATATAAGATTCAACCTATTCCCAAAGAACTGCTGGAAGGTAAAAAGGTAAGGTGTTAATAGTATATTGATTTATTAGGAGTAAAAATGATACTTTTTGTGGTGAGGCTGTACGTTTGACAACATTGTCTGTAACCTAATTACTTAATTATTAGAAGCAGTATTCTGTACACGGCATCGACAATCGTCAGTATCGGTAAGTTACCAACAACTATCGGTACGTACGACCAATAAGCGTTGTATAGGGTCAAGAACGGTAAACTAATAGGATTGCTCATCCTCATAAGACGACATGACGGCATTGTAGTCCTTGTCATGATAGTGTGTATTATCGGTTGCCTATGATAAACTAATAAAAATAACAGGTAAGAAATTTTGAGTTAATTATTTTGTCGATTTTAAAAGAAAAAAAGTTGTTTTTAAAGTTTTTAGAGCAATAGAGTTTATAAATACGTTCATTTTGTAGTGTGGATTGTGACTAACTGCTTAAGATATTGTCTATTAATTATTTTAAAGCAAAATATGGAAATACTCTAAAAAGAATGGCTGCAAAAGGTGATGCTTGGAACAGTTGTTGCAAAATGCATTATGCGAATATTTAATACGATTTATACAGTTAATTTTCTATACTGCACACATACTAAGGGTCGGCATTTCTTTTCTTGGGTGCCGGTTTTCATGTGTTCGAAGAGTACGGACAACACGCTTAGTAAAATAAGATTAAGTAGTTATGTAATAAATACTTCGTATTTTTGCTCACTCCGACTTACTAGATTGCCATAACGACTCACTCCTATACATGTAAACGCCGACCTAAAGGTTCGCTTGCCAGCGGGGTATAAGGTGTTTAAATAAATAAACTAAATAATGAATGTTTTACATACGGCAACCAATAATCACGATCCTGGCTTAAAGAGCTTGACGTAAAAAGCTGTTTTTGGAAAACGGATTGACTTTAGGGTGTAAAGCAGTGATCCCCAAAGTGGTCCAGGTGGACCCCCAGGGGTCCACGGGAGACTTGCTGGGGGTCTACGTAGGCGTGAACAAAAAATGGGGGTCCATAAGATGTTAATGGGGGTCCACGAAAATTTATCTGCTTTTGATAGTAAAGAGCAAAAATGTAAGCATAGTTTTTATAAGGGCCTACCTACATTGTTTTAAGTACCTATCTAAGCAGATAATATTTTAATAAGGCAAGCGACTGTTACTTGTCCAAACTTGCGTATTCGATATTACGTACAATTTCGTGTACAGACTTGCAAAGCGCTATCCGCCCGACAATGCTTAATGCTTGTTCAGACATGAACTTGATCACCACTATAAATACTTGATGCCAAAGGCAAACGCATTCATTTGTTTCCGGAATTTCGAAAAAAAGGCGGAATTTGGAAAAAAAGTTGTGAGAAAATTTATATCTGTGTTTGCTAGTGCCGGAGAAAAGTAAGTAACCTACCTTTTTTTTGTTATAGTACTTAGGTATTTTGTTTACGTGTACTAGTCGGTTGATCACAACGGCCTGTATAGATAGGTAACTTAGTAACTTACAGATATTTTAATTGTCCTCTTTCGATTTGAAGACAAACACAGCACGTTTTATTCAATTGTTTTTCACGAGAGAAACACTGCCTCTCTAAAAGGCCGAATAAGCAATATTGCAGAGCAATTAATTTTGTAATTTTTCTTGCAAATAACTACTAATTTTATAAAACAGTAATTTCATAATCATTTTAAATTGGTTTTGAAGTAACTATTTTATCAAAACTATTCCTTTTCGGAAAGAGCGAGCGGTGCGCGGGCGACGGGAAAAGGGCGGGGCTTGGACTTCGATGCCAGTTTGTCACGTTTTAACAATGAAGCCGCAGACAAAAATACGCAAATACACGGAGCGCGTGAACTCATTGATTTAATAAAATGTTAGTTATCGTTTTTATGGACAATTTTGGGATTTCGACTTTTATTTTTTCCTACACAAATATGATCAGTATTCGATACTGAGTACACCAATTTTTATTTATACTATTAAAAATTAGTGGTAAATTATGTACTTTAAAATTGATACCGTTTTGTGAAAACGTCTGTATTTGTCTCAGCGGTTTATTAGTTGGTCCCTTTACAAGCCGTAATTCTATTTCCGCGTGCTGACAAAGGCTGCGGTGTGATACCTATATTCAGAAAAAAACTTGGTTACTAAAACATTTTTTTTTACAGGTAAGGTAACTGACACGAAACATGGCTACAGCAAAGAAAAAATGTCGACAATATAGTATCGATTATTTGAAATATGGTTTTGTTCCATCAGAGGCAGACAAACAATTGCCCATGTGCCTATTATGCAACAAAGTTTTGAGCAATGACTCTATGAAACCATCAAAGCTCGAAGATCATCTAAAAAGGTGTCATACTGATAAAATAGGTAAAGATTTAAAATATTTTCAAACATTGAAAGAAAAATATGGAAAGAGACCCACCATGCACAGTATGTTCGCTTCAACATCTCAAAGTAACGATGATGGCTTGCGGGCATCTTACAATATCTCATTACTTATAGCAAAATCTGGAAAACCGCACACTATCGGAGAACAATTAATTTTACCCGCTGTTGAAGAGGTTTTAAAAACTGTTTTGCACAAATCTCCATTTGACGTACTAAAAAGAATTCCATTAAGTAACAATACTGTACAAAGACGCATTGATGAAATGAGCTCTGATATCGAAAGCTTTTTGTGCAATCATCTGCAAAAAACTCATTTTTCTATACAACTGGACGAGTCAACGTTACCCAGTAATGAAGCATTACTATTGGCATATGTCCGATTTATTGTTGAGGAAGAAATTCACGAAGAATTGCTATTTGCCAGAACTTTGGAGACTGACACTAAAGGCGAATCAATATTTAATGTCCTGAGTAATTTTTTTACGGAAAAATCGATCCCATTTACAAACATTATTTCAGTGGCAACAGACGGAGCTCCTGCAATGGTCGGGCGATATCGTGGGTTTATAAGTCATCTCAAAAGAATTATACCAGGACTTACAGCTATTCATTGCGTAATCCACCGACAACATCTTGTGGCAAAACATTTAAGTGACAGGTTGAACCAATCTCTTCATTTTGTAATAAAAGCTGTCAACAAAATCAGAAGCAATGCATTGAATACGCGTTTATTTGCTCAATTGTGCGACGAAAATGATGAAGACTTCCAACGACTGCTCTTACATACTGAAGTACGCTGGTTGTCGAAAGGTGCATGCTTAACGAGATTTTACTCTGTTTTCGATTCCATATTAGAGTTCTTAGAAAGTAGAGATCCAGATTTAAAAGAAAACTTGATCAAATTCAAAGCAGACATTGCGTATTTGACAGATTTGTTTAAAAAATTTAATGATATTAACTTGCAGTTACAAGGGGACAGCCTGAATTTAATAAAAACAAAGGGGATAATTTCGGCTTTTCTTGGGAAATTGAAATTTATGAAGCAAAACATTAGTCGGCGCGAATTCTCTCAATTTCCAAACTTGTCGCAGGTAGAATGTATTGATGAGGATATCCATACCTACAGTCAACATTTAAGTGCTCTGCATGATGACTTCAAAACCAGGTTTGAAGATATACTGACGATGGATATACCACCATGGATCATAAATCCATTTGATGAAACGGAAGTGGCCAATGTTGTATTACAAGAGGAGCTGCTCGAGCTAAGCACTAATGAGGAGCTGAAGGTGAAATTTAGAAAAGGCTACCCAACATTTTGGCTGCAAGCAGAAATACCCGAAAAATATCCTGGACTGTGGGAAATCGCAAGGAAATTTTTAATAGCTTTTCCCTCGTCATACCTTGTCGAAAGGAGTTTTAGTGCGTTACAAACCTCTTAACAAAAAAAGGAGCAAATTAAACATCACAGAGCGGGGGATTTGCGGTTATTGCTCACAAAAAAATAAAGCCAAACATTGATCGTTTGCTGACACTCCATCAGATACATCCTTCCCATTAATTAAAATTATGACCTGAACCTATATTACCTTAATATTTTTCTTGTAATTCTATTCTTTTAATAAATAAAGTGATATAAAATGTACCATTTTTCGTTTTTATTTTACATATCGGAATATAGGGACAGAACTCAGAAGTGACACAATTTTTATTTTTTGGCGACTTTAAGAATGTGGTAGAAATGTAGCAGCAGGGGGTCCACCGAAACCAGTAAAATTTTGAAAGTGGCCCACGAGAAAAATAAGTTTGGGAACTACTGGTGTAAAGGTTCGATAAGAAGGGATTTTTCAAAACTCGAATTCTAAGGGGGTGAAACCACCCCTCAAATATTAGAATATTTTCTATTTAAAAACCGGTGAGTTTTTCGGAAAAACTCTTAAACACGTATATTTTATTTTGTTATTTTACTTATTTTAAGATTTTTTAAAAATTTATACAGTGTGTTTGACCATATGACCATTAAGTAATCACGATTCTGCTTAAACTGCTTGACGTTTAAAGCTGATTTTTGGCAAACGGATTGACTGTGGGGTGTAGAGGTTCGATAAGGAGGGGTTTCTCGAATCTTAAATTCCAAGAGGGTGAATTCCACTCAAATATTATAATATTTGTTATTTAAAAAACGGTTAGTCTTTCGGGAAAACTATATTTTGTTTTTTTACATATTTTGATTTTTTTGTTTAAATCATACAGGGTGTTCCAAAAAGTTGGGTAATTGATTAACCACGATTCTGCTTGACGTAAAAAGCTTATTTTTGGCAAACGGATTTTTCGAAAGTCAAATTCCAACGAGATTAAACTACTCCTCAAATATTACCAAGTTATATAATAATATCGCCATATTGTTTGTTCTCATGATGACATAAATGTGAGAAAATTTTATCCAGTTTGTATGTTATTGGAAATTTTTGCTTTGCTTTATCATCATTACAAATGATTAATTCGACGCGAACAAAGTTGCGGGTACACGCTAGCTGACCTATACCAGAATAGCGCCCCAGACAGACAACTTTTCTAGTTGACATTTGATGTTAATTACTCTAATTTTTCTGTTTCAGTTGATCATGGAGATCGGAGGAATTTTAAATTATGATAAGGTAGCCTTGAAGCTCCCTGGGGAAGATGACAGCGCCGAAATGTACGACTTAGCAATAGATTTACAAGAATCCGTTTCCAAGATGCCTCCTTTAAAAGGTATTAACTAAGTTTATTATTCAAAAGTGGCTCACCCATATAACTTTTATGTTCTTTCAGATAAAAAAAATGGTCAGAAAAAAAAACATTTTTGGTCGTTTCGTGTTTTACCGGAAATGACTACAATTTTTTATTTTTAAATAGTACCCTCGATATTTTTTTACTTTATTTCATAGAAAAAGCTTTTGACATTTTCCCTTAAAAATATAGTTTTTTAGTACGGTACCAAACTATCCATAAAAATGGGTTTTCGAAATATGCTAATAACCTATTAATCGGCCAGGATGTTCAGAAAAACATTAGACGATCAAATCTCTTTTTCTATGGCTGCTTGATTAAAAATTAGTGATCTTATCACAGCCATGGCACTCTAGATTTAAATTTAAAATACTTGCTTAACCTAAGATGTCAAAAGTTGACATATTATGATACATCATTCTATTCAGAAAGTAATTTTCTGTCAAATAAAGTAAAAATATACTGAGGGTGCCATTTAAAAATCAAAAGTTGTAGTAATTTCCCGAGAAACAGGAGGTGACTTGAACTAATTAAATATGTCAATCATTCCTGATATATGTCATATAAATATATACCAAATCTCGTTTTTTATCTGAAGAAATAAAAATGTTATAGGGGTGAGCAACTTTTGAAAAACAGCCGGTATATAATATGGTAATCACAAACAAAGGATTACAGTAGACATGTTATAAAAAGACAGAAAGGCAATAAAACTTGCAACAAAAGTAGCTTCAAATTTGAATAACCTTGTTTTGATCTAGACAAATCATAGCACTAAATTTGCAGGTACCTGCTTTGATAAAAGGTTTTACCGTGAGCTACCTTCCTTATTGTTCCTGTAAAAGCAAAAAAAGGATAATTAAAATTTACAGATACCTTTATTGCATTTTTATCTCCCCTGTGGTCATATAATATATAAGATACACATTATATAATTTTTTTTTGGTAGAATTTAAGGTAGGAACACCCTGCTTAGCACAGTTCTCCGAGGACAAAGTCTGGTATCGCGCTGTCATCTCGAACGCAGATTTGCTAGATTCTGGCTTTGTCAGCGTGTTTTATGTCGATTATGGAAATTCCGAGTCCACGTCGATAAAGAATTTGCGAAAAATCAAACGGGACTTATTGAACCTGCCTCAGCAATGTTGGGAAGCTTTCTTAAACATCAAGCTGGTCGATGAAAGTCAGGTTATGTCAGTAGAACAGGTAAATATCTTCTATACGTTTTCTTAAATACTGTCTGATCCAATAAAAATTATGCGATAGCAGGCGGACAAATATTTAGTATCAACTTATAGGAATTTTAAAGTATTCAACTTAATTTGTTGAGAATACCAAGTCCAAAACACATGCTAAATTGTAATTGAATAATATTTATAGATTCTAACAAACGATGTCCAAATAATAACAGAAATAACTTTTTTATCTTTAACATGATATTTGGCAACATTAAATCAGTTTTGTCTATAAAAGTAATTTTTGTAACATCGTCTGTTTTTTTTTCTTCTGACCCTTCATGTATTATTTGGCTGGAAAGACTATACCGTGCTGGCAACTCTTACTTTTGGGTCGGTATTTACATGTTTGGAAGTAAATCGCATAGGGATCTTATTAAGTCGGAGTGAGAGCAATGCGACGGTGTGCTGTTGCAGCGTTGCCACGTTTCTCCGGTACGCCCTTCTCTATCAAGTAAAGTAAAATCACGATCACAAACCGCTCATTTTTAAAAGACTTTTATTAAATAAGGGTATATAAGTATATTTCGAAAATTTTTCGTAAAGATAACTAGATAAAATCATTAGATATGTTTCAGAGCATTTGAAATGGAATTTAAGGATATCGTTAGGGTGTCCACTTCTTTATAACGAGAAAACATCAGTAATCGCGATAATTTAAAAACTCAACTTTTTAACACATAACACGCGATAAACACAAGAACTACTTTAGATATTGAAACTTTTTTTTATTTTGAAGTTGGGATAAATTATTACAAGATGTTTAAATAAGAAAAAATCGATAGGATTTTTTTTTTTATTTAAAAAAACACCTCCGTTTACTTTTAGTGCATTGCAATTTTGAGCAATCGTGTAATTTTTTTATTTATAATTACATTATCACATACTGTCTGTGAAGTAAATATAGCAGAAATATTAAGGAAGTTTTTGAAAAAACTACGATCAATTATTTCTAATTGATTTCGAGATATCGATTTTTGAATTCAGAGTTCTGATAGCGCGACCACTGTCGAACACCTACTCAATTCCGCTTATTTTTACCAAAAGTGCAAGTATTTCTAACTTGCACTTAAAAATGTACAAGCTATAAGGAAAATTACAACGACTCGTTTATAAATAAACAAATAAAGTATCACGAGACGTAATTTAATCGTGAAGCTGCACGCATAATCTCTTCCCTAGAATTTTTAGCACTGATATGGTATTGATTGAATCTGCTATATCCCCTTCCACGTCTCTTAGCAATGTTTACAGTTTCTCGGTTTATTTCATACGTTTGGCAACGTTTTTACTGTTCTCTCTTTGTTCAGTACATTATAAACGCATTATACTCTTCTTACATACGGAAATCATGATCCAAGATCCAAGACTAACCTTTGCCAGTCCTTAGTATAGACCATGAGTAGAACGATTTTGTCCATAACCATTAGTTAATACTGTTACCTCTATTTTAGGCTGTAAATTCTTTGGATAGAAAGAAAAGATACGTGAAATTGGTTAAAGAGAACCCTGTCACGGTAGACCTGTATGACAAAAATGATGAACTTTGTTTTGAAAATTTAAAGAAGAGCGGTATTTTAAATTCTAAGGAATGAATGTTTAAAATTTGTTCATGTTAAGATAACATTAATTAATTATACTAATTAATGTCTTCTATTATAGGTTCACCATTAGTTTTAAGGAAATTTGTTTCAGTTGTTTAAAAACCTATTATTGGATCGAATATTCATTATGTTAATTTTGTAAAGTTTTTGTTTACATAATAAAAAGTTAGAACCAATATTTTATTGTTAATTTATAGTTAATTTCTTCTATATATGGAGCGTAGAGACACTCTATACTTCTATAGCATCTTCTATAGTATATCCAGCAAGAATATATGACACATTGACATTTGCCGTCTGTCAATTTAATTTAGAAATGGTTTTATTTTTGGGCGCGTTCAGGGACGGTCAGCGGCCATGGTACAAAGAATATAAGGTATGATATTGCGCAGGTTGGTCGCTACGTCACAGGTGATAACAGGCGCTATTGGTCAGCACGCTCCGCGCGCCAGTTCAAATCGTCAAGATATTCTTATAAATCTGTTTTTTTGTTTATATACCGTCATTGAATTATCACTAAGCAAGTTACTGTGGAGCAGTGCGTAAGGAGTCGGGATAGAAAGCGAGAGACCGGAGTTCGAAACTCGGCCGGAACATAACTTTTTATTTATTTTTTTAAATACTGTTGTATTCTATAGTTTATTTTTGTAGTATAAAAAAAAGAACTATTTATTCTGTTATTTTTTAATCTCCGTTATTAATATAAATTGATTGTTGGTACAATACCTTATTTAATATAAAATAATATTCTACTTTTTGAAATGTATCGGGCCCTAATTGTACCTAAAAGTAATATATTTTTAGTGATATACCATATTGTAAACTATTTAATATTTCAGTCACTTAAAAAGTTAATTTGCATTGAATAATTGTCTACCATTAAAGGAAATTTGAGCTATAATATAATCCTCGATGGGCATATTCTGGGTATGCAAATACTTCATCTAAATTTTGGGTGTCGTTCAACCAATTTATTCTCAAAACCTGAAACATCTACATATAAAAAAAAGCACAGGTCACTAATTATAATAAACTTCACCCTTGGAATTACTTCTATCACAATTACAATACGTTCATCTGCATTGGCATTTTCTACTTTTCGATGGGAAACAATAAACTTCCCAGCATTTTTTAAATGATGTAATAATTCCTCTTGTGGTTACTTTTCCATAGATAACCTCATCTCTGTCCTCATGTGAATTCAGAGGCAATGAACATGAAAATTATTTACCATAAACATCGCAAACTAAAAACCTAATAAACAATTTTATACCGAATATAGAAATAAATTTAGTATTCTTACCTAAGGCTATTATCGACCAAATCCATGTTAATAGGTAATTATTATTTTTAAATATATTTTTGGAACTGCTAGTTTAGTAATTATTAAATTAAATGAACTAAAAGTCTTAAAAATAAACAATTCTTAACCATAACCCCAAAAAATGCAGATCACAATGCAGATCTCCTGTCAACTTTCTTTATTTTTTATTTATTCATTATTTTCATAGTGACGTCACAGGTGGTATGCGCGAACTGAACGAAATTGGAGCCGCTATCGATCATACCTAGTATTCTTTCATTCTTTGTACCATGGTCAGCGGCTGAGAGGCTGAGTAAGCGGTTTCCCTAAACGGTCTCTTTTTACATACAAAAACAGTCAGCCGCTGAGTAAAATACTCAGCGGTCGGTCAGCCGCTGTGTTCCATGAACGCGCACTTTGTGTTATTCAAATATAGTGCGTGTTCAGGGAACACAACGGCTGACTGTTTTTGTGTGTAAAAGTCGTATATTCTATACAAGGATATATAGAAGAAGGATATTCAACTCCCTATAGCGGGCTATGTAGGAAAATATGCCGTATTTTGTCGAGGAAGACGATTACGTCACGACCAATGAGCGTCGAGTATTTGAAATTGAAAACATATAAATTGACGGTAACCTATGTTTTTTGACTCATTTCACTGACAGACGTGATGAGATTATTATTGTAATTTATAGATCCAAACGTTTTTGAAAAAATAATGTATTTTAAAGTTATTTCCTAGAGTTTGGTTTGGCCTTCTATATTTTGGTATTTGTCTACTAATAAATAATATCTTATTTTGTATTTCGATGTATGGAAATCCGCAAGTTTTGTATCTGAAGCCGCAAAGAAATTTCGCTCTATAGTGAGAAAAATGTTATTATATCTTTTTAGACGTGTAGAATTACAAAATTTCTTATTTCAGATGTTCTAAATGTGAGTGCATGTCAAAAATTTAAATATATACTTGAAATATTATTTCAAGTTATATGCTTTGACATTTTTTGGAAGTAAACAAATATTGAAGAAAGTGTTGTGCCTTCACAGAATTTAAATTGGCATTAGGAATAGATTTCCTTGATTTAGTAATAATATTGCTCATAGAAATTGATAATGTGAAGAATAACAATACAGGAACATAGAATAACAAGAAAGAAATTCTAGCAGCAAGTTAGGTTATGAGATAAATTTTATTTATATAGTTTGTTTAAAGAGTTTAGTTTGAAAAAAAGTTAAAACAATTATTATTGTCCAGGTCATATTTGATAACTGTTGTTAATTGATAATTGTACGATGTACAATGCAGGCAATATTTCTGCCTCCTAACGCACTATTCGCTTAAAAGAAGATGTGGGTATTGTATTTATACCTAGGTAGTTAATGATACATGGAATATATTTCTATATTATTGCAATAACGATGTCTTTATGTTGTATTTTTTTAGAACAGATTTATTATTAGTTGGCTAGTGTGTTAGTAGGATAGCCATTGGTAGTTATAAAGTATGAAGTCGTCAGGTATTAATAATAGGAATTGATCAAAGCTTATACATTTATTGTGATATTTATATTGTGAATTTAAGTAGTTAGAGTTTTGGTTGTTTAATAAACGAATTAATATTGCTTATTATTGTATCTAATTAAAAGAACAATGAAAAGTTGAATACCATAGGGGTACGTATGTTATACAAAGAATTTGCATCAACATTTTTTTGGTTATATACTTGTACTGATATTTGTTTCTTGAACTAAAGAATTATACAGTACCTACTACACAATATAATAATCTGCAGCTACATAGGTAGGTAGCTGTTGGTAATTAAATTTTTTATCTAATATAATATCTAACATCAGAAATATTGTTAATTATCAACTATAAACAACTAAGAACTAGAATTATCAACTATAAACACAATATAATATACTGTATCTTAAGCAATATGTAATTATTTAACAATTATTTTTTTTGGGAAATAAAAACTGGTACTAAATTCTTTTTGACTATTTAATTTCTAAGTCACAAATAATGGTGGACAAATAGCAAGAAAATTATACAAGTAAAACATAATTTTAACTTATTTCTCTAATGGAATTTTGGTATTGATCTACTTAGTAGGATATGCAGTTTATCATATTTTTGAATATTTATATTCAATATTGTTCAGGAACAGCCCAATTACTCTGAAAAAAAAATATATGGTCAAATTCTTTGAAAAGAAACTTTTAAAATCAGTAATGATAAAAAAATATATAATTGTTGTATAGCAGAACCAGGGGACACAGAATTAGGGGAATTAACAATAGATTATTAAAAACTGCCTTCTCTTAAAAAAGTAGTATTATATGCACTTAGAAAGACTATAAAGGATATAAGTACACATAGAAAGAAAGTAAGTATCTATACTACTGATATAGATATAGATGATAGAAAGAAAGTAAGTATCTATACATACTATATATGATATATATATATATATATATATATATATATATATATATATATATATATATATATATATATATATATATATATACTATATATATATATATATATATATAACTATATATGAATACGATACCTACAGTATACAATATTATTAGTATAAAAATAACAGCACAGTCGGCACACTTTAAAATAAAAAAGCAGCATAATATTCAGGTATGTATAAAAGTAAAATTTTCTCAAAAATATTAGAATATGAAATAAATTGCAACTAAATTTTAATTAATAAACATAAACAAATAAAATTGTCAGTGTTATTAAAACTTTATGCAAATATATGTTACCTTAATACTTGTCTTTAATCCTACTCTTCTGACATGGCTTTTCAAACTTATCCCCAAATCTCAATTCTTGTTATTAAGAATAATATTTATGAACTTTTGTTTCCATATTAATTTCAATATATTTGAATAAAACTGGAAAAATAATCAATATTGACACTTGAAATATTAATTTCTTATGTCCTTAAATTATTTATATCGTGTTATACATAATATTTACATAAATATTCAATTTAAAAATAGATCAGCACTTGAACGAGTGAATATAAAATAGTATATCATCAATTTCTATGAGCAATATCATTACTAAATCAAGGAAATCTATTCCTAATGCCAATTTAAATTCTGTGAAGGCACAACACTTTCTTCAATATTTGTTTACTTCCAAACAATGTCAAAGCATGTAACTTGAAATAATATTTCAAGTATATATTTTAATTTTTGACATTAAGCACTCACATTTAGAACATCTGAAATAAGAAATTTTGTAATTCTACACGTCTAAAAAGATATAATAACATTTTTCTCACTACAGAGCGAAATTTCTTTGCGGCTTCAGATACAAAACTTGCGAATTTCCATACATCGAAATACAAAATAAGATATTATTTATTAGTAGACAAATACCAGAATATAGAAGGCCAAACCAAACCTCTAGGAAATAACTTTAAAATAAATTATTTATTCAAAAAACGTTTGGATTTTGGATCTATAAATTACAATAACAATCGTCATCACATTTGTCAGTGAAATGAGTAAAAAACATAGGTTACAAATCTGAAGTTGTCTCTGAAACTGAAATCTGTCAATTCTAAACTGTGAAGTTAGACAATAGTTAGACAAAAACAATGCTGTCCTTGTCTAGGCGGCCATACTTGTCGTGAGGAGAATGACAGGAATGACACTAATGACTGTTTCCAATTTTCCTATTTCACTGTCACCCCCCTGCCGCGAACTGGTCTGACTGTCAGCCAACAATCAGAATTTTCTGTGTGAACAGCTTACTGTTGGTTGGAAACCAATCAAAAATTTCTGTGCGAACGCGTCTTACCCTATTGCGCATGATTATCTGTTGGAAATATGTTTCTTACAGCTGTGAGAACAAACCTGATATGTGGGCGTCTCATATTTCTGTTCCACCCTAAAAAGGCTCCACCAGATACTCATTCTAAAATTTCTCCCGGATCTATGTTTTTACATGTAATTAAAGTCTTTATTAATTAAACTTTATTACACGCACATCCCTGATTATAAAATCTGGCAACCTTCCTTGAATGTCATTAATGACAATTGACATTGACAGACTTTCAAACCTTTCAAATAAATGTCAACGGAAAATAGTTAATTACAGCGGTAAAATTGTTTTTAACGCCACACAAATTTAAATGTTACTTACCTTATTGTGTAATATTTAGAGAAGAAATTAACTATACTGTATTGACATTTTGAGTGGAGTCTTTTTACCGGCTTTGGAGAAAAACGGGTCAAAATGAACTATAACCTAACAGTGCCCGGGAGTTTTACTTATAAAGACTTGCTTCTGCGAAAGTTGTCCTATGCAGTTATTTCCAGTGTGTTAACTCAATTATTTATTTTATTTATATATGTATTTCTTAGCAATATCGACTTACTTCATCCAATACAATGGGGTTTTTCAACGCTTCGTATACTCACATCTTTCAGCACATGGATTTTTATGTTACCATTTTTAACGATCATTTTTGCACAGAGTCTAATTTGTGCGAAGGACTATGTTATCAAGACGTCATACTGTTCAACAAGATTTCAAAAATTCCTTTCCACCTTCTCAGTGCATAATCTAATATTATGTTTGCTTCATGTTATTGCTGGTGCTGTGCTCATATGGTTGTTTTTATCTATATCTGGAGGCAAATATAACAATCTGACCGAGAATTGTAAGGGTTTGGTATATTGTTTAAATGAAGGAGCCTTTTTTCTGGTTTTAAGTGGATTTTGGACTGGTTTTTATTTTTTCATGAAGGTATACATAGCAGAAAAAAATTTGACATTCCCAGTAATACATCAGCGCAAATTTTTACAGTTTAAATCTCAGTTAGGATCTATCGTACAAGATTCAATAACTCATTCTTTTTGGCCGTCTATATATTTTGCATTCTTATATTACCTTCAAGGAGACTCCTGGGTAGAAGGCTTTAAGAGTATTTTTGGCTTATTGGAATATGAAGTAAAGCCAAATGTATGGATATACTTTTACTTATGGTTCTTTAATGCTCTGTACTATTTCAATATGAACTTAATGAGGTTCTATTTCAACTTATTCTTAACAGAACCAGTACAGTTTCCTTTAGTGAAAGATCATTCTGATAGTTTAACATTGCAAGAAAGTATCATAAACTATGAGTGGCCTATAGTTCAGAATTTAGCATGTTTAGATCTCCATTTACTTGCACAATGGTCAGCAATCAGAAGACAAGTGTTTTTTACACTTTCCAATCCGGGAGGCCATCCACACAATTGGAATTTCTTAGTGGAAAACGTTATGAAACTTGTAAAGGAATACACCAACTTACTGAACAAAACTATAGATGTACCCGAACAAAATACAAAACCTTCAATAATCCAAGCACCTATAATACAGAGTCCTGATAGATTTAGAAACTTAAGAAATATGGCTCTTTATGACCAAGACGATTTTAATATAATAGAAGTTTCACAAGTCCCAGCAGTTAAGTTTTCTATCTCAGACAATCTTATTTCCAAGTTATCTGCCAGGCTATCAAGCACTATTGAATTTGTTAAAGTGATTTTGGGAATCAAGTTTTTATTTGGGGAATTACCGCAAGCTAATGTAAGGAAGTGTTTAGCTAATGGACATTTAATTATCTGGGCTTCACAGGGAATAGCAGATATTGTTAGTTTTTCACTGACAGAGGATAAATTCGGCATTGTACAGAAGGACCTTCCAGTTATTATATCCAGTCTTGTTAATCTGAAACAAAGTCTTGAAAAACTGAACAAAGTTCCAGCATTGACTCGAAAGATGGTGGGCTATGATGATTTTAATTATCAAATGAAAGGGGCTGTAACTGCAGCTGTAAAGAGAAGCCTTTTTAACATATGTAGAACTTTTGGGGGATATTTACATGACATTCCTCTCAATAAAGAGGTACTCCAATATCTGCGAACACACATAATTTGTAAAAGTTAAATGATTTTGTACTCTTTTATTTATATGTGGACTGTTATTAGATTTCTATTTTGTCAGTAAAAATTAAAATATGTTATTTTTTCTAATTGACTACTTGTTTTATTTTTTAAAATCAATAAAAAAAATGAAAATCTAAAATAGTTCAAATCAGAGGTTCAAATGTTAAATGGACTGAAAATAGTTCCATTGTGAAGGTATATGAGCCAGTTTGGAGCCAGTGCTCTCTCTGAAGCTATATATAATATCGATGAACAACCCTCATCATATCGATATGCCGTACGGCCGCGATCGATGATTTCTTACAGCACTAATGCTTAACCTTTAAAAGTAGTTCAAATATACTTTTTGGTTATGTTTATTAAATATTTTATAAACAATGATAAAACGGCATTTTCTGAGAAAAATATTTTCAAATGTGAGTACTTTCAAGCATCAATTTGTTAAATATTCATTGGATAATGTAAAAACTCATCAAAAAGAACTTATGTCCAGAGGCTTACCCAAACAAAAACCTATTGATGGCGTTAAAAATATTATATTGGTGTCTTCTGGTAAAGGTGGTGTAGGAAAATCAACAACGGCAGGTAATAAATTTATATTTATTCTAGGTACGTCTTAATATGCTTTCACGTTATAGTCAATCTTTCTACGGCATTAAAATTAGTTTATCCTGAGAAAAAAGTTGGATTACTTGATACTGATATTTTTGGTCCTACAGTGCCTTTGATGATGAATCTTCACGAGACACCATTCCTTACAGACAAAAATCTCATGGAACCATTGATCAACTATGGCGTAAAATGGCACATTAAAATTATATTAAAACAGCCAGGAATTATATTAAAATTGATCTTATTTACAGCATGTCTTTTGGGTTCTTGATTGAGGAAGGCTCTCCGGTCATCTGGAGAGGTCTTATGGTAATGCAAGCTCTAGAAAAGTTAATGAGACAAGTTTATTGGGATGATATTGATTATTTAATTGTGGACACACCTCCAGGAACTGGTGATACCCATCTTACTCTAATCCAAAATTTACCTATAAATGGTATTGGATGTTTTATTTAATATATTTACAATATAACTTTCGGAATATATTTAAGGTGTTGTATTAGTCACAACTCCACAAAAAGCTGCATTGGAAGTAACAAAAAGAGGTGCAAAGATGTACAAAAAACTAAATATACCCATAATAGGACTAGTGGAGAATATGAGCACTGTGATATGCCCATCTTGCTCAACAAATATAAAAGTGTTTGGAAGTGACACTGAAAAACTAGTCAAAGACATAAATATTGAGATTTTAGAAAGTTTTCCTTTAAATGAAAGTACTGCTGAAGCATGTGATAAAGGTACCCCTATTGTTTTAGATAAAAATGCTGTAGAATTTACCTTATATAAAAATGTTGCTCATAGAATAGTTGATTTTTTAAAGGATAAGACGCCATAGAAAGAAAAACAATGTTTTAGTAAAAAATATGCCTTTATTGATTTTGAAAAACAACCCATATACTATATATTACATAATCTCTTTTGATACTGTCACAGAGAAAAAGAATGGAAGATTTTTTCCTTATTTTTGAGCGTTTTTTTTATATCAGAATAAAGTTACTGAGTCAAATTCTTTGTTCTTTTTTTTTCTATCGTGGTCCATTAAAGTCATCAACAGTATTTAAAACATAAAAAATAAAATATATATGTACAAAATTTCAAATAACATAAACACCATCATATAAATAAATAAAAAAGAAAACGTTGCATTTTAGGAGCATTGCAAGTATACAAAATTGTTGAAATATAAAGATTTTTTTTAAATATTGGAATTATTTTTATAAAATTTGGCAATCAGGAAAAGCGGCAATACTAATAAAAAAAATATGACTTAAATTAAAAAGTACAAATATAACAGTCAGTAGATTGTGTCTAAAATTAAAAGAAATATTCATTTCACTTAACATATGTATTAAAATTGTCCATAATCACGAAATATGATTTCTCTCTTCAACAGCTCTTAAAAACTTTACTAAACGATTTTTACCATTTCTTCTTGTGTTCGTCCATGGATACTCCACCAGGTCCTAAATATACTATCATAAGCAGTCCTCCTATTACAGAAAGTGTCTGAAAACGAATCAAATAAATGTTAATAAGTTACAATTATTTAACATACCATACATATTTTGCTACATGCATTTTTTAACTTGTCTCGATTTTTGAAATAAAGAAAACCATAACAGTCAATTTAGAAATTCAGTGCCTTCACATTTTTTTCTGCATAGAATAATTAATAAGGAAAAATAAAACATGCCTTAGGACTGTTATAGTATTTCCACAGTCAATTGAAAGTATTGAGACTCTTAATTCCTTTGCCCTGACGATGCCGACAAAGACAGTGCCGAAATTAAGAGTTCCAATCCATTCCAACTGACTTCAGATAAACTATAGTGTTATCCATAAAAAATGTAGGCGACTGTCATTGCTTTCAATTACAATTGACATTTCATATAATTTCCTATGCTTGGACATGTTTATGCTAAATGAGATATAGATAATATAATTTTCGTTCGCCCTATACCGGGTGCGTCTCAAAAGTGGCTCACCCCCTATAAATTTTTTATTTTTTCAGATAAAACAACGGGATTTGGTATATTCGAATATGACATAAATTGGGATTGAGTGACATTTTCCATTGTTTTCTGTCACTTCCGGTTTCACCGGAAATGACTACAACTTTTGATTTATAAATGGCACCCTCGGTATTTTTTTACTTTATTCTATATATTATTTGAAAATGACAATCTGAATCGAATGACATCATATGTCAACTTTTGATATATTCCCTCAATAAAAATTGTATTTTAAATTTCAATCTAGAGTGCCATGACTGTGTTAAAAACACTAATTTTTAATCAAGGAGCCTTGGAAAAATAGATTTGATCGTCTAATGTTTTTAGTGTCTTGTCCTGGTCGGTTAAAAGATGCCCAAATCGTGTTTTTAATCATATCTCAATTTTTTCAAATGGAACGAGGGTGGCTCATTAGCATATTTTGAAAAAGCAATTTTTTGCGAATAATTTGATACCACACACTTGGTATTTCGAGTCAAATTGTCATTATGAACCGCATGTTACGATTTCAAATAAACCATATGCGAAAATGTCAAAAGTTGACATATGATATGATATGTCATTCTATTCAGAGTGTCATTTTCTATCGAATAAAATAAAAAAATACCGAGGGTGTCATTTAAAAATCAAAAGTTGTAGTCCTTTCCAGTGAAACCGGAAGTAACAGAAAACAATTGAATATGTCAATCAATCCCAATTTATGTCATATTCGAAATTACCAAATCCCGTTGTTTTATCTGAAAAAATAAAAAAGTTATAGGGGTGAGCCACTTTTGAGACGCACCCGGTATAAGCAAGTAACTTAGTAGAAACTTTTCAAATCAAGAAATAATTTCCATATTAAGAACAACTCCCTTCTTTTAACAAAGGAATGACTAGTAAATAAGCATTTTTTTGCTTATTTACTAGAGATGAGCAAAAAATCGCAAACTGTGATTCAATCGCAGCGATTTTAAAATCTCAATCGCAACCTGCGATTGGCTCTCATAAGCTTGTTTCATATAGACGCGAAGCGCGAATTGCGGAAAGCGATTCGCCAAAAAATATTCGTAAAATTTGGATCTATTTCATACAGTCGCGAATTTCTAGGAACATTTCATTTTTGCTCCACTGAAAGTTACCAAAAAAAATCATAACCTGAGATAGCTTAATTTGTTTTTTATTCGTGTTTACGATCTTTATTTTATATTTTATAGCAGACAATATGAGTTTAAATTTGTTTAATGATTATGAATATTGATTACGATTGTAGGATTGGAACAGAAGGCGCAAAATTGCCATTTACTTATTGTTAAAACGTAGAAGAGAGAACGGGTTTATAGGTCATTTGGGACATGTGAAATATTTAAATTTCGTAAGCAACAAGGGTGCTTATCGCAATTTAATTCAAGAAATGAGGACAAAAGATGAGAAAAAATTTAGGAATTTTCAGATTGTCTGTACAGGAGTTTGATAACTTGGTAGAAAAATTATCACCATATAATTTCAAAAACATATTATGCACGAGAACCCATTTCACCTGGAGAAATGCTTTCAGTTACTTTGCGGCAGCGTCGTCGTCAAAATCAGGTCAAAATAATCGATAACCGGATCACAACACCATTCTGCGCAAACGCGAACCTTAAAATCGCGCGAATATTCGCAAAAAGTTGAAAATACTTTAATTTTCCCGCCCCCCAAATTTTAAATCTTGCTAATCGCCAAAATCTTAAAATTTCTGACAGCGCCGCCATGATCATTAAAATTTGACCAATGAGAGCAGTTTCGCAAAATCGCGATTCGCGTCTATATGAACAAAGCTATATAGGAAACTGCGATTGCGATTTCTTCTATTTTTATTTGCGAGTTTCAATTTAGGCAACCAGTATACTATAGCTGCGATTTGCGACTTTGTTGCGATTTTCTACGATTTGCGATTTTGTTGCGATTGCGCTTTTGTAAACTGGCACCGTGATTGATGATGGCAACTTTTGACATTTTCGCTCAAAAATCGCATTTTGAATTTCAATCTAGAATGTCATGGCTGTCATTATTTACACATTGTATAACACTATAAAATATCATAAAATTTTAAACTATTTCAAGGTTTCCTAGGCATTTTTATATACATACTTTACATTTTGAAAATTTTCAATGTAACAGTAAACACTCAAAAACACCATATGATCGAAAAAAAAACGGCGTCCAGTTGGCTTGGAAATGACGATCGTTGACATTCTCCATATAATTTCTTAATATAAAATGACAGCGATCTCTATTTCATAGCCATCGCTGGCGTCTTTTTTTAATCATACGCTATTTTATCTTCAAGCTGTATATGTGTAAGATCCATTGGAAATAATAATTATCTAGTATGTAATAAAATATAAAGCAAATTATTTTTTTATAAATTATATCGAACTAAAGTTATACCTGGAAAAAGTCGTATTTTAAGAAATCCCTCAAAGGTTTGTAATCTGGAATATACCACCAAGCATTGTGATAGAAATTGAGCATTGTCAAAAGCAGCACCAAGATCAGGGCAGACAATTTAGTTTTATATCCTATTGTCACCAAAACCATAAGGGCCGAACCAAGCAGGTCTTGTAAAATCTAAAATTATTATGTGTTATTTAATGACATGTGTATTTGTTTATTTACTCTATACCTGTAGAAAACTGAATTCAAACCTGATCAGTGTGATAAACATAAAAGCTAATAATATTCTGCCTGTTAATTGTAAATAACTTTTAGGCTTGTTGTCCCCTAGAGTCGGAACACCTACAAAAAATAACAAAGTTCCATAAAATATACAGTATTCACAAGCACCTTGATGAGAAATATGTTAAAAAATTGTCTTATTAGCTTAACTATTAACTTCCATATTATTTTAAATTGATATGTACAATGGGAGGATGCGTGACAGTGACTGGTGTGTCATCATAATTCACAGGCATATTGTATTTCCTGTTATTTTCTGGATTTAGTCTGTCTAAATCTTCCTTGATTTCTGACACACTATAGTTGAAAATTACAGATATCTTAAAAGTTTTCAATAGTAAGATCAGATGGTAAAACAATTCTATGGTAAAATTAAAAAAAGTAACAACGAAAACTTTCAAAGAAAAAAAATCAGACATTTCTGTAGGGTCTTCATTAAACAGAAAAATTTCTAAAGGTGCGTTCACACCGGCTGCGCCTCTCCGCCCAAATCTTTTTTAACATATACTTTTGAGCGCGCTAAAAAAATACACTTCAAAGTACATGTTAAAAAAATGTTTTGTGCGGCGCGGAGCGGCACAGCCGGTGTGAACGCACCTTAATAGTCTTCGGATCGATACTGTCTCTTACCTTCAGGGAGTTAGTACCGTCACAGAATAGAGAGATAGCGCGCGCGTGCACATATTAGTTTTAACACTTATAGAATTTAAAGAAAGTAGAAAGGAAAAAAAATCTAAAGAGAAAAAAACTGGCATTAAATATACAAAATTAATTTTGGACCTGTTCTCAGATTTTATACATATTCTACTTAATATTCTACATTAGGTATCTACGCACTTTTCTACATACACATAGAAAATTAATTTTCTACGCGTCATTACCCAACCCTGACCCCATCATATTGTCGCCCTTGATTGGATTCAACATTTTCAAAGATCCATTGTATACAAAACTTAAATTGTGACTAATTTTTCCGTTGCAGAGACTTTTGTCTTTAAAAACTATTCTCCCATGCATCCAATTCTTATCCGCTCTATATGAACAGCGATAATTAAGTAAAAATATTATAAAAACTACCGGCAAATAAGCTTTTAGCTTCTCCTTTACTTTCAGCCAATACCAAGAGAAGTGCACCAACCAAAGCAAAATTTCTTAATAGGAACTGTAGGTCCCAAAGTATACTGTATGCCAAAGTCTAAAATATGAATTAATAATAAAATAAGCTTAAAACAACAAAATTTATAGATTTACCTGTAACACAACAATGAAGAACAAAACCCCACAAGCAATAGTTACTCGATATCTAACAATAACCATTACACAGCCTCCTAATTGAAAAACTAAATTTACTAGTACAAACACTGTTGCTAAAAAGTATCCACAGCCCCATGACATGTTCATGTACTCTCTCTGTTCATTCCATTGGCTCCACATTCTTATGCCATCTTCGAAAAAGGTTGAAATAAGACATAACCGCGCTAATGTGGGTAGAATATGTTTTAATTTTCTTTGAACCTACAAAAATTATAAATACCCATTTAAAATAAATGTTGTTATTGGAACTGGTAATAATAAACATTCTATTTTGTTTATAAAACCTAAGCATATAGTTACAAATGTAAAAGTACCTAATATTTTATCATACCAGAGAAAAGTTGTTGTAAATAATATATCTTAACAATAAATAAAACTAAAAGCTGGACAAATACCCAACAGTCAGCTTCTGTTCATTCTATATATTTTTATAAATAATTTTAATTTATAATTCTGAAAATAATTGAGCCTTAAATTAAATATTCTCCAAACTTAAAATCTGAGTAACCTTGACATTCAAAATTTAAGTTGTAATTTTCTAATTGTCTACCTTTGCAATATTATTACTAGAACATAAAAATAATCACTACAACTCAAGGATAATAATTCAAAAATAGGTCGATTATTAGTACCTAATACATATGGAATTGTAACATATTTATAACCTTTATGCACAAAACAGGCACTTAAATTACATTCTTTAAAAATGGGTTAAGTAAACTGATTAAAAACAACTATTTATTAACAAAGTATTAAAAATATACTGTAAAAACCTGTTGAACCGTCTAAATAATGGTTTAAGCTGACGTGACCTTTTTACTTACAGTAAGTAGGTACTGTATCTGTTTTTATTAAAAAAAACGAAAATTTTAACATAAGTTTTTATATAAAACAAGTTGAAATAAAACTTTTGTAATCGGATAATATTATTACCTGATCTGCAACATCTTCCGCCTTCGAAATATATTCATTTTGGGTGTTCATCGTTGATAATTTTATTAAAAAAACTCCACGCAGTCACACACTTTTTCGACTAGCACTGCTGAAAAACAAAAGTTCCACATCGCAGCTGTCAGTTGGTTGTGTTATCAAAAGTTGTCAAAAATAAGACTTTTGAACTAAAAATATGAAGTTCTTCATATTGTTTTAGATTTCGTATGGATATTTGAATTTTCCATATTAACTTTATATCATACTTTATATTCGATATTAAGTCAGGTCTCGAAAAAAAATAAGTTTACCCTGAGTTTTTCCATTACTCTGTAAATAAAATGGTCGAGTAGTCATTCAGAGATGATAGAAGAAGATCGATAAACATCGCCCAACCCTAGTCTAGCCCAGTCTAGCCCAGAGATATACTACTTTTCTATATCTTTGGATATATACTTTTCTATATCATCTTTGGTCTATCCCAAATTCCAACTTTTTTTATAGTATACAAATGCAAAGCTGCGCATGTACAGATCGATTTTTCTATAAATAGTTTGAGAAAAATGAGCGATAACAGAATATTAAATGCGACAAAAATGAACGGAATAGAAGGAAAAACACCATTTTTGATTGGTGTGGCAGGTGGCACAGCAAGTGGAAAGGTATAGTACTCTAAAATGAGTTTACCTATGAGCTATGCATTCTTTTTCTTAAATATATATTTTTTACTTTAATACTTTATAGAGTACAGTATGTAAAAGAATTATGGAGAAATTGGGGCAAGTTGAAGTTGATTCAAAGCAAAGACAGGTCGTATGCATATCCCAAGATAGTTTTTATCGAGAACTCACACCTTCTGAAATTGCAAGGGCCGAAAAAGGCCAGTTCAATTTTGACCACCCCGATGCATTTAATGATACTCTTATCAAAGATACTTTAACTGACATTCTGGCGGGTAAAATGGTACAGATTCCGATATACGATTATAGACACCATTCTCTGTAAGTGCTTGGCATTGTGTTATATTTTATTATAAAATATTTTCTCTAGAAAAAAAGATGAAGTCTTGACCATATACCCAGCAGATGTTGTTTTATTTGAAGGAATTCTGGTTTTCTATTTTCCTGAAGTAAGAAAATTGTTCCATATGAAACTGTTTGTTGATACTGACTCAGATACAAGACTGGCTCGAAGAGGTATGAATTGTAACATTAATTGAATAGTTTGTTTTAACGATTACTCTTCAGTTCCTCGCGATATTATTGAAAGGGGCAGAGACCTTGATCAAGTATTAAATCAGTACATGAACTTTGTTAAGCCAGCATTTGAAGAGTTTTGTTCTCCAGTAAGTTAAAGCTGTGCTTTTAGTTTTGATTTGGTAATTCCACTCTTGTTTGTATTTTTAGACCAAAAAATTTGCTGATGTAATAATACCTAGGGGAGCTGATAATCATGGTAAGTGCATTTATTTTCTAATGTTTATTCAAGCTTATCATGAATGTGTAATATGGTAAGGTATAGATAGTCACTGCAAATTGTCATTTAAATAAATGTAGCATCTGGTTAAATCACCACAATTGGCTTTACTCCTTAACAATCATTTAAAATTTATGTTATATATGTCTAACTTAAATTTGAGCATGTCATTGTCTTGTATATATGCATGTTTGGTCAATGTGATGTGACACTCACAAATTTTCTTTCTTTTGCAGTGGCTATTGATCTTATCGTTCATCACATCAAGGACATATTACAAGGGCGACCACGTGAAAACGGAGTATATAACACTCCACAGTCAATTTAAACACTATTAGGGAACACTTTACACTAAACAATATTTCTGTTTTGCTTCTATTTTGATGAGCAACAAAAATTGTCTTTTAAATACTTAACATCACATCTATAGAATTTATCGAATTTATAGACAGTGAGACAATAAAAATACTTGGTAGTTTGGTATATTTAAGGCGTGATTTCTTCCGGCGTCTGGCGTTCGCGTCCCGCCACACACTGGTTGGCTCTTATAGACGTACATGGCCAAAACCGGTATTTTATTATATCAATGAAAAGTAATGGTATCGCTTTATAGGGAAACAAACTACTGGGCGACGGACAGCGGGCACCAGTCGTCGCTAGGAAATCGCACGTTTAACCAAATGTAAATTTATTCCGGTATTAATCTTTAGTTATACATTTTCTTAAATACAGTGTACAGTGTGTGCAATATATTTGGACACATCTGATAATAAAATATTATTTTAAGTTTCTACAAAAAAAAAATTTCAAAAGTCTCTTTATCCATAAATCTGCAATTAAGCTAGTCAAAATTTAAGTAAGCTGTTTCAGGTACAAAATAAGGAAAATTTGTTCAACAGTAAAGTGGTCTAATTTTCTAAATTATGTAAAAAATTAGGTACCTTTCTGCAAAAAATGTCATTTTTTCATCCTCAGGCTTCATAATAAATTTTACAAAAAAATATATTCAATATTATGTTTGTTCCAACCGGACGAGAGAACCGTCCTAGAACGATAATTTCCTATCAGTCAATTCATTTGTTAATCTTGACAAACGATCAAACTTTTCAAACAATAAGTGGGCGACTAGAAATTACCGTCCCAGGATCGGTTCTCGGTCCGGTTGGAACGAACCTATTAATTTAATAATTGATTGATATTAATAAAAAAAATTGTGTATGTACTATGTACATATTTGAAGTGGCTTCTTACTTCCGTCTGTCTGTTTGTCCGTCTGCCCATCTGTCCGTCTGAGGACTCCATTCGAGTACCTCTATCCATATATCTATCCACGTGCCTAGTTTGGTTCCAGTCTACTCAAGAATTAAGAAAAACCCTGAGGATTTCGTCCATATAGAGGCATCGGTTCGAAACGTCGGGGACGTCATCCTGTAGCCCGTTGATCATGTCAAAATCGTCCCATATTTTTCTTTCTCAATCTATCGACAGATCAAATTTCATTTAAATCGTACGATTTTTTTATTTGATTCAGTGATGATGGGGTTTCGTAGCGCACGAAACGTCGTCAAAATATAGTTTCGAGCACCGTCTGCTTTCCGAGTTTCAGCTCCCTAACTCGCATAGAGCCCGAGTTACGACTCTCTGTCGTAACATCTGATAGTTACCACTTTTCCTCTCGCGTCTTGTGTGTTACGGTCGTGTATCGTGGCCTTCAATTTTTACTCCCATCGTGCTTAAAGAAGTTTCACTTCAAAAGCTGTAAATCCTATAAAAAACTAAAGAAGAAAAGGAATACCTTAGAGTAATCAACTTTAGTCTATGATAAATTTGAAATTTAGCAGACTAATTTTGCTTTAAAATTAAAATAAGTTTGTACAGAAATAAAAGGTTTAAATTATTTCTTACCATTGCACTATTGTAGAATTTTTTAAGAAACTTAAAATAAAATCTTACCTACACTATTTTATTAATGGTAAAGGTGTATAAAATATGGGTATTCCATTAGTGAAAAAATTGCATCACTCAATATGTCTATTCAGATTGATGTAATATTTGTTGTTTGTTAGTAGTGTGGTAAATAACTATATAATTCCATTTTAACATAGACGTAGCTTTTATTTTAGTGTAACTGATAAGTTAACTTTATGTTTTACAACATATCTATGTGATGTTAACTAAGTATTTATTGTGATGCCATTCAATTTGAAAGTGTATTTTCGAATTGGGTTCTTAGATTTTTTTTGTTTAAGAAAAGAGACAGTGTAACAGCTGCACAATTATCTTTGATACAATACTGGTGTTTATTTAAAGCACACACACTATATACCTTCATACAGATATATGTTATTTTTTTAACATAATGTCAATATTATAACTAATATTTGATTTATACCTGATATACAATTATTGTAACTATTTACAGTGTGACAAATATATAAATATAGAAAAGGCCTTTTTTTATTATCTTTATTTAAAACTTTCAGTCGCAATCGATCTCATCGTACAGCACATAAGGGAAATTTTAACGAACAGACCCACCAGGAACTCCGAAGAAAGAGCTTTGGCAGCATCTAAACTTCTTAATGCATCACCTTGCCAATCTCCCTCTAAGAGAGGGCTAGTAGGAAACGATGGTGTCTTTAAAAGACCCCATTAAAGGTGTTAAAACGTAAGCCTACTTATTACATAGAAAGTTTGTCTTAGAAATATACAACTTAATGAGACTTATAAATGTAGAGTTTTAATATTTCTAAGGCTGTTTAGTTATTGTTTTTTCTTTGTTATTTATTTTATAAAAACTGAAGCTGCTTGTATTTGTATTAAAACTCATAAGTACCTTAGAAGCAGTGACTGCACAATTTAGGTAAGTAATCTAATAAAACGAATTTATTTATTAAAATTTTTATATTAAACAGTGGCTTGAGACTTACGACTATATGAGAACAGAAATGATGAGTGATAATGATATAAAATCAGAGTAATTATTTTTCTAGTTTATAAAAGTTTTTAGCTGTTGTTCTTTTGCATAATTTTTGTTTATTTACGTGATATTTCTGCCAAATGTTAACCAATATTGTTTTGTTTGAATAAAATAATAGATATATAATTAGTAATTTTTATTTATTAATAGTTAGTGCTTATAAACTAAAGAATCATTCTCTCCAAGCTTCATTCAACAGTACCCTTAAATCTTAAGTTATTGATAATACAATTCCAAGTTCATTCCATCATGAATTTCATCTAATTTTTTAAATAAGGACACAACATATTAAAAATTGTTTCCATTTGGAAATAAAAATAACAAAAGGATACAATCTTGTAGTTGAATGTGGTCTTTAAAAGTTGTATACCACTTCTTCAAAACTATTTTGTCCCATCGGGTCCCTGTTTGTGCGGCGATCAGTTTCTTTAAATCACCTACAGTATCGTCAGGATTGCATTTTACACGGACCTTTTTTCCCAATCTATCGTTACAAGTTATTTCGATCATGATTTAGGATTTGGACTGTACTGTGGATTTGAATATTTTGTAGATGTTTGGATTTTGATTTATTTGGCAATCAAAATTGAGGTTAGAAAATGTGTCAAAGTCAAATTGTGTTCTACTTTTTGGCATTAACTGCCATTACTAATTACCATAGATAACTGGTCATTATACTAATGGCAGTTACTTTTTGCAGAGGAGTACTTGGTTCTACGGCCTGAGCTGCCAGGGTACTTCTGTATATTTGAAACGTTGGATACTACCCTTTATACTACCCATGATTTTGTCAAATATGTGTATTTGTGATTGCAGTAACAATTGTAACAAGTGTGATTCCGTGAAACTCACAATCCATGTTTTGTAACTCGTAAGTAACAACAACTGAAAACTTAAAGGATATAAATATTTAAATATTCTATAAATCCCTTATAAATACTATACCATATATAATTTTAAATTATATATGAACTAAGCCATAGATATTAAATTCCCAATAGTTCATTTCAACCAGCTCTGTGATTTTTTTAAATGTCAAATTTTATACCACCCCCTCCAACAAAACAAAAATTTCAAATTATCTCTAGGTTGTTTAATAAAAAAAGATAAACCAAAACCAAAATAATGTATAAATTGATAATTGACCTTTAAAACATTAAAATCACTAAAGCTTCTAATACATGACAATGGCTAAAGAAACGATACCAGATTTCATTGTAAAAAATAATTTTTTTGTCAGGTATATGTTACAAAAGTGCTGTGTATTTTTAAATAACATTTTCTTTTTATAGACCTAGCTCTAGGAATGGTTTGTGGGTGTTTTTCTTACTTCCTATTTCTATAATAATATCTTTAATGAAACATCCAGTAATTTTAACGCCACACTATAAATTTGCAACACTAGTTTCATTTACATTAATATGTAATTCTCTGTACATTATATCCCGTTATATCAAGAACCAAAAATTGAAGATAATACATATATGTCCTTTAACTATTTCAGTATTAACTGGCACTTTATTCAATATATGTTTACATAAAGGTAGGTGACTATAACATAAACTTTCTGTTTTAACTATCTTGGTTTTTAGGATGGATATTCTCTTTAGCAAATGGTTTTTTGATAACTTTGGGTTTTCTACATATGTATAGATTTTTGTTAAATAAATTAAAATACAGTTTTACTTTGGGAGAAGCTGGCCTTGTAGCTCAAACAATCATTTTATTTGTTAACTCTCTATTTTATAATATATTTCATATGTTATCAATACAAGAAAGAAAGTATAGGAGTAAAATGCAAACATGCACACTTATAATTCAAGTACGTGCATAATTCTAGGCACTTAAGACTATAATACAGATATATTTTTTTCATTTAAAATTTCAGGTGGGTCTATTAGGATTAATGTTATTGTCGTACATTGTATACATGTTTAATATAAAAGGACCAAAGACTTTTTACTTGACAGCATTTATTACCATAACGTTATCAGTTATTGTGCCACTACACTTGATTATGGATCAGAGTCCACTGATTTGGATATTTGAGCAAGTTTTAAGTGATATCTTACTGGTTAGTTTGATGTTAAAGTGAACTAGGTACCTAACTTCTTTTACAAATATTTTTTTCAGTTGAAATTATTTATTTATTGGAGTTTCTGCATAGCAGTTGCTGTTTTAGCTGTGAGAAATCAAATATTTTATGCCAAGAAAGCCTCAACTAGTGTTAGAAAAATTTTTCACATTATATCAGTTCTGGTTTATATTCCTGGCTTATATTATAGGTGTTCTTTTTTTTACTTGTCAACTGGAGTTGTATTGGGTATATTCTTTGCTTTAGAAGTAAGTTTTTTACATACTTGTATATAGGAGATAACTAATTTATTTATTACATTGAAAGATTTTAAGGATACAATCCATACCTCCATTAGGTAGTCAACTGCAGGAGGGTTATATAGTTTTCAATGATGAAAAAGACAGTGGGTTACTGGCTTTAACGCCTATCTATCTATTAACAGGGATTTCTTTGCCTATATGGATTCATCCGGCACCATGTGATGTTACTGATTCTGCTCAATTTACTTTATTGCCTGTTCTAAGTGGGCTTCTATCAATTGGTAAATTGACCTTTTTTTTTTAAATATGTTGTTAGATCTGCTTTGCATTTTCTCAATCATTCATTAAATATTAGAGATCTTAATATAAAACATTATAAATATAGGTATTGGAGATACTTCAGCTAGTTATATTGGTTCAAATTTTGGAAGGTTAAAATGGAAAGGAACTAGCAAAACAATAGAAGGCACCTTGGCGTATATTTTTAGTCAGATGGGTTTTATTTATTTACTCCATTTTATAGGTAAAATGCATTTAGAAGATTTTGATTTTTGATATTAACTAAACAATTTATTATTTTAGGTTGTTTGGCTATGCTAGATAATGAACAAATTGTTAGAATTAGCTTAGCTGTATTGGTAACGGCTATTGTCGAAGCGAAAACTAGTCAAATTGATAATTTAGTTTTGCCATTTATTATGTATATATTTTTGGTATAAATATGTAGTTTTTTAAGAAAGAATAAAGACTGTTTTTTAATGCAACTTTGATATTAAGAATACATTTGTTTACACTCCGATCCTATAAGTTGCTGACGATGGAAAACATTTAAGAGAGATTTTTATGAAAAAATGCATATAGGTATATAACGAGTTTTTACTATAAACATCAGATTTAATTAACAGTAATAACTGACATAAAATTGGAATAATTTGAAATAACCTCATACAGAATATTTATTTAGAATGTCATTTACCTAGAATTGAAATATCATATATAGTCTCTGAAACGAATAACTTTGAATTTGACAGTTCCCGCGGGCTTTTATAGTGTTAATTTTATTAGGTTAGCAACTTGCGGCCATTCTGACGCAATGCCGTCTCTAATAGAACAGCCTCGAAGCGAGATTTATGACGTCACGCTAGTTAAATATTACGGATTAATAAATATGTTGTAGAATACATGGAAAACATAATAATTCCTCGTATTTTTGGTTTGTATTTTAAAAATGATATAGTTTACATGAAATATACATAATATACAGTTAATAAATACAATATATATATATACCTATTTATAGTAATAAATAACTTTGGCAAATAAATTATGAACCATACAAATGCAGCAAATGTTTTACAATATACAAATAATGAATTGATGCATCAGATAATGGGTAAAATGTAAATATATTTTAAACTTTGGGGTTTGAAAATCGATATAATTTAACAAAAAACATTCAATATCTACTAATAGTGATGTATTATTATTTGCATTCACAAAATGTATATGTATATTTTGCAAGTATCAATGTTCGAAAAATTATATTTGCAAATAATACAATATCATGGAAAAAAGGCTGCAGCGATGGCTATAAAATAAAGATCGCTGTCATTTTATATGTAAAATTATTCTAAAATTTTTTATTTTCTTGGGATTTAGGTTCGGGAAAAACGCTGATTAAGTTTTCATTTGTTTTTTCATTATTTTTTTTTTGGTTAAAAAAAACGTTTCGGCTAGCATCATAGCCTTCATCAGTGTTGTGTCATATGAAAAAAATAGTGTCGAATATAATCCAAAAAATTACATATAAAATATTCACACCACATAATGTTTACTGCAATTAATAAACTAATATAAACTTGTCAAAAGATGACCTCTCGTATTTTTTTAAATTATTATTCTTAACACTAAAACTATCTACATTGACTATGGAATACGATTTCAGCCATAGTAAGTAGTAGATATTGAATGTTGTTTGTTAAATTAGATCGCTTTTCAAACCCCAAAATTTAAAATATATTTTACATTTTACCCATTATCTTATGTACCTATTCATTATTTGTATATTGTAAAACATTTGCTGCATTTGTATGGTTCATAGTTTATTTGCGAAAGTTATTTATTACTATAAATAGGTATATATATTGTATTTATTAACTGTATATTATGTATATTTCATGTAAACTATATCATTTTTAAAATACAAACCAAAAATACGAGGAATTATTATGTTTTCCATGTATTCTACAACATATTTATTAATCCGTAGTATCTAACTAGCGTGACGTCATAAATCTCGCTCCGTGGCTGTTCTATTAGAGACGGCATTGGTCTGATATTTAGAAATGTCAAAAGCTGATGACATTTTACTTTTGACAATTGTGTTGATTTTTGTAAGAAGAGGAAGAACTGTCACTTGTTTTATTATTTTCCTTTTCTATTTCACGAAAGTAAAAAGAGTTACCTATCTGATTCGTTCAGGCACTCAATTTAAAGAATATCAGTAACTTTTTTGACAGAGGAATTTTATATTTACCATGTTGGTAAAAAATAACGGTCAAAATTCAAAGGTATTCATTTTATAGACTATACAGTATGTCCCTGGATTGTCTTTACAAGAGGAAAACCTGTTTTATTATTGATATTTACTTAACGAATTTATTTTCTCGCTATATACACCACAATTTATACTGATTACAACACACAATTAACTACTTAAAAATCCTTCACCAATTTGTCACCGTTCGCTATTCAAAAACTGACTAACTGCCGAGCGCGGGTGCGCTTTATATATCCTAGCCGCTGCTTCTAGGACGTTCGGAAATTATTTGTAGTATTCTTCTTCTTACTAGTAAATTCTTTTTAGAACATCAAGATTTTCCACGTAAGTCTCAGAGATGACGCACTACTCAATCTGCACAATGTAAACAAGCATAGTGGTTTTATGCTCTGCCAAAAAATGTCGCCACACACCTTGACAATATTTTGAGAAAAATCCATTCTTCATAAAAATGTTTGCTTGTTCTTAAATGGTTAATCCCGTTTATACATTTTCAAATTACAATACCGCTTTAGAGGAAATTAAAAAAAAATGAAAATATGCTTGAATTGTTTAGTCCTAAAAATGAAAAGCCATTTCTATGGTAATATCATTTCGATTTCATTTTTTTGATAGATTATTATTATAGAATTTTAATCAAAGCGGCCTATACATTGTCAAACAAATTGCGCAACACAGGCTGACGGGCTTTGCTGTTGGGCAACAACTTGCCAATGTATGGCCCTGTTTGATGCCTTACGCAATTGTTTGAAGTTTCAAGAATGTTTGAATTCTTTTGTGCAATATCTTATTTGCCAGCCGTTAATTTTTTCCGTGATGTCGCTTTGTCTCTCTAACAATGCACAACTTTTAATAGAAAGTTTGATCAACATTTTACCAAGTGTATGGGTGAAGCAGATTGACGTACAATGCAACGTTGCGCATCGCTTTGTTGCGCAATTTGTTTGATAATGACCACCTATCAAAGAATGAAATCGAAATGATAGTATCATAGAAACGCCTTTTGATTTTTTGGACTTTTCAGTAAACGGTATTAACCATTTTAGATCAAACAAACATTTTTATTAAGAATGCATTTTTCTCAAAATGTCAATAATAAAAAAGTGTTTCCTCTTGTAAAGACAATCCGGGGACATACTGTATATAAACAAAGGGATATTCTACTTAAAATAAGCAATTTGGCGGCCACTTCAGGTTAACCCAGAAGTGTTAGAAATTGATAAATATTTTAAAATAAAGTACACCTGGAAATTGAAAATTTTGTAACTTCCAATACTGAGTCAAAAAAATATATTTCAATCAGAATACCCCATAAATAAAAAAAATGTCAATGATCATCAATTTCAAGCCAACAAAACGAGGTGTTTTTTCGATCATACAGACTATTCATTGGTAGAAACATAAGAAAAAAAGTCTTCCCCTCTACCCCAGGCCATAAAAATAATTTAAACAAATAAAAACATATTTATTAAAATATATTTACATAGTTTTTAAGTTCTGGACAATACACGTGCAATACATTAACTTATCCTGTAACCTATTCCATACGGCCGTATGACAGCTCGTTAAATTTGGCAAATAGCGTCTTAACTGTTCGTTTTCGGCTATAAAAGCACCGTGCGATTTTAAAAACACGCTCAAATACGCCTCGGCCAATTCAAAATCTTTATTAGACTTTAGCATTGTTTCTATTAATTTTAAAAACTGAAGCGTTATCGCTACGGAGCCACCACCTTCCGGCACCAAAGATTTGATTTCGAAGTCGACCATCGATGGCCCAAAAGTCTTAAGTTTTTCCACCGCTTCGGAAAAGTCAAACGTACTTACACTTTTTTCTAACAGTTTACCAAACTCGGTATAATTTGTTATTTCCTCAGGCATCAATAGTTGTGTGTGACCCTCTTCTTGGGGTAGAGCCGACTTTAAATCAAATTCGAAGTTATTCAACGTTGATACAGTGGGTAGGAAAAATGGGGCACTTTTCGGCATTTTTGGCTGCGTCCTTGGCTTGTTTCTCTGTTTGATTACGTCTAAGTTCAGCAGGTTTTGCCATCTTGAAGTGCTCAACCCGGAAAGAGTAAGAAGATCCTTGCTGATTTGTTCTGGAGAAATAAATTCTGGCTCGTCGTCAGATTCGTATTTGTCAGGCTCGTCTTTGATTTCTTGCAACACCTTTGAAAACAAATGTACAATAAATAAAGCTAATTTGGATCCGTCCAAATATCCAAAAAATTATCCTAAAAATACACAACACCCAATGTTATAGAGAAATTATCTAGGAGTAATATAATTGTAATATTGCATAAATATTACTATTCAATTGTAATAAATTCAATGCCAAGTGTAAAAGTGTTATCCAATACAAGAGACGCGTTGTTATTTAAGTCTGATATTTATCTGTGTCAAATATAATTGGAATATTGGGGTTACAAATACCGTATGATCGATGAAATGAACATCGATGACATTCTATTATTTATTATTCTATTTATAATTTTACATATAAAATTGCAGCGATCTTTTCATAGCCATCTTCGCCGTTTTTTTTTCGAGCATATGGTATTACAGTTCAATTAATTTCAGTTATTTTTATAAGTAGCAAATGGTTGCATCCTAGAAATATCAGTTACGAGAATAACAGTGCGCTGAGAGTGACGGTAGAGAAACACAACTGTTAAAATATAGAGAAATTATTTGTAAGGAATATATGGTAATCGCAAAACAATTTCCGATGCACGTGATCAACTTTGAGTGACAAGCGATGGCGACAGCGCTGCCAGATTGTGATGGATTTATGAGATGAATCTTAATTTAAAATTGACAAACAATATATTTATTATATCATTTTTTAAAGAGTTTTATTATTAATTTAATAACTAATATTTTAGTGATTAATTGATTTATTTGTTTTATAGCTTATTTTAAGTAATTATTTTATTAATTATTAATTTTAAGTAAGAGGGTGCCGTTAATGCACAAACTAATAATCACAAAATTTAATAAAAACTAACTTTGAAAGTGGCATAATGTGCTTATCAATCAAACTTACTTCTCTGACTGCAGTCAAGAGTAATAAAGGACCTTTATTGTGACGTTCCTATATTTTTTATTAAATATTTGAGTAATATTACTCAAATATTTCAGCAATATTGCTTAAACATTTACAGTATTTCGAAATACTTATTCAATGTAAAATAAGTATACCATATGATTGAAAAATAAATGGCGTCAAGCTGGCTTGGACATGATGATCGATGACATTCCCCATATAATTTTACATATAAAATGACAGCGATCATCATTTCATAGCCATTGCTGACGCCGTTTTTTTCGTTCATCTTGTATTTTAATGTTGCAAATTATTATACTGATATTGCAAAATGGCTGTGGTGCATGTAAAGGAGTTTAGAATAAAAAAATATTACTAGAAGTTCTTACCTCTGGAAGATCAATTAATGGAGGTTCCTCCTCGGGTGATAAAGCTTTAAGAGTTATTTTTTGATAAAGCGTTTTATTCGACCATAAATAAATACCTGCAATAAATAATGATTGAGTTATATAATACTTTAATATTATTTATTTGTTACCTAAATAATCTACATGTGCGGTAGCTAAAACTTCACCAGTCGGAGACATACTAATAGAAATAGGGGCAGCTTCAGTAGAAAACTGATCTATAAGCTGACCTGAAGGTATATTCCAAGTTCTAATACTACAGTCCATAGACGACGTAACTACGATAAAAATATTTTTTAGTTAATGTTTTTTTTTTATTAATTAGTTATTGTTATTCATACTTAACCATCGCGAATCGGGACTAAACGTTGCGTCTGTTAATTGTCCCACATGCCCTACAAATTTTCTCACCACCCTCCATGTTTCGATATCAACAATAACGACGGTAAAATCTTCAAGTGCAACAGCAAGCAGAGAACTGCTTCTGTGTATTCTGAAGTAATTTATTGGTTCCTCTAAATCGACATGGGTAAAATGGGGTGTGCCTTAAAGCATAAGATATAAAAATGACATCAAAAATTTAAAGGTACTTTCAGTTACTTTTGCATTTAAATCTCCAAAATTTTATTAAACCATTACAGTCACCTGTAATAGTTATTTGGTTCAAAGCATCAGTAGCTACTCCCCTTATTGAGACAGGATGAGCTTTATTTTCCCCATATGAATCTCTCCAAAGTCCGGATTGCATGTTGAATCTAAAATTAATTAGAACAGATTAGAGTAAAATGTTTGAAGACCATTTATTTATCTCCAAAAAAATCTATTATAATTTTAGCTTTGTTAAAATCTCTTCTGTGACTGTAAAATGAAAGAAGCGATAGCCTCTAACAGAAAAATAAAAGAGGCTTTTTTAATACAATCTAATGAAAATAAATGTATGGCTCATGCATCTGTAGATGTTAGTAATGTATGGAAATTGATTCTTTGATTTTAAAGAACATAACATAAGTAAAAATAACATACGTAAAAATTAAAAACAAATAAAAAATAATCATACAGAAAGTTTGAAGCTTCTTGTTTTTGCCTTATTAAGTAATTGTTATCAGATAATATTAATTTAAAATATTAATTAATATATTGTAAATACTATAAAGAAAATACCTATTTTATATTATAAAGTTGCTATGCTATTTAGACTCAAAAATCAAGGATCTCTTTACAAATGCAAAAAATGTTTATAGGAAATATTCTCATTTGTGCTCATACATGCCCTTATAAAGAAACATTCCCACACAATGATCCTGTACTATTGCAAACGTTCCTATGTCACATACGCGTGAGAAAGTTCTCTCTAATATGTAAATTACCTGTCTACATGGCCTGTACTATAACCCACAATAACAAAGTTTCCGCAATGTGTTAAACATAAACAGGTGGCTGTCACATCAAGTGTATTTTTGAGATTTTTCTTTTGAAGCCTTTCCGGTATCAATTTCAAATCACCCATTTTTTTCTTGTCATATGACCAAGTAGTTACCATTGGAATTCCTACAAAAATTATTTAATAAAAGAGCAATAAAATTGAATGGAATTTTGTTGTAATACCTAAATGTAAAGCAGCTATGCTATCCCATTCTTTTTCCCTAGTTGTTTCTGATGTAAATTCCATGATTGGGGGCATTTTTAAAGGATCTTCTACTGCTCTTCCTCGTTTTTTACTTATTTTTCTACAATTTAGTTGGTATAGATCAGTAATAGTAATAAATAGAGCTAATTTAATATTTATACCTATTGTAGGAAGCTTTTCCCAAACTTTTATTAAACTGTTCCGTTTGAGTGTTAAAAATTCTAAGAGTTGAATCTCCCGCAGCACTCAAAATATTATGACCATTTCCACCATGAAATCTAGTAATAAGAAATAATACATATAAAACGTACGCAATTTTATAACACCAGCTTTTTTATCTAAAAAAAAACACATACATACCTTATGTGATTAGGAGCAGCTGAATGACCTTCTCTTATCCTTAATAACCTAGCCCCACCATCAGTCATGTCAAATATCCATAGTTTTAAGGTATTATCGGGAGAAGATGTTAAGATTAAAGGCTCACTAGGTAGACAAACCATGCCAGTTACAGCCCCATCATGTGCAGCTGAAAGTTGACTATGCACTTTTCTTTCTTCCAAATCCCAAAAAACTACATGTCCACAGGCACTACCTGAAATTCAGTTTCTTAATCAATTAGCCGTAATATTAAGTTAAATTCATTCACTGACCTGTAGCCATTATGGGATGACCGTCGGATCTAAAAGAAATGCTGGTGACTATCCCCCAGTCTTGAGTAAATTCCATGATTGTTTCATCATATTTCAGATTGTGTAAAATTATCCTTCCGGTAATTAAACCTACAGCCACAACATCCAAAGCTGGTGCTTGTTCTAAACAACTTATACCAGCATTCCATCCTATACATAGAACATACAGATATATTGTTATTTAAACTGTTATTAACACATTATGAAAAGTAACTTTTACCTTTGAAAGTATAAATTAAAACTGATTTGTTCAAATTCCATAACTGCATTTGGCCTTGCTCACTACCAAAGAGTACTTTATTGATGTATGTACTTGGATGTACAACAGAAGATATACTAAATGACTTTTTATCAAATGTGAGTTCAAGATAAATTGACTCAGCTTTTATATCCCAAACTTTGACTCGAGAGCTTTCATCGATTGAAATTAGATGAACTCCAAATGGTATCATTAATTTTATATTGTAGGCATGCCCTCTAAAATAAAATATTCGATACATTTATGAGATCTCATACCACGATATTAAATTAGATAAAAAGTTACCTGTATGTATGCTTTAATTCGGTTCCTCTTCTCCACGCATATATAATGTTATCACATGCAGTATATACATGATAAGCATCGGTAGTTAAGCAAGTAATGTTACCAGGATGTAATCCACTTACACTTAGCAAACCGAAATGAGAAATTCCGTAAGTATGGAAAGACTTTCCTACACATGTAACAATCAAATTTTCTTTCCTACTTTTTATATAGCGGACTCTTAAAGGTATATGATTACTGACATACCCCAGACTTCGGCATGGTAAAAAGGCTTTACTACCAGGAGTCATTTTCATAAACTGTTAAAAATCAAGTAAAAATCTAATACTTTAAATCCATTTGTATTATAAACCTGAGATAGAAACAAACAAGTAACAAGTGTGATTTAAATTTAAATGTATTTGGATTGTGATTATTTTGAGGTTAAAAAACTTAGCGTAGAAAAAAAAGTTAGGTTAAAATCAGTTTAACGTTTATTTGGTTGTCTATATTATAAATGTATATTTACTAAATGAAATTTAAAAGGATTTCGAAAATCTACTGTTAGCAAAGTAACCTTTTTAAAGTGCATAATTCATATTAATGTAATGCAATATTAGCTGTTCATATGTAATACAAGACTAGAAGCTATTTGACTGATTTCTCTGCCCAATCATTCCAACCACCTAAATAGTTTTTTGATCTGAAATTTAAAATAAATAATTGTGAAGGTATATACTGCATAATTTGTTATGTTACTCTTTATATCCCAATTGTAAAGCTAAATTTTGTGCTTTTTCACTTCTTGCTCCTTTCATACAAGAGAAAATTATAGGGCTAGATGTTGTAGGTTTTGGTACTCCATATTTTTTGTGAAAGTCTTTATCAGATGTATCTCTTAAAACTTGTTCGACTTCTCCCACTAAAATGAAATATGGGTACTTTCAAATAATCGAATTACAATATTATTCTTCTTCTTCTTAAACCCTTACAAGGTATATTAATACTTCCTGGTATTACACCATGTTCAATTAATTCTGTTGGTTCTCGGACATCAATTATAAGGACGCCTTTATTAACACTGTTTTGTTTGACTTCTTCAAAAGAAACTGTTTGACCTTTATTAGTAGAAAACCAATGATGTTGTATATATAAAGGGGCGAAATAATTTGGTCCTTAAAATGATATATTTTGCCACAAAATAATGCTAAAAATAACGTAAAGATACTGTACTTACCTTTGGATTTATACTCATTTCTGAACACATAATTCACTCTTAACGTGCTTCTTAAAAAGCTACGTGATAAGAAAACAATTCTACTATTCATATTTTTTTAAAGAAACAAATTATAAAATCAAAATGGAAATATATCAACATAACAACCCCTATATCTTATAAAACCATACATACAGATTTGTTGATTTTGACCTACCAAAAAACACCTACTTTATTAAATATGATTACAAAGAATTTTCTATCTATTTTTTTGTACTGTAATTTAACTTCAAAGAAATTAATTTCGCATATTACTAAGGTATATTACCTGATCCTGATATGTTAGCAGTTACTTATTAATTGAAGTCTCAATAAAAAGTAGTTCAAATGTATCATTGTAAAATTTTGAATTTTGGTTTCTGGTTCCGTTAAATAAAAAAAAAACATTTCTTAAATATGTTTATTTCTGCAAATTAAATTTATAAACTTTATAAAAGAACTCTTCAAATAAATGATAATTATAGGTATTCTCTTTGGTGATAAGAAATCGTATCATACCTATGAATAATACTGGTAATCCATGAAAAAATGGCAAAACAAAAAAAAATAAAAATCCTGTTTTAGAAATATAATTATTTTTAAACCTAAACATGTTTTACAATTCTAATTACTGACTTATAAATTATGTAGAAGATTTTTTCTCCTTGATAGATTCAGATGAATTTTCAGATATGTCAGATTCTATCTCTTGATTACTACAACATTCTGGTGAATCGTTTTCACTGGTATCCATTTTGGCTTTTTTCTTTGGACTACCCTGATTAGAAAATACACTACTAACAGAGTGGAATTCTGTTTCTTCCTCCTCTGAAACTTGCGCCGCAGAGAGTTCTGGTAATATGACACTACTACTTTCTGGAGAACATTCAGTGCATGATAGTATATATGACAGCTTTTCGACTTCCGATTTGGCGACTTCCGTGATGTCATCAAGTATCTTGCGCGCTATCTGATGGTAGCTAGACTAAATACAAACAGTTATTTTTGGCGAAAAGTGCCTTTTAAAGTAGAAAGATTGATAATATGATTAATAATATGTTTATAATACAGTATGATCGAAAAAAAACGGCGTCTAGTTGGCTAGGAAATGACGATCGATGACATTTCCCATATAAAATGACAGCAATCTTCATTTCGTAGCCATCGCTGACGCCGTATTTTTTTCGATCATACGGTATTACGTTGATAACGATTGGACCAAACCATAATGAATAAAAAGACTAAGGAAGGAGCAGTGGCGGCTCGTGAGATATAGAAAGCTGAGGCTACATGAGGAATTTTGTTTAACTATGAACATATTTTCTCACCTATGAAGTATTATTCTGCCACACGTTATCCTTTTTTTTTAATGGCACCAAATCTATTAGGTTTAGTACCAAGATATTTGAAAAGTTCTTATATACCTATTGCCTACCTTGCTTCTTATCGTTAAATATTGCGGAAACGTTGGACTCCTTAATATTTATTTGTCTTTTTTCAGTTTCATTTCATCTTAGAAAAGGAAGGAATAACGTCAGAAAGAATAACGTTATAAATAGGGATTTATTTTAAAGAAAACACTAAAATTCAACTCCTCTTCGGTACTTTAAAATAAGCAAAATAAATCTTACCGGCAAAGAAAGGCCCAACCTTCAAATTTCAACAATATTTGTTGCGTTAAATTTTAAAAACTGCTAAAATTCCACCTTACCCTGTGTGTAATCGAGTTAAAAACACTATCTAATAGCCATCAAATTTAAATTTAGAAACACAAACAATCTAAATAATTCTCGCCCTAAATGTTTAAATAAAAATAAAAACATACGCTAATTAATTCACCCACACCGCCCAGCCACCGGTACTTCCTGAGTCATGCATACGAGACCTAGACTGTCGCATTTTTCAATATTCAATAGTCAGATGATTTAAACTACCAATGAAAAAAATAAAATAGACTCTTTTCGTAGCAATTTCCGCAAGGATTTAAAGAAGATGAGAGATTCTGGTATCTTTTAAATAACCAATCTTTAGCCCACTTTTTTCTATTTTTCTTCTTTTTTAATTTTAGTGTTTCTATCGCTGCCGCCACTGCAAGTAAATCGACGCGTTTCATTTTGTTACCGTTTTACACTAACGTAGTGTGTGTGCAAATACACTTTTAATTAATTCGTTAATTGACGATTAACACTGCTAAAAACAACGAGGTCTGTGGTCGCCTTAAATCTTTGCTGCTAATAGGTAGGCAATTCGAACTTTCCAAGGTAGAATTATTTCGCCTCTGTCGAGTCGCGTCCTTTCTGGTTGGGTTTACGCGGCTTATGTTGCGCCTGGACCTGGATGCATTTAACACACCTGCAAAATCGGTGCCGGTGCCGGTCCTGAAATCGATTGCAATATAAATAAATAAGCTCCTTCACATATACTCCGATCCGGTAAAATAGTCGGGGGCCGGGAAATACAATAGAATTAAATACAACTGTCGGAACGGGTGCAAAGCCGGGACCGACTCCGGCACCGATTTTGCCGGTGTGTGTGCAAGCGCTCTTATTATGTCGTAGAATTGTAGGATTGTAATAAGATTATGATACTTGGATTAAATAAAAAACTAGATACAAAAAAATAAAACGTTCCTTCATTTTAAAGGTGAGGCGCGGCCAAGGACTGTATATATTCTAAAGGACTGTTCGATCGCGTCAAATCGTCGCCGTCGTAGTCGCCGAGGATGCTTACGTCACGCAGGGACCAGGACTCCACAGTGCGGCGGATGGTTATTCTAGCGGGACAAAGTCTCAGGAGCGATGTTTAGGACTTAAAATCTAAGAACGTAGCAAATGATCTAATATATAGCAACCATACGGTTAGACTTGGCCTTGGGGCCAGGCCTTTAACCCAAAATACCATAGGTTTGAGTAAAAGGCAAAGTCCGCGGATATATTTCCGCTATGGTAATTTGAGTGAAACCCCCGGCCTCGAGGCCAAGTCCGAAGGCAGGGCCTTTTCGTGTATGGGCAGCTATTAATTTTTTAAACTCAGTGCCTTTCGATGGAGTTAAGGTTTCAACAATTACAGCAGCATCCTGACTCCCACTAGCCCTAAAGCTCATAGTACTTGCAAAACCCAATTCTTCTTTTGAATGCTCTTCAATTAACCCTTTAACGAGTCTTTGTTTTGTTTTTATACTATCCGACTGAAATGAATCTTTTGGGCATTCACCTGTTAAGCTTGAACTCCCTGTGACTGTGACTACCTGTGTTGGTAACTACTGGTAACTTAAAAGATCTACATCATTCAATATATCGATATTTAAAAAAAAGTGAAAGTTTGATATCTGCAGAACAAAGGTACGAAGGATTTTAACAAATAATATACGTACAGTAGAAAAGTACATACCTTCGGCAATCTTTAACATAATTTGGTTTTGGAATAAAATGTATAAGCATTTGTAAATATTTTGTTTTCGTATGATCTCTGCCTTACTGAGCAGAAAACGACTAAATTTGGTTGATAAAAATGTATCGAAATACAAAGAATATTCATGCATTTTTATATCAATTGGAATGTCTACTATTTATTCTTATCAGTACACATTTTTTGGCTTATTTCTAACCAAACGGTTTTGTCCCGCTAAATTTATGTTCCACCGCACTGTGCGCTCGTCCGTCAAACGCAATAAACTGTCACTGTCTAAAATCTTTAGCGCCAACTTCAACTCGGTCCCTAGATATCCTTATCTCTATAGGATCCTTGAGGCGCGGCCTCAGAGGTCTACCCTGACGAGCCGCCGCCGCCGGCGCCGCTGGGAAGGAGATTGAATAATTGAACTGATTCGTTACAGCTCTGCATTTTTTTTACTTACACATTACAAATTAATCTCGCTAATTTAAATATAGATCCTAGAAAAAAGGTACTTACAGTAATATCATCGGTCGATTCCTCTTCAGGCAGTATGGCACTTTCTGATGGTTGCACAGGTTGCTGATTTGGATCATCCGTGACACTATTTACAGCAGAAGACTCTTCGGGTAAACTGCTCATATCAAATGTTTCTGAAGGTCCAGGATCCACCTCTGCATAATCTGCTGTATTATTTGAAGAAGAATCTTCTGACGAATCCTCAGCATCTTCTGTTTCATCAATTTCCACGGCCACAATTGAAGGATGAACACCTAAATAGAATGAAATAAAGCATTTTATAGTTTCATATGATCAAAAAAAAGCGGCGTCAGCGACGGCTATGAAATGAAGATCGCTGTCATTTTATATGTAAAATTATATGGGGAATGTCTTTGATGTTCATTTTTAAGCCAACTGGACGCGATTTTCTTCGATTATACGGTATTTATACGCAAGTAATATTGAAATGACTAAAGACTTCTCTAGATAATATACAAAACGTAACATCTTTAAAACTGTTGTTATAAACCTGATATCGTAAAATACAGCCGAGAGTTTTGTGTGCTTCCGTTTGTTGTTATTTATGCATATTAATTTTTATTGTTTTTTTGAAGTGAAACTTTTTTACGCGCTATGGGAGTAAAAATTGAAGGCCGTGACACATAAGATGCGTCAGGAAAGGTCTTAGACAAGGAAAGAGAGGGGACAGGTTACACGGCAGCTGAAAGTGAGGCAACTTGTCACCAGGCGAAATTCTCCAATGGCGTAGCATCAGAAATTAGCTTGTACCTAGACGATACAAAATATTTATTAAAACCTTAACTAATATATCGTTTATTTTTGAGTAATGCATATACAATTTTGTATTTTATAGTCTCACCTTTATAATATTAGAATATCTAAATCGATATTGCAAAATTTATTTAACAGTCACAGTGAACTGATCATCAAGACAATTATTTATTTATTAACGTTTGTATAATGTATAATTAAATTGAAAAAAATGTAAATATATATGTTTCAAACGTGTATATACATATATACCGTATGATCGAAAAATAACGGCATCCTGTTTGTTTGGAAACTTTGAATAAGAAGACTAAGGAAGGAGCATAATGCTATCCATATATTCATGCATGGTGGGCGGAAAAAGCACTCTAGAGTGGGGATACTTGACAGTTCTGTTTGACGATTCATTTGACACATTTGAATTTGATTTGAAATTTTGTGGATTTATCAGTCTTTACGGAGCTTATTTTATGTTATTTATTATTTATTCTACTACTGATAGTTGTATAAAGGTAGTAAATCTAGATGGAAATTGTGGCAGAACTTAAATTAACAGTGACACTATCGCGATTTATCGAAAAGACTCTAAAATAGTTGGTTGTGTAGCGTGCGGTAGATCTCGGCAAAAATTGAGTGAAATAATGGAACAACTTTTCGCTAGTAAGTGACTATATAATATACATACGTGTAGTAAACCGATCATTTATGAAATTCACTTAAATTAACTAAATTATATATTTTTCTTGCATTTTAGCTTTTTTATTACTTGTGAAAGATTAGATGTCAAAGAATTTAGATACGTTAATTTGACTTACCTGCTTCAGTAGCGTATCGGATGTTTGTGTTAATAAATACTTATTATAACTTATCTATTTTTATTAGAATTATATATTTTTATAACAATTTCAATAACTACCAACATTTATTCACAACGTAAAATAAAAAACAAATTATTGAGTCTACCCTACATCATAGTTTTACATTTTTTAAATAAAATTAGAACGACACTGATAAACCAGAATTTAAGTCGGCCATATTTGAGGCCCATCGCGGTGTACCTAAGATTTTTGATATGCTCCTTCCTTAGTCTTCTTATTCAAAGTTTGGAAATGACGATCGATGACATTCTCCATATAATTCTACATATAAAATGACATAAAAACTATATAAAATGACATCGAAAAAAGACTCAGAGGAATGTCATCGACAGTCATTTACAAGCCAACTGGACGCCGTTTTTTTTTCGATCATACGGTATAATAACGAATCTCGCCAATCCCCTTCACACTTGCCTACGGATTCAATGAATAATGTAGGTAGCTTTTAATATTTGTTACCTTCAATCATAAGAATATCCTAATTTTCCGCAAAAAAATAAACAATTCTAGAAGCTTTGTGTTATTTTATTTATTTATTTTTAAATTTTTATTAATTACTCACTGAAACTATTATTATACACCTAAATTAAACAAATTTTTTGAAAGGATATTTGAAAAATATAGCAACAAGTAACCCACCACAAGTTTGCCCACCCCCAGCAAATCTTGGCAGGTAAATTTTAGTTATATTTAACAACTATACGTATAGATTTTTTATAACAAAATTGACAATTACTATTTTACATATTTGATAACAATACTTTATACATTTTTTACATGTAAAATATAAAAAAATGTTCATTGCATAAATTGTATTTCTCTGATTATAATTTCCTACGCCACTGGAGAAATCCGTTCTGAGTAGCATTATTTATAGTTTCAAACATTAATTATAATATAGGATATTGAGAATACTACTCGTACTTGTAATTAATAAAAATAGTTTGCTTTGGATGTGGTACAAGACATATTAAAAGCATTTTACATACATAAATTACAATACATACATACGCTAAACTAGACAACACTAAAAGCATTGAACTCCCGCGGCTGAAAACGAAAACTGAAAAATATAACAGCACTTTTTATTTCGAACCATATCTAAATTGCCCTATTATATTTTTGTTTTTGAAATAATATAAAATAGTAAAATATAATAGAATTGTCTAATTACTAATTATAAATTGCGAATTTTAATATTTTCACTAACAATCACTGACAATAATTAACTTTTTGTTACCAAGATGACATTTTAGATGGCAACTCAAATGACATAATACCCTGCATATACCAATATGTCATAATATTTTAATTAACCTAACCAATTAAATGTGTATGTAACATATTTTAAATTCATTTTTGCTTCCGACGACGCGCGACGGAAAGAGGTAAGCTTTCCGAAACGTTAAACAATTTTTTTTTTGTTCGTAAGGCAAATTTGTATATCTATAAACCTAACTTCTGACAAGTAGTTTCCGTTTGGATTAACGCAGAAGTGTTTATAAAAAAAAAGTTGGTCAAGTGCGAGTCGGATTTGCGCACGAAGGGTTCCGTACCATTCATTATCTATACAACATTAGACATTATATTATTATAATTTTTTTTCCGATTTAGCTGAAATTTTTAATGCTCGTATAAGTAATTTAAAAAAAAATGAAGAAACACATTATTAAAAATTGTATTAATCAATAATAAATATGTAAAAAGTAAAAATAAATATGCAAAAATTTGTAAAAATTAAAAAAAAAACGATTAAAAAAGTCGCCTTGACTAGGATTCGAACCTGCCTTATTACTACGGCTCCAACGTCATAGCAGCATAAAGTCCTAACGCTTTAACCACGCGGCCACCCAGGACTTGAAAGATTCTATGTAATTTAATTTTTACTTAAAAGATAATGTTTAGTGAAAGTACTTTTTTATTTATAAACATTTAATTCTGTTTTTAGTATTTGTTCTTATAGCGGCAACATAGATACATTATCTCTCAAAATTTCAACTGTCTAGCTATAACGGTTCATAAGATAGACCTTTGTGACAGACGGACGGACGGACAGCCAAGTCTTAGTAATAGGGTTCCCGTTTTTACCCTTTGGGTACGGAACCCTAAAAAGATTCGGTATGTTTCATAACCGAAATTTTTCATTTCCGCATTCGAAAAATAAAACATTAAAAGTTCTAAAGGGGGATGTTTTGTGGTGGGATATAAGGACCTACAGAATCTGTAACATTATTCATTCAACTTGAGTTGGTCTGCTTACCTAATCCATCACCCTGGCAATAAAAGTGAGGTTCGTCAACAGTATTTATCAATGGGTCTCTAGAAACTTCATCAGGATTAACTTGCGATCCAAAAATTTGTAATAACCACGGCGGAAACCTATTAGTATTTGTTTCTACAGAAACTTAAATATATTTATATTAGTTAATAACAGGAAATATATAGTAAAGCTTCATTCAGAACCTCGCAATTAGTGGAATAAATTAGTGGTTTGAATTAACGTAGAAGTTTGTTCTTTTAATTTCAATGTAATCATTCAGAATGTCAAAATTAGTGGTAGACATTTTCAATTAATAGAAAAAGTTAACAAACTTTTGACTTTTCCACTAATTATACTTTAAAATTTGCGAGGAAATTGTGTTAGAAATTAGAAGTGTATTATATTATAAGTTAAATATTAGGATTTCTCTATGGATACAACTGACTAACGCAAGCTGTTGCTAGCATTTTCTATTAATTTTAATTGCGTTTTTCAAAACATTGTGAATGATCGTAAACTAAAAAGATATTTTATACTTTTTAGTTTCACTAAAACGAAACCACTAATTTATTTCACTAATAATTGCGAGGTTCTGGATGAAGCTTAATAATTTCCAATTACCTTGACCATTATCTTCGTTCTGCGATAAATCTTCTAAGGAAAGAGGCTGAAAACCAAGTAGAACAACATTATTTCCGAAATTTACTGTCTCAAAAATGGGAGTTTCATTAGGCAGAGGAGGGATGTCCAAATCGTCAAGCATGTCTGGTTCAGAATTGACATCGTACAACGCCTCCCTACTGGCCATAGCCAGCACTTCTGGACGCTAAAATTGGTTCTTTAAAAGAGCAATCTCAATTGAATTTTGTCAATAAAAAAGAAACTAAGTAAGGGCAACTCACTTCTGGTTCATCTATGTTTTCAAATATTTCAAGTTCAGCTGGGGCCTCTCTTTGAATATTCGGTGGTTCTATGTTAGCTCTTAATAACACATCATTATTATTATGCTGCATGTTTAAATTATCTTCTAATAACGGAACGATATCTTCTAAATTGTCGTTTAGCAGATCTATTCCTTCATCAATATCTATATCTTGTATAATTGCAGGAAAATTGTTCCCTGTATAACAAATAAGAATTTGTATACCGGGTCGTAAGAATTTGTATACCGCCGTGTATATCGTCGTTGGAAACATAGAAAATCCCGTGCAAAGTCTGAACTGTCCAAATATTGGTGGCACCCCTATTTATTTTATAGCTAAAGCTTGATTTTCATGCGTCCGTTATCCGTTGATACGATGGTCCGACGGTGCTCTGATTGATTATAGCGTTTTCGCGCCACTTTTCATCCGCAAATTTTTTTACTCCGGCCCGTCAACGGAGAAAGACCGTATGATAACGGACGTTTTGACACTTTTTTTGACAAATTTAATCTAATCTTAATAAAAATACAATAGTAAAAGAGAAGTTTTCAGAAGATAATTTTAAGAAAGCTGGTTACTTAATCTTTTGCTATGCTTGGTTATTTAATCTTTTGCTTTTGCAAGTGCGGGCCGTCTGGCTGCCGGTAGACTACTGTGGTTCACTACTGCGCATCACATCTGTACAGGGTATCCCATTTTTGTGTGTTTTATGGGATATCTTGTTACTTTACAAGAGATACAATGATGCGATTTTTACATTACTTTGTTACTTTTTTATGAAACTAAATATGTTACACATAGGTTTGTCCTAGCCTCCTTAGTTCCTGAAATACAAGGCGAAATTTTGATGCGTAGTAGTAAACAGAAGTTGAATACAAATATAATGCGCAGTGGTGAACGCAACGTCTACCGGCAGCCAAACGGACTGCACTCTGTTCAGGAGAGCATAACAAAAGATATATTGAAGAATCAGCTTTCTTAAAATTCTCTCTCGAAAACATTGCTAGCTGTTAGACTATAAGTAAAACAGCGAAATCGTTATGGAAATGAAAATATAAAATGACACCAATCACAAGCAAATCGTATATCCGATGAACGGAGGAATTAAATAAATTGAAAAAACTGCGTAATTTTCTAACCAATCGAAGTCTTTAAATTCAACGAATAAAATTAATATCGTATCATCATATCGTCGGCCAACAGATGCACATGAAAATCAAGCTTAAGCCGGAAATAGGTTTTGTAAAGGTCTGCCTATGCTGAATACACATGCCAAATTTGAACAATTTTAGACAAGCCGATTTTAAGTAATTTAAGAAAAACTTGATCTATTTTTGCGGCGAGCATTTATTTATTTACCTGTACAGCATTAATTATACCGAGTGGTGCATAGTTGCTGGAAACATAGAAAATCGCATGCAAATTTTGAACTGTTCAAATATTGGCTCCCCTGTTGATTTGACAGCGAAGTTGTAAATGGGGGTTGTAAAGGTCTACTTATGCTGAATAAACATGCCAAATTTAAACAATTTTCAACAAGCTGATTTTAACTAATTTAAAAAAAAACTGCATCTATTTATAATTTAAAACTGAACAAGTAACAATTCAAAACCAGAGAAATGTCAACATACCTTAAGTTGTCAACCAATGATTTGATCATTGTCAAATGTAATTTGTTGTGTTGTGTGCACTATAGTCTGTCCAACGACAAGATCCTTAACAGCGATAGATGTGTCTGTCATTTTAATTTCATAGTAGTTTATTTTATTTTACAAAGAAATAAGTTGGTACAACTGGAACGCATAGCAGGAAATTAATATATTTAAAATTTGACTGACAAGTGATTACTTCAAAATATTTTGAAAACAAACTGTATAAAACTGAAAAAATGTAATCGAGTTATTTTATTAAAAAAACGGTATGTGTTAATACAAAACAAACAAGAAAACACCACATACCAAAAAAATATAAAAAAAGAACTATTTCTTACTTTCAAGCTTTAAGAAACTTCCTGATATTTATCAATATAACTTATACACAAATACAAATTTGTAATATTCCGCAGGAATAAATAAAACAACATAAATAAAACAAACTATTTTATTAAAATACCACTTACCAAATTTTATACCTTAAAGGTTGATAATTAACTTTAATCTTAATTTTTTTTTAAACTAGTACCAGGCCCTGCGCACTCTCCGCGAAACGTCAAACCACGAAATTAGTACGACTTCAAGACACCGTGCGCTAGTGTCGCCTGGTGGGGGAAAGCGACAGCCAATAAGAATTTTTCTGTTTTATGATTGGTACCTGCTCAAAAGACGGGCGACCGGCTGAATTTTAAAATTTTTCAGTCTATCCCCGGCGTTCTTTGGGTTTGTTCGTGGTTCGATCTAAATTTTTGTAATTGTTATGAAGTGTTATTGTGTTGACTTTTTAAAAATGGTGTTATATTGCTGTGTGTTGGGCTATAAATCCTCTAGTAGATCGTCGATTTTGCATAGTATGCCAATGGATAAAGAGGTAAGTGTACTTATGTTTTTGACCCGTTGAAAAATTCGTATATGTAGTATTTTTTTAGGGTTATGCAAATCCAGGAGATCCTCTAAAACTTGCATTTGAAGTATTTAAAAAAAATAAAGTAAAACATAAAAGCCTTAAATAAAATTAAGCAAGTCCCTTTATAAAGTTTAATGTTTTTATTGCTTTTGTTGATAAATATTGTTATATTATAATGTAAAATGTCTGTATAATGTGTATGTATATAACGTAAGGTACTAATCTATATAAAAAATTATTTTTTATTCAAATGTTGAATGGATAATATTATAGTATTATTTGATGATTTTTAATAAAAATTTTGTGTTCCATATTGGGGTTTTTTGTATTATTGTTCCGTATCAGTCTTATTAGAAATATTATAAAAATATTGCTTTTTTCTAAACGTGAAAGAATTAATACTGTTTTTTTAGTTTTCTGTAAAATAAAAGTTATATTTTACAGAAAACTAAAAAAAAACAGTATTAATTCTTTCACCTTGGTAAAAAAGCAATAATGCAATTCAATTTTAAATTCCCAGCACCTGGCGGGAAAAATGAAGATTTAGTACGTCTTCAAGTCACCGAGCGCTGTAAAACGCGTTCTCGATAAATGACGAGAGTTGCCAATATAAATGTTGTTGGTCTGTGACTAGTACCTTTTGACATTATTTTTCTGCAGTACTAAAATCCATTATTTAACTATCGTGTGATGTCGATATTTTACAGCTACTCCAGTAGTATATGTATGTTTAGTACGATCCTTGTAGTAACTACGAGATGGACTTATCTATGACGAGATGGTATACAAACTTTATTGATGGTAACTTTATTGGTGTATGAGACTTTCTGCCGGGGCAGCGACTATTAACTATAAACTGTGCTCTGGGTCTACAGTTAATTTTCCATTGATTTTTCCTCCATTTGACTTCAAAAGACACAAAACACACGTAATAACACGAATTAAAATGAATCATCTTCCAAAACGCAGATATTTGACATAAGCTGACACAAAATTATAACCTATAATTGAGAGACATTGACAAGCTTCAAAACTCTAAAGGCGAGTTCATCACAAACGCATCGGCGTCCGTTTGTCGTTGATCGTTCCGTTAAACCAATAAAATTAAAATATAATCTGTCATTTTTGAAATAAACCAATAAAACTGATTAAAAACAACAAGAGACGACGCATGACGGATTTATATTTAAACCCATCCATAGTTAACTTAAAAAATATTAGAAACTTTTTTTAGTAAAATAAATAGATTGGTATGGGACGTCATCTGCTTTTTTTCTGTCATCGTCTGTCAAAACCTTACCTGAGAAAAAAAAACAGAGTATACTACCTTACAGTTAGTGTCCCCGAAGCATCATGTAATAAAAACTTTTTCAAATTCGGCAAAAGCCCTACCGCGTAGAAAATACAATTTGACATTCACAAAATCACAGGTTGACAACTTAAGGTATGTTGGTATTTGCCTGGTTTTGCATTGTTACTAGTTCAGTTATCAGCTTGTTCAAAATTGTTCAAATTAGGCATGTCTATTCAGCATAAGTAGACCTTTAAAAAACCTATTTACAACTTCGCTGTAAAATCAACAGGGGAGCCAGTATTTGAACAGTTCAAAATTTCTATGCAATTTCCTATATTTTCAGCGAGATTGCACCACTTGGTAGAGTCACTATGCCCGCCGCCTGCGCTGGTCGGTCACGTTATAGTATAAAACTCTCATATAAAAAGCGGAACGTAAAACAGGTATTTGGAACTGCTCCAGGAACGGATCAGGAATGTAACAGGACTGTTATTGAAAAATAATGGTTTTTACCATCTCTAATGCCAGTATGAGGCCAATAACTTTTTAGACTACTCTCGTATTTAGAGAAAAACGGTACCTTCATTATCTCTATTATTGTTTGCCAAATCACTATTCTCCACAACAGGCGCAACTTCACCAACTTCGTGAGGAACTGCTTCCAAATTTTCAGGGATAAGTAATGCTTCTACATCTTGTATTAAGTTTTGTTCAATGTTCTAAGAAAAAATCGAATTTAGGCATAATAATAAACAAAAATATGCAACCGAAATTTACTAAATCTTTTATGAGTTCTGATTTGGGGCTCTCCTCCTGCACTTCAATTTTATTCAGGCTGTTTTGTATTATGCAGTTTGTAATACTTTTGGCGTCATCCAAATGTGTAGGTTCACAATCTTTCTTAAGGGGGCTTTTCTACAGAAAATATAGATTAAAAATAACGTTTAAAGAATCTAAATTATGAAAATATAGGATTATAACTTTGAATAAAAAAATAAGGAAGGAGCGTATCAAAAATCTTAGATCGAATGTGACGGGGTCCTAGAAATGACTAAATTCCGGTTTATCACTGCCGTTGTAATTTTATTCAAAACGTGTAAAAATATAATGTAGGGTAGGCATGGGGTAGACTCAATAATTTGTTTTATTTTACGTTGTCAATAAATGTTGGTAGGTATTAAAATTGTAAAAATATATAATTCTAATAAAAATACATTATAATAATTATTTGTTAACACAAACATCCGATACGGTACTGAATCAGGTAAATCAACATCTTTCAAGTTCTTTAACATCTAATCCAGGCCCTAGACACTCAATGGTAATTTTATAGAACTACAAATTTAGTTTCTTCCGCATCGCCAGACATTAAAGTACAGGTTTCTGATTTATGTATGAAGATGACGTGACAGTCTCTATGTTGACTATCGTCACTACCGTCTATGATCTAGTTTTGGTTTGGTTTTGGTCTAGTTGAAAAAATGTGGGTGATCCGTCAAGTTATTTTTAAATCATTATTTAAATAATTATTATTAATTCGGATATTCCTGATTTGTCGGAAAGTTTTGTGAAGAAAGGTGATTTAGTGATTTGTGTTTATAGTTTGTGTTATTATTAGTTTGTGCATTCTGATATTTATAGTTGATCACTATTTCGCTATATAACCAGAAGACCTCGATATGAGTTTCTCCGACTGATCCTTAACGGAAAAATCGAAGGAAAGAAGTGGATTGGACGCAAGAGGCTTTCGTGGTTGAGAAACTTGCGGCAATGGACAGGCTTGAGGGCGGATGAATTACTCCATGTAGCCCAAGATCGAGAACGATACAGAGATATTGTTAACATGGCAGTCGTCAACGTTCACTAGGAACATGACACTTGAAGAAGAAGATCATTTTGGTGTTAGATACTAAACTTTTTTTATTAAAGTGATTTTGACATTTTAGAAATGATAAATTTATGAACCAAATAAAAAAATAGTTTAATCATAAATACGTAAGTACATAGTTGGTAATATATAGTATTTTTATTAACAGTTAATTAGTAGTCTATAATATTTTTACTATATATTATAATTAATTTGTTAAATCAAAAAAATGGGCGCTATGTGCTTCATTGTTGGTGTTTAAAATGTATGTATTCATAATTTTAATTTCGTTTTGACTATGTTACATTTCTAATAATGTAATAAAACATAAAATGTAGTAAAAGAGTCTATATTTATTATTTTATATTTTACGAGGAATAATTTTGCGCCTGAATAATGTTACCGTGTTAGTTGGCGTTAATAAGTAACGGAATGTTAAAATTACGTTATGCCAAAACTCTTCATTAGTTTCTTCCGGATCACCACGTGGCTCTACATGACGGACCTATTTGTTTTATATCAGTGTCCAATCTATATCTAGTATATGACATTAGTCTATGATATAATCTTTGACAAGTAGTAAATAAAGGCAAAAATGCAAGAAAAAATATATAATTAGTTAATTTGAAGTGAATTTCATAAATGATCGGTTTATGTATTTTTTACGTATTTTACGTAATTTTATATAACGTATATTAAAATACGTAAAAAAAGTATTTTACGTATGTATATTATATTATTATATAGTCACTTACTAGTGGAAAGTTATTCCATTATTTCTCACAATTTTTGCCCGAGATCTGCCGCACGCGACACAACCAACTATTTTACAGTCTTTTTCGATAAATTGCAATAGTGACACTGTTAATTTAAGTTTCTGCCGCAATTTCCTTCTAGATTTACTACCTTTAAACAACTATCACTGGTGGAATAAATAATAAATAACATAAAATCAGATCAGTAAAGACTGACAAATCCACAAATTTTCAAATCAAATTCAAATGTGTCAAATGAATCGTCAAACAAAACTGTCAAAGATCCCCACCCTAGAACCCTTTCTCCGTCTACCGTGCATGAATACATGGATAGCACTATACTCCTTCCTTAATCTTTTTATTCAAAGGATTATAACGAAATACCTTATTTTGTTGGTCTTTGTTCTTAAAATTCAGACTTTTTTTCCAACCAGAAGGTCCTGCTATAGGATCTTTTACAAGCGAATTTTTAACAGAATTGTCTTTGGTAGCAAGCTTCTTAAGTTCTTGTTGCCTCACCTGATTGTTCATGTTTTTTGAACCACTCACATATCTGTATTTGTCCAACTCATTCACTCGGTTTGGGTCAATTTTCGCTCTTAAAATTAGAAGAGTTAAGTTTTACTTTAAGTGTTAAACCAATGTAACTACATTTAATGATATTATTTATCATATTTTTAAGAGGACACCTTAATGTAAAATTGATGGAATAGACATTAATTAAAAGTGTTTAATCAATTTTAATTTTTTTAAAATGTTTAATAACATACGGTCTTGAATAATGATTCAAATTATCTTACTTTTTATAGTTTAAGCTAGAATATTTCTAAAGCCAACATATTTAAGAAAAAAGATAGAAAAATATAATTTTCTTACAAATAATGTATGTATTTTAATTTAAATTCTAATGGTTATAACGTGTATCAAAAGAATATAAATCTAAATATTATGGGGCAAAAATATAAAACTTATTTAAAAAACGATTCTTCTATCTGAAGAAAAGCTGGCGAATAAAAAATACTGAATACCAATAAATTATATTATTTTATGTTATTTATTTAAGAGTTTTATTTCCAAAATTGAAAGCTAACATAACTAAATCCTTCTAGCATGTTGTTTATTGTATAAAAATTTGTTTATAAATTATTATTGTTTATGAATTTGCACGGGCACAGAGATAATGGCAGGGATTGGAGTAGGTAAGTACTAATACAGCAACCAGAAATACCGCATAGGCAAGAACACGACACTTTTGGAAGCTGGAACCTCGGTTACAAAATCGCGATATTTTGTCGCGGTATTTCTCTGGAACGGTCGCTATTGTATTGTAACGCGACTCATGTGGAACCGGTATTCCCATCAGTATAGGATACATTTAAAAAAAAAAACAAAGAAAAATTATTTTATATTTTTGAAAGTTTAGCGTAGAATTTTGAGCACCCTGTATGATTTGCGATTCAGATATTTTTAGCAAAGTACGTACAGACCATCTGAAGTAAATACCTAATACAGTTTTGATTTGCAGACAGTTCTCGTAATTTTAATAATTCTTTTAAAAAGGACCGAAACAAATATTTTTTTTTAATTTATTTATTAATATCCCCGAAACTATTAAAACATATTTAAAAACATCTTAGGATTATGTAAAGTGATCAGAATGGAAGCTAAAAATGCAATAATATACAGAGTGTTCCATTTAAAAAAATCATCCCAATCCACTCACACTTTTTTTAGTCACTCTGTAGAAGTTAAATTATTTTCCTGAAATACCTCCTAATACATACTTTAGGTCTTTAGGTTTGCCTTAAACAAAATTCCTAAGTTTTTCAGCTGTCAAATTTGACAGCTCAATTTTTTTTCTTTCATTTTAGCCCATGGCCATCCTATATATCGATTTAGAGGCTTATAAAAATATAAATATTTGTGTAGGTTAATTATTTGTTTTAGTGTCATTTAAAATTGTGAACCTGTTAATAATTATTATTAACGCGTATGTAAGTAATAATATTATTTATAAATACCAACGCTTGCTGTTATGAAAAGCAAATATTTGAATTGTGAAAATGTATATTTTTGAAGATGCGTGTCACCAAAAAGGAAGATAGCATGGTTATCTATATATAGATCCAGGCTATAGATCCAGCAGATAAGGGTAAGCCTTAAATAAATGCAAATATTTTTAGGGGTAGTATATTTCGACACCAGAAACAATTTTATGAAGTTTTTTCACGAGAAAAACATTTCGCAAATTTGGAATTTTTTGAGAAAAATGTTGGACATTTTTTAAATTTTTATTTAAAAATAATATGGTTATATGGCAGCATCCAAGTATACTTCCAGTCCTGGGTGATATTAAGGGTGAGTCTTAAATGAGTGTAAATATTTTTTAGGGGTGGTATATTTCGACCCCAGAAACAATTTCATTAGATTTTTCCACGAGAAAAACATTTCGCAAATTTGGAAATTTTTGAGAAAAATGTTGGATATTTTTTAAATTTTTATTTAAAAATAATAATATCTTCATAATATGTAGTAGATTAAATTTACAAAAAAGAAACCCCAGAAAAGATGCAGCGGTTCTCAAAATGTAAGCGAAAAATCGTAAGAGTAAGTAAAATAAAAAAACGGTTATTTTGGATTTATTTAAAAAACGACAAAGAGAAAATATGTTTCTTTTATCGAGATCTTCCAGCTCTGAAAATATTTACACTTATTTAAGACTCACCCTGTATAGTAGATATTAATATTCGTAGAGCATCCTGTCGCTATATGTATAGTTGATAGCAAAATATGCGTTTTAAATTCAGTGGTTTCAATTGATCCTGACCTAAACCACCAATGTAGACAATGGATAGCCAACTAATAGCTTAAATAGATTTAGTAATATTGAATATTTCAATTTTCGAACTAATTTCAAGTGATTATTTGCGCAATATATCAGTTTTAATAAATCTCTATATTACGTACATATTGTAACACTGTCAAATATAGGTAGCCAAGCAATAATATGTAACAACAAATTAATATAAATATTATAAGCTATAATCATTACTAATTTTATCCCTTAAATTTAGTATGTCATACAAAATTCTAATATAAAATAAAATTTATGTTAGGAGCTCCAACAGATGCCCGACGCACTATTGCCGAACCCTGTATTTCAATAATTTATTTAAGTGATATTTTAGTTAATATATTTGATATCAATTAAACTTTTAGTTAAGTAATCAAGGGCGCCATTTTTAAATTCATTGTTGCCAACCATGAACATATTTGGCGCCGGGCTAACTGGAATTTAAATTTCGCTTTTATTTATTTATTTCCTGACATTGTCATTCGTTTTGACACTTTAGTTTTGTATTAAGAGTTTTTGGTTTAAATAAATAGTGTTCTGATACTTTAAGCTTAAAAATGTTTACTAGCAGACCTTGCAGTCTAAAGCCTAGCTCATGCACTTGCGAATTACGATTTACGAATTGCGAAATGCGTTCTGATTGGTCGCCTTCAAGAAAGACCTTGAAAGCGACCAATTACAAGACAAACAGAACGCATTTCGCAATTCGCCAGTGCATGAGCTAGGCTTAACATTGTTCTTTTTAGAACCCCTTTTAGTGCGAAGTGTACAAGATTAATAGCTTAATAGCCGTAAAAAACTCATCGCAACTTTATTAGAATATTTAGAACGGGAAAGCGGTAGTAATGGCCCTCTATGTCCCTTAAGTGCTGTAAGGTGAGTTTTGTTGATGTAAATAATAACTGTTTGTATATTTATAATTAATTTACTTTTGTACCTAAATATTTTGATTAAAAGACAATATGTAAGTGGGCAAAGCTGTGCTGGTCAAGCTTAATCACGTGACTAACATTTTAATTAATTTTAATAATATGCTCATTTGATATGAACTATTATATATACGTACCTATTTGACTCCACAGTTGGTGAAACAACTAGTTTATCTCTCTGAACGTTTTTCTTCATATGAACTTTATTATCTTTACTTAGTAAACTAGGAGTAGGAGTTAAGTCTTCAAATTTATCTGTTTCAAGTGCTTCCTGATCATCCTGAGGTGACAATTGGAGCAATTTTGCAGTTGTTTCTAAAGGAGAGGGAGAATTAAGATATCCCGAGTCAAATAATGGATCAGGTTTGGATTTGGGGACTTCAGTGTTGTTGATGTCTATAAATAATGGAGCTTAAAGACAGAACAACAAAAATATAATGAAATAGACACCTTGTTTAGTTGTTTTACTTTCCTTAACTGAACTGCTATCATCCCAGTCTATGAAAGGTATTATGTTGTTCTCAAATTTTAAATTATCAGTTGTTTCGCTAGAAGAATTTAATATATATATTTGGTTATGCTCAATAATATTACCTTTTTGCTACATTAGTTACCTTTTTGCACTATATTCCTCAGTAACATCTGAACTGCTTGAAATTTCCTCCATTTCTCGAGGTACTGTTACGATGCAGTTTTCACTTAAACCTGTCTCTTGAATTATGCATTGTTCTAATATGTAATGAGATTCTTTTAGTAAAGTGCTAGAAGAAGAGTTGAAAAAGCATATTAATTGATGTGGTTTTCTTGAACTAGGTAATGAATGATATTTTTAATTTTAACTAAAAATTTAGAGTTTTATAATTAGAATTATGTCATGATTATGACAAAGTCACAGTTCTATGTTGACACTAATAAAGGTAATTACAATAATACAGGGTGTCCCAATATTCCGTGGACATAGAACTTACTACGTATTTTTGGAATCAAAATAAGTTCGTTTAACACAATTTACCTCTATAAAGAAGTGCCTCGTTTGTCCGTTAGAGGGCATCATACGTCTCAAATGGACAAACAAAGTACTTTTGTATAAAGGTTATGTGCAATTATTATTTTAAATTTTTTTTCAAAAATACATAGTAGTTCAATGTCCACATAATATTGGGACACCCTGTATGTTCAATTCTATATAAGTTTTACCTTATTTCTTTTTCTGTTACATGAATATCTCCATACATGATATCTATGACAGGAATTTCACATCTCAGTCTTTCCTCTACATAAAATCTAGTGTTAATAAAACTGAATGCCTGTATTCGATACTTGAGAGTATCAAGCAGTCTCTCTTGTTCAGATCTAGTGTCTATTTCATATGGATAGTTAATGATTTCTATACATTTATAAAATATGTTTCTTGAAGGATTAACTTCATGGTTATTTTCACTGTTTTCATTATACATGAAATAATTTTCAGAATCTAAATCTCTGTGATTATATCTACGTCCCAGTTCTGTTGTATTTGAAGTTTTAGTGAACAATTTAGAATGGGTACAGTAAGTACAAATTCCAATACTAAAGTCAGGAACACACAATTTACATACACAGTGGCATAGACACTTTGGATCATTACCACTGTCTTTACAAGGACTGTTTATATCACAAAGGCAAGTATTGAGATCTACAGATGGCACAAATTGTTCATCTAGTAAGTCTTTTCTAATGAATAAAGCCATTTGGGAGCAACACCCAACAGTATTTTCATAATTGGAATATTTTCCTATGCCATGAAATTCAACTTTGTATTGAGGAAATCTTGTTACAATATTTTCAGACCTAAAACATATTACAGTATGCCATCAAAAATTGACATACAATAAGGCAATAACTTACCAGTCTTCAAATTGTTTACGAGTCCATTCATACTTATGATCAGGGTGACGAAATATATTTGACTTATTAAACACTACATTAAATTCTACATTAGGAGTGGTAATTATTACTAATTTAGGATTAATACTGGAGAAAATGTTATAGGAAAAGGCATCTAGTGTATCTGGATATAGATGTTCTATTCTAAAATTGTTGATAAACTAATTAATTGTTTTCGTTAAACATTTTAACAATTTACTTACAATTCAATAGCAGTTACCACATCAGTGTTTAAGAGTCTATAATCAGGATCACTTACACTGCCCAGACACACAGATATTGCTAAAGAACTAGTACGTCTCTTTAACTGATCTCCTATAAGTGGCTGTATGCGATACATTTTCTCCTCTAACAAGTTTTCGTCTATATCCACAAACACAATCTCGTTCAAGTTTAAATGTTTTAAAAACTGAAACAGACCAAACTCGGCACAACCAAAATCGGCAAGTTTGCATATCTTATTTCTCCACCTCGGGTCTATTAAAATTTCGTAGACTCTTTCGTATCTTTGTCTATAAACCGGAGGGTCAAATTTTATGAGATTCTCGAGATCTACCTCATCGTCACAGATTTCACTGTCATCACTGTCGACCGATTTTAAGCGTTGTCGATTTTTTAGTATTTGGTATACTAAAATAACAAAATAATGAAAAATAATTAACATTTTGTTTAATGGACAATATAATAAATTTATTAGCGCAGAACTTTGGGTTATGTTTTGATGTTAAAGTCAAAATAAACAAAATTAGCGGTCTGTCAATTGCTGTCAAACGGGCTGCCAAAGAGGAAAAAAATACAAGGATAAACTTAATCGAATCGTAAAAACTGAAAATAACACAGCATCATATATAATCTGTGATCATATACACTCTCTGTCAGTGTCAGTACTTTGGTGTTGTCATCGTTGTCATGTCGTGTTGGTGAAGCTGTCGCTGTTCGTTGTCACTGTCAGTGCGTTGTCAACCATTATGGCGTATGTATAAGTTTTGTGTTTTCTTCGGCGGGGTTTTGTATCGTATTTTTTGTGAAAATCGTGTGTTTTTATGCCAAGGATTCGGCAGACAGTTATTCATTTATTCAGGTAATTATGCAGCTGTTTTTTATAGTTGATTTATTTTTGTGTAATATTAAATTAAAATGGGCGAGATAAATTAAAGCTAAACATTTGATTTAGTTTTCATAGTCTATATTGAAAATGAATAAAACAACGGACAGATTGAAATTGTAATATATTTAAACCAATTTAAAGTATTTTTAATTCAATGTGTGTCTATTGTCTATTAGAACTGATGGTGATTTAGGAAACTGGCATAATTAGTGACATCAAAATACTAACAAACACACGTTATTAAAATTATTGGTTCATTTTTTCCTGTCATGTAAAGTATTTTTATTAATGATAGAAATTGGTTACTAATGTAATTTAAAATATGTGATATACCTACCAATAAAAATTATAGAATGGTGTTTATTAGGGTTTTGAATAATTGTTAATAGTAGGTTTTGTCATAATATCTATTGAAACATTTTGTATTGGCATGTAGGTATTTTGAAAAATTATATAAAAAACGTAAAACATATTTATCCACGTATTGTAGGTACATTAAGTACATTAGTTCTTTATCTGATTTTAATCTTTATTAACTATACAGGTACATTTTTTTAGGTACATTACAACTTTTCTTAGTTACATTTTACCAATAAAAAAATGCTTATGTCTTCAGAACCTCGTTAAAGGGTACATTTTATCTGTGCTTTTATTTACTATGTTATTTGGGAACCAAGAATGTTTAGAGACTTGTTTTCAACTTACTAGTTAGTACATTCTGAAACAGCGTTATAATTTATAATGTTTCGTAAATGTTTACCTATTTCTTGGTGAACCTTTTGTAGAGTACACTATCTAGAGTACTAGAGATCTCAGCGAGCGCCTTTTTCATAAAATTTAAAGACTAGGCCTGATTTCCAAATCAAAAGAGTTGTTTTGTTAAAAATGTAATTTATATATGTTCTTGGAAGTAGTTACTGTTTCTAGATATCAAAATAATGCAGATAGGTACATACATTTAAGTGATTTAGTTAAACATAATCAATAAATACCCTATTTCCTCATTCATTGGAAAGAGATACTAATTTTAGAGATAGTAATAATTCTATTTCCGAATTGCTTCCTGATGAATGGTCGATACGAATTATCTACATTCGCGATTTTAGCAGGTAGCATGTTCTTGTAATATTCTAATACAGGGTGTCACAGAAATAAGTGCAAGTATTTTAACTGGTAGTATAGTTCAGCCCTAGAAACAGGCGAACTAGAAACTAGAAACTTGAAAATTCGAAATTTTTTGAACATATTTTTTGAATTTTTTTTAGTTATTTTGGACTTATTTGAAAAACGATAAAGAGAAAATATGTTTCTTTTATCGAGATCTACCACCCCTTAAAATACTTGCACCTTGCACTTATTTCTGGGACACCCGTATTTATTTCTTGATTGACTTTCTAAACTTTGTATGCGTGTTCCTGAACAGAGAATCTGCTTTTTGTCCAACCGATCCTTGTCCTCTTATGTTAAGATTTTTATTTTGATTTCTAATTATAATTGCGATCGAATTATTACAGAAGTTTTTCTCTTTGACTTTTTAAAATATCTATCATCTCTATATCGTGCAGTTTTACTCTAAATCATAAATATTAAGGTCTCGGAATTTTGGACACATACATATGTTATCCATAACTAGCATAATGAACGGAAATAAGAAAATCGTTAATGTTTATTCTTGAAGAAAAACATCTGTTTTGTATTAAAATACATGGTGGCAGATCGGAATGTAGAATTATCTAACGAAATATTTAATAGCCTACACGGAGGACTACACTAAAAATATTCATATTGGGTTACATTTTTGGTAAAATTTGCTGATATTTGGTAATATTCCAACAAAATTTATCTAATTCAAATATTTAGTATTTAGTACAAAAACTATGTAGTATTTTTTTTCATTACTACCAATAGCCATTCAGAAAATTTAGTACCGACAAAAAGTCGGTAGTAAAATTATTGTCATTTGTATTTCCAATACAAATTACAACATTTACAGCGCTTTCAGATGGAGCGGAGCATCCGCGCGTACCGTTCGCGAGTTCCGTGAGTTTAAATGAACAATTTCACATGGGCCGCGTATCTCCGCCCGGATGAGCTATCTTGAAAATTGAAAAAATATCCGCGCGGACATTCCGCTCCATCTGAAACCGCTGTTAGAAAATGATATTTGGAAAATTTTCTAAATTTTTAAGCCCAATAAAACAAAAATTAAAATTTATAAAAAAATTATCTATCTAACTTATTTAAAATATTTGAAATAATCAAAATTTACAATAAGAGAATAATGTATATTTCCTGTATTTTTAGATATTTTTAAAAATATTTTGTCATTTTTTAATATTTCATTTTTTTAATTTATTTAGATTTTTTTTTAATTTTTATTTAAAAAATATAATATCATGATTTAATGGCAACATAGGTAGAATATTAAATTTACAGGGAAAACAAAATAGAAAAATCCAGTGTTTCTCAAAATTTAAGCAAATAAATAATAATAAAAATACCTATTTGTTTTTTAAGTTTCAAAGTAATAACAGAGTAAGTAGGTAATAATAACTGTTTAACTGTCACTTTGGACTTATTTAAAAAACAGTAAAGAGAAATATGTTTCATTTATTGAGATCTGCCACTTATATAAAACTTACCCTGTATAAATAAAAAAGATTCTAGATCAATAAAAATTGGTAGTATATATTTTTTAAAATATTTCACATATATATTTTTTCCCATAGAGTTAAAAATTATTTTCTTCCCTATTATCATTGTGATTTATTTAGATTTTGGATCAAAATGTTTTGGTTTTTTCAGCTAATATTTTTTGGAAATAAATATTTTTTAAGCATAGGTGTTATTGCGACATGGCATAGGTGTTATGCATTATGGCCCTTCTTCCTTGAGTTGATGACTCGCCAATTCGATGTCCTTACATTAGTGTTCTGGCAAAGCTGGTGATATGTCCCTGCTTGCCTCACGGTGTTGGACGGCTTTTCATCCTAGTTTTTTCTTTCCTTGCCGGAGCAGAGGTAAGAGGTTCTCGCTCTCTTTTTTGCCCTTCGGTGGAGATGCGCCAGGCTGCTGTTTATTGGTTCCTGTACATTCCCCTTTTTTGAGGAGGGTTTTTGCTTTTGCTTCCTCTGAAGTAAATTCTTTGTAGAGCAGTTGGAGGTATCTCCGTACTCCTGCTCCGCTGATAATGAGAGGAAAATATAATGGGGTACTCCCTGGTGCTCCATTGTATTCTCGTCTTCCTTACTTCTACGTCTCCTTTACCTACTAACTATAGTTCAGTCATTGGGGATCAAAAAAGGGGCCTGCTTGGAAAAAAGGCCGGAAGTTTTGAAACTTTGCAGGTTTATAGGTTTTGGGGTCCCTAAACTAAAATCCATAAAGTGCACATTCCCAGACTTGCCGCCGGCGCGGCGCCGCCGTCTTGCGTGAGTTTCTTCAGTTTTGTCATGAAACTGTGGCGTATCATTAATTCGCTCATTAATTTATGAATAATTAATTGTCGTGCTGGACAGCATTCATTGCGAACTTACCACCAGGTTCAGCATTGGTCTGGTTGTACCAAAGGTGCCGAAGAATGGGGTTGGAAGAAAACAAAAACAGGCATTACTCCAGTCACAACGTTGACAGATCCAGCTCCAAAATCCCTATAGGCATTTTTATCCTGTAAATGCAAAACCAACAACTGTGGTAAAGTCTGCGGATGCAGAAAAGCAGGATTAAAATGTTCATTGATTTGTGCATACTGCAATGGGAAATCCTGTGACAACGTCACTGAAGTGTCACTCGACGAATCCGATGAAGAGGAGTGAAGAAGAAGCTTGAAGAAGGAGTGAAGAAGAAGAGCGCTGAAGATGAAGAGTTGGAAGAATTGAGAGACCCACCCTGATGAGCCCAGCACAGCAGACACCGTCGACTTTGACATCAATGAGCCAGGTCGGTCGGGTTTGTGCAGATAAGTTAAAGTTTTTAATTTACCTAGTGGGGTAGGCCTCCGGGGAGACCACGTTAAATTAAACGCGCCATTTACTTTATCTCTTGGGTGGTGGTGTGGAAACAAGTACACATTTTCAATAATTAAAATTAATTATTCATAAATTAATGAGCGAATTAACATACATTTTCGGTACACAAAACATTTTTCTACAAACGTCAAAAAATGACAAGGTTCGCGAATTGATAGCAATGTACGGACACTTTTTTCATTTTCCTACGTTACCATGACACGGTGCGCGAAGTGATGCGCGAAATGGCTATTACGTACACTGCATGTAAATTATATGGGATTTTGGAATTTTGATTTTTGGAAAATGAAGAACTAAATCATAATTATTTATTTCGAAATATTCAAGAATAAACAAATAACAAATATCAAACTTAACACTATTGCATATTCTAGTTATTATTTACAATATCAACATTAATAGTACAACCAGTACACGAACCAATATTTAATCCCAAACTAGATAGTTCTGATTTTGCTTGAGATATGAGGGTTTTGGGACTTGAGACACTATCCAATTTTGATGTAGAGGTACATGATCCTGGTATTTGACACTATAAAATTTTATTTGATATTTGAATTTTATTGTTGATAGATAATAATAATTTATAGGGATATCCCGATTTTAATTTGTGTAGAAAAAATGTTGTTTGCAACTCGTGCGCGAACTACTTTGGTGATCTCGACTAATTTTTCAACTCGGCTACGGCTCGTTAAAAAATTCAAGTATCTATCACCAAAGTAGCACTTTGCGCACTAGATACAAAAATAACTATTAAATAAGACATATGAAGGAAAGTGTATAAATTTAACAATGTTTTTGGCGGTTATTAGTATCTCTACTCTATAGGTATAAGCAAGAAAACTATTTTTGTCCCCAATAAATTTCGTATTAACAAGTGTTCAATAATAGTCATGATCGTACGATTTTAAAAGGCGTTGGACACGATCCAAATGACAGAGTTAC